GGGAGCATGAGGTAACCCTCTGGCAGGATTGCCCGGACGTCGTCGAAGCTTTTTATCGGGAAGATCATAAACGGCGACAACAGTCGCCAGGTGCTTCTTAGAACTAAGCGCTGGGGGAGCAAGGTCAGTAGGGGGCTGCGCCTCATCCATGATCAGACAGCGCAATGGCTTTAGAGCAGGAACTCAAGCGTGTAACGCTTTGCCTGTATTGGAGCGCAAAGTGAAAAGACTTAAGATGCTTAAGGAGCAAGTGTGTAACATTAAAGGATTATGAGCGAGTGCTAAGGACTTAAGCTGTCAAGAAGCAAGTGTTTAGAACACTGATAAGCTTTTTAATTTAGCACTAGGCAATTAGCGCTAAATATCAAGTGCTTAGAATACTAAGGAGCTTTAGACGCAGGTGCTCCGATTATGGACAATTTCAAGATGTCCATTAGCAGCAGCCGAGTTCATCGCTGACGTTGTACATCCTTCCTTTCTTTTCTGGTGCAACCACTCCACAACGGTGATGTGTCCATTGCTTGCAGCCATATCCATCGCCGCAACCGTAGCATAGCCTGCATTCAATTGCATCCATTTTAAAACATTTAGATGGCCATTCGCTGCGGCATCATCCATCGACGCTAAGGGATACCGATCAAAATTGTTACCTCTTAGCCACTCAAGCATGTCTAAATGACGTTTGCTAGCTGCTAGAACTGAAGCACACGATGACTGCTCGCCACGTACTTCGCAAAGCCACTTCACCATTGTCAGGTCGCCGTTCTTTGATGCCTCCTCGAGTGTGACAAAGAACACATGTGTTGAAGATGGATTTGTGTGTTCATGCAACCATTTAACTACATCCAAATGACCATTTGGCCTGCGTAAAACAGCTCTCTCGACCCCCAACACACGTCAAGTTGTATATGCTCTCTTACCTCTCCTCCTTCATTACCAATGTTTCCACTCATGTGTGGTCTATGCAGCCATTTCAGCACGTCCAAATGACCATTCCTTGCTGCTTCTTCCACTGCAAACGTCACGTAGCAGCCAGTATATTGTTTTACGAACACTCATTACATTTAAGTCGCATCTTGCAGCCGCTTTGGCCATTGCGAGTGTGAATTCTCGTTGACGAAAGAACAAATCGTCTCGCTTGCGTAGTCTCAGAGCCGCATTAATATTGCGTGGAACAACGATCCCTCGATTTAAGTTTGTCTTCGCTCTCGTTTCGACCTCTTCGGCAACAATTTTTTCCGCTTTCTGTGCTTCAATTGCTTCGTGTATCATCACCCTTTTTGCCAAACGCAGCGCTCCATCCTGATATTGAAAGCCACAGGCGTCAGGAAGAGACCAAAGACGAGAGTAGTCCAGGAACTCGCTTATTGTGTCCATTGCGCGAGAAATTGCCACGACACGACAGTTGATATTGTATACAGCAGTCGCCGACGTTACGGGATCGGGGAGTTGAATCATCGAAGTACACTTTGGTTAAGGAGCCGAAAGAAACGAATGATGTAGTGGGCCGAGCTTTGTTCAGGCGTAAGTTTTTTGACAATGGTGGCATGAAAGGCCTCCAAACCCAAAGCCGTTTTGGCTCAGTGAGGAAAAGTAGATGATTGATCAAGATTTGACTCTCCATGAGTACCAAGTCTAATAGCAGACAGTTTGATTTAATCTTTGACGAAAAAAGACAAATTGAAGCTCGTCAGCAAGCAAGCACAAGGAAGTGTGAGAAATTTTTTACGTAATCAGTTGGACCAAGTACTGTCTAAGAATTCTCTTAGATAACCCTGTTTAAGATCAATTGGAATTTAGGTTCGAGTCATCTGCTCTGCTATGTTTTTTTGGCACTGCTTCATTTGCCCTTCTATTCTTGCGGTGATCGAGCATGAGTTTCGTTAATGTAAGGGCAACCAAATTTTTGGCAAAACCGCATCGTTTTCCTGCAAAAATCTCGCTCTCAATATTAACTCTAACTCCTTGTCGTTAAGTATGTACACAGAACAGTAGTCTACATTGTACACTAAAACTGCTCAAACGTGCTGCCATCATCTGTCTATTGGATTGTTGTTATTCGTTGTGGTAACAACGTACTAAGTGAAATACCATCTAGTAGAGGTAAATATCTATTACTTGAACGTGAAAATTCGGTCTGAGAACCTAATCAAAAACATATAGAGAGACGGGCCCACACGACAAAATCTTAGTTCTTCACAATCGATGCATGAACAAAAAGAAGAAGGTCGTTTTGCTTTCTACACTCAAGTGTATGCACAATCTCTAATCTATTGATTCCACAGCAGGTCCTCTGGGGATCAGTCTGTCAGACTTACTACTTTAATATGATGCTATTCTGATGCAAAAAAAAGAGCTCATGCGACGACATCATCCGAAGCGATATACTAACAACCAAGCTTTTATCTAAATTGTAAGTGAAAGTGTTTTTACCGTATATTTTGTTTCATAACGTTAGCTTATAGATTCAAGATATTGTTTTTGTGGCTGAGACCATACGTGCCATTATTCAGATGAAATGATTGAAGTGTCATATTATTTCTCTATGCTGTTAGCTCTAGTGCAGACAATAGTATTTTTTGAAATTTCTGGCTTTTATGTTTTACAAAAAGTTCAATCTGAGGGGCTGGCGCCCAACTCAATTGTAACTTCAATCGTCAGTGTCATGTCAGTCAGGTATTTTTGCTGCGCGAATCAGATAGACACAAATTTGGTTGCCGTAACCTCTATGCTGGACCAGTATTGCTGTGAACCAGCATAAGCATTTTAAGATTGCGAGAACTGCATGTTGCAGTCATCTTCGTAAACAATTGCTCTAAAAAAATTGCAAGGAGTATCATCTTAAGATTCAGCACGCCATTCTTGTAAATCAACGTCTTTATCAACGAATGGATCTATTGTCATCGTCGTAACATTCTAAGTTGGTTGTTCGTGCTCGCTTCAGCAACTAATCATCTATAATGGCTCGTGTTTGCACTGCTCTCTATAACAGTCCGATGTAAGCGTTCTGAAACCGTATTTGCAAGCTATGCTTAGAGCGCATTCTACAGCTTTACTAGCTTTGGTGTATGATAATTGATTGAGCGGCTTGCCTAAGTATGAAACGGTGACTCTAGCTGAAGATGAAAATGAAGGAATGGTCCAGTCATTTCTGATCATTAGGTTGTTAAATGCATGGCATCATGATATCTGGTAAGCAGAGAGGACTAATTGAATCTTTGGATTGTGGTCGAGATGTCGTGCCGTGCCTAGTTGCCCCACCTGACGTTATGGAGGTATATCTTATTTCAACACCACTTTTGATCCAGGGAAGTCACGACAGGTTGTTACAGGTTCTCATTTATTAAACAACAATGCTTGCCATGGTCTTCCCACGCATTGGCGGATAGTACGGGTCGTCGATGCTTACAAGTTTTAATGCGTTTTTTTGTGATAGGGCTTCATGAAGTGTACTGTCAGAAGGCATTGCTTCACCGACATTCGGCTCTGGATCCCTGCAGCTCAATGTCTTCTTTCTTCACTTAGTAACCACCAGCATTCACGACTGTGTCCAATTATGGTGACTATCCACAGGCATATCGAGTTGTTGACCAATGCTTTTCTTTTTCCTCCACGACAGTGTTTACGCCAGAGGCTATGAGTACAGTCTCAATTCATTACTTAGCATAGTGTTTAGCACTAGATCTTCGTGTTTACTTCTCGGTGAATACCGTCGTCCTTTCTCGTTTTGGTCTAGATGTAGTTATGGTGGGGCTTCAGGAAGCGTTTTCAGTAATCATGTCGCCTTCGGTTCTGTGTCAACTAAGACCTGACAACCGTGTTGATGCTTGACTGCTCTGCTGAATATTGTACCCTATATCGCGCGTCCAGTCATTTGCTCTTACTTTGCCGGAATAAAGCAGAAGCTAGCGAATGGTTGATCTGGAGGCGAAAACTCTGCATCAAGGAGGACACGTCATAAAAATACATCATGTCACAAAACTTGTCATTAACGCGAGATCAGAACTACCTTGGCATCTAAAACTGCTATTCAAATTGAATAATACTCACGCTTAGTCTAAATCCCCCAAGAAATCTAATGATATACAGGAGCTTAACATCGATCGAGACGTAAGGAAATGATGTAGCAGTAGATCCAGAAGTTGCTGACTTCTACGGGACATTTACTGCGGTCGAGAACACTTGAAAACTCAATTGACAAATGCTGCTGATTGCTTGCAAATTTGACAAACCAAATTGTTGTGCTGAAGCTAGTCGTGACGTAGTGGGCAGATCCTAAGTTGATTGGAAAAAGATAGTTATATTCAACGATGTGAGTGTTCCTATGATGTTACTGCGAGCTTGCAAGTGACAGTGAGAAAGTGTTGATGTTGTCATACTTCTCGCTAAAAACGCCATGACCGAAATGGCTAACAACTACGGAGCGTTTCACTGTCGATACTTTGCTAGTAATGTGTCAACGTTATTGCAGGGCTTACGAACATAGGAGACTATAGAATTTGCAGCTTGGTCTTGCTCTGAAGCGGATGCTGCAAGATTGCAGACATGTTAATGGTGTGCGGTATTTCAGCAATCTAGCTAACACGTTCGTTAATGACCACACTTAAGTTTACGAAATCGCGCAACAACAAAATGTGGTTAAGAGGCCGATTAATAAGCCGTCAGTAAGACAACTGCTGTCAGGAAAACTGGGGCATTAATCAACTTGGCCAATAAGATGCAGAGACACTGCACCATGACTGCAGCTAATTGTGACGCATCAGATCTTGCTGACGCAGTCTTGAAGGCTGACATGTGATCGCTATACACAGCACCTAAATGAAATATCTGCGGTAGCTATGCATCAGAAATGTGGACACGAAACGTTGCGATAGTTAGTTGTAGTCGATACTGGAGTATCATATGACTTGCTGCACTAATCAGCGAGATCTGCTTCAGTAAAATATCTGGATTCAAGATCGTAGTGTTTCTTGTAAATGGGGCAGAAAGGCTTGGTATGGAAGAACATAACTGCAAAATCGGCTTTACATATTGCTTGCCGCTGCATCCAGAAGACGCTATACGATGTCTTGTTGCTGATATAATAGACTTATCTGGTAAGATGCGGTCAATACCTGCAGCTAAAATTAAGCATTGATGTACATGATAAAAAGCTTCCTATCAAATTCACAACCTTTTTTGCAATGTAAGCTACATGTGTTGCTGCTACACTTCTTAGATTGATCATACTGGAGCGACTGCGGCAATGGGTCGGTCACACGGGCTTGGTAATAATTCCGGAAAGGTGAGGCTAATTACGTTCCAGATAAACTTCTCCATGTTCTCAAAAGCGCTGTGACGCCGCTTGTAAATGCTGCACACAAAGAGGGTATTTCCTGTAGGAAAAAGAAACTGTAGCCGTTACAATCAGGACCGAGTCCTGTTTGAGGGTGCATTCCATGCTCTAGGGTCGGTTAATTACGCTATTGGCTCTGCTATATAGCCTCATCCAAAATTCGGCTCGTTGAAGTCTCGAACTTATAATCTCCGATCTCGGTATGAACGGTTGTAGACCAGCAGGACCAAAGTATTGTAGACACAGTTGGACGCCACCTCTTGTTCAGAAGAAGCAGCTATCAATGATCTTGATCGTTAGGACAACAAGGTTATGCAAATGCGTGCGCGAGTAGAAGCATTTACGATATTTTGCTGCATTTGCACTTTTTGAAATGTATCAGGAAGTTGGGTAGCCACAGATGGTTAAACCAATGTGTTATGTAACTTGTGGCTCCCGGTAACCAAAGTCATGCATTACAATGCTGCACTACAGCTGTGCATTGCATAGCCATGAGGACGTAGTAATTCTCCGGGGCGTACAGTATTTGCTTTTGCCGAGTGGAATCTCTGCCACTAAAAAATTGATTTAAAACATAACATCGCAAACTTTCTCGTTCATGGCGGTTGATGGGCCAGGCAGTGACGGTGATGGCGCTAAATTGCTGCTTAATTATGATGCAACTTTAGTCGAGTTGCAACACAAACGATGCGGATGAGTACTGATCGTCACACTCTTGTGAGCTCTTAAGCTTTCGAATACGGGTACTTTTACATTGTGCGACTCTAATTAAACACAGGGCAATAATTGAAATGGTTAGTGTGTTTGATGATGCTTCTTTTTGATTGTTGCTTGCTCCGTGATCTTCGTAGAATGTGGGCTCCAGGGCGCCATTCATGTAGCTCTCTATATGACAGCAGTGCTGTTAACAAACAAAACTCTATGCGTGGTCTGACATATTTGCTAACTAGAATGAACAGCTATGAAGTACTCGAGGCAAACAAAAACCTGTGGATACAGTCGGTGATGATGACGAGGCAGTAACCGACTTGTCGTTGCTGCTATACATGACATGATGTGAGATCGGTCTTGATCAAACACAACTTATTGATTATTTTTATCAACCAAGCTGGTGTGGTTCCGCTTGATCTGTGCTGACGGAAATGGCCACGATGACCTCACTCGTGGAAACAAGGATCTTGCATCGATTAACAGGCTGCATCCAATAGCGTTTTCACGCTGTAAAAGTGGTAGTTACGGTGTATCGCTTTCGAAAAGACGAAAGTCAGCATGTGCATTAGTTGTGGTTAAGTGGGTCGCGATACGAAATACACTTGTCGATGTTAGTAAATGCTTGTACTTGTGAGTTCAGCATAACGTTGACGCGAGTTGCACGCAACAATTATTCGTTGCAAGTAATTCGACTATTTCTTTGAGTTGCTGAATTACCACAATATCGTATACTTTGATGTTGCTTGCTATTGAAGCGATCCAAAATCTCTTTACATCACATTTAAGACTCATCCAATAGACCTATGCTGCTTAATCCTCAAAAGTATAGTACTCCCACGGCTCAAACGGGTCTTCCCACTCCTCAGTGTCATTGGCGGTGTACTGCTTCATCTCCTCATCCGTAAGCAGACAAGAGTCAAGCGCTGCACGGATCCTTGCAATTTCATCGTCCTCCTGCGAGAAACGACCGATGAACACGAGCTCTTGGCCACGATCACCATGCTTACGGGCCATAAGATCCGAGTAGTTAGGTAGTTCTTTCATGGTTCGAGTGCGCTCTTCTTCAGGCAATGCGGCTATCCACATGCCACCATTAGACAATGTGCAGTACAAACCCGCCTGTGACCACGTAGCATAATTATAGGGTCGAGTACCAAGCCAAAAAACACCCTTGCTGCGGAGTAGATTCTTGAAGAGTCCGTTCTGTTTGCCTTCCAGCCGTTTGGCGATATCTTCCTTACTTAAGGGATCACCATCTTGCTCGGGCTCCATTTCCTCGTCCCCAGTAGCTTTCTCTTCTTCTTTCTCCTCTTCTTCTTCTTCTTCTTCTTCATGGTTATGGTTGTGACCGTCGTCGTCTTCATCCGACGGAAATGGTGGCAGTGTCGGGGACTCAACAATGACAAACTCATCCTGAATAATACCCGTTAAGCGTGCGGGGTGGAATGGCCGCTCTGCCTTGTAAAGGAACGACCCGATGCCGTACTCAACAGTTTCGGGTGTATGTGCAACTGTGAGAGACTCGAGCCAACCCTTCTGGTTGGATGCTCGCTCGAATGAAAATAACTTTGTACCAAGAATCGTCCTGGGATCAACACGACCCTTAACGGTACGCTCAATTTTTGCGTACGAATTTAGTCGACGAAGAACCTTCTCCACAGCCTCGACGTCCTTAGTAGATACCAAATCCGTCTTGTTGAGTAGGATGATGTCGGCAAATTCAATTTGGTCGATCAAGAGGTCCGTTATAGTTCGTGTGTCTCCCTCTGGTAGTTGCTTGCGATTCTCCTCGACGTCCGCGAGCATCCGTGGGTCGTCGAACACGTGGAAGAAGGTAGCGGCATCAACCACTGTTACGCATGTGTCGAGCAGCGCGATGTCACGCAGTAACGGCAGCTTCTTGCCGTCGCGCACGAGCAGTTCCTCGAGTTGCACGGTTGGAATTCCTGTTGAAATCGACTGGTATGGGGATGAACTGATGACACTGATTTCGTCACCCGACGATTCCCCAGAGTCGGTCCGAGACCGCTTTGAAGTAGGGGACATCATTGAAGCCATTTCTTCAGCGCCTTCAGGTAGCTCGAACACGAACGTTTCGGCCACCTGCATAGGCTCGCTAATGCCTGAGCTCTCAATAACAATGTAGTCAACCTCGCCCTGTTGGGCAATTTTAACAATTTGTTCGAGCAGGTCGACGCGCAGAGTACAGCAAATACAGCCATTCTCAAGTCGGACAAGCTGCTCTTCTCGTTGAAGTACACCCGCCGAAGCAACAAGGTTAGCGTCGATATTGAGCTCACCCATGTCGTTGACGATGACTGCTACACGCAGGGCGTGATCTTTGTTTTTCAATAAATGCTGCAGCAACGTGGTTTTGCCACTTCCGAGGAAGCCTGACAATAAGGTCACTGGAATTCGATCAGCGTCACTTTTCTTGTCGAAGTCGTCGATGAGCGGCCGCTTGTTGGTCATAGATTCGGTATCAGCCATGGTCGGAGGGTCGGCAACAGCCATGAGAACGAGATGATAAACAGGTCAACTGAAAGGACTTGAGCCAACGGATTTGGAAATGAGCATTACGCTCATGGCAATGAAAGCTCTTTATCAACAATAACGCAAACAAAAGCGGCTCACCAAGACTAGTCCTACTTGGTTGGCTCCAACGTTTTTCCGACGACATGCCGCCGTCGGCAAAGCTGCAATTTGTGCAACTTGAAGACATTTTGGTGGTCCAGGCAATTTCAAGAAGTTGTCCGACGACGGCATCAAGTTTAAAACCCCACAAAGCGTTACTCTATTTAGGTAATCAATCATGAATCAACCCGCCGTCGGATATGGATTCTTTGCGATGTAGGCGTCAGATATTCATTCATCTACAAATCCTGCCTCGTAGATAGATATCAAATGTGTGTGCTTTGCACTGATGCTATCGCCACTGACTTTTAACACGAATTGATAGATGAACAACAATAGCAATATCGGACCGTCCACTTTCTCACATCATAAGTTCATAAATCAATTGTTTCTCAAACAGCTCCACCAAATTTCCTGAGCTACTTGCGTTGTCATGTTATGCCTCATGCTAATTTGTTTGGAGTCTTCATCATGTTGTTTTTCTTTGCCACGAGTTTGTTTTGCAACTTCACTGTTTATATTTTCCTTTAAGCATACAGCTCTTACATATCTTTTCTCGAATACACAAGCTGTAACATCACAGCGACCTGATACATACGTGCGTTCTCTTTTATTTGGTGTTTGTGCCGATTGGGGCAACCTAATCTACTTTAAAGACAATACATCAGCCCTGTCGGAGCTTGAAGTAGATTTGTGTCATTAGGTTGCACCGATGTTACTTATCTACTTACTTATCTTCACATACAGCGCCATACTAAGTTAATTAGTAAATGCGTGCATGTCAAGTCTTGCTATTGCGCATTCATTCATTACCTAAACGTGTACAACACCATGATAGTTTGCAAGCCACTGAAGACGAGAACGATTCTGGCACATAACAAAGGCTTGCGTTGTTTGATTAATACACACGATGATCGAATGCTTCAAGATCAAAAAGAATGATCTGATGTAGATCCACCACATCTTTGCTAAATCGTACTGCCTTCCTCCGCTCAAACAGATAATTTTTTACTTTCACGTTTGCATACATGCCCTACTAGGGAGTATATGTCCATTGTACTCAATCATTGCAAAGTGAGTGAAATCACGACGTGGGTGATCCTATTGGCGTTTCTAGACCGTCTGCCATGGTAGTAGAGATCGATCCGGATCGGTTTGCTGCATGCAAAATGCGGCTATGCTGGCCTTTCGCAAAGACCTTTTTTCGTCGTGACAGCTCTTCAGGCAGCACTTCGTACACATGCACGTGCATATTGACTTGTGGAACCAAGTAGTCACACAAGTAGTTGACGGAATAATCCATGGATAAGGCATCTTTGTTCGTCATCAGCCATTCAGCAATTCGTTGCGTGATCAGAATCTGGCCGCCAGCGCCCGCATCACTCACCGCGCAAGCAATGGCCTCAGAAGCCCCAGTGTAGACTGTTTTACCTGTGACAGCGTGAGTACTTTGATGAAGATGTCCATCAGATCCCATAGCATCGTGAATTCCCATTCTCACTCGCAATCCCCGGAAAATGATTCGATGGCCTACGCGCTGCTTTTTTGTGGAAGGTATGATACCATGAAGCTCCTTGGGCCATTTGACCGCAAGTAGCTGAAGCTGTACTTCCAGGCAGTACGACACAGCCTCTTGAATCGTGTGAAAGGCCAATTGAAACGAGTCGCCCGCTGTGGTAATTTCGTAGCCTCGGTATGGTGTCAGCAAGGCACGGAGCGTGTCATCGTGGATTTGAATTGCCCGCTGCATCAACTTTGCATCACCAATCGCCCACAATGCACTGGAAGACTCAATGTCGGTGAAGACGAACACCGGGTTCAATACTGGAGGGGCCACAGACTCGTTGCAATGATGCACACAACAAGCTTCAAGTCGATTTGGTCCGATAACCAACTGAACCAGCATTTCATCGGGAATACAGCAACCGCATAAACGTATAGTGCACGGTAAACTGCAGCCTGTGCAGAGCGCAAGCGCAAATCCAGTGGCATTGTACATTATTTGGCTAATCCCAATAAAGTTTATCGCAGCTTCATTGCGAGGAACAAACCTGTACATGAAAAGCGACGTAAACTTGTACTGAAGTGCAAACAGCGCGTACGCGAACATAATTCTCTTAATTCGCTGGTACACTGGAGAAGCTTCAAACTGGCCATTGATCGATTCAACATCTCGGCCCTTAGACTTAAGCCGGAAAAGCACCACCCCCATATAGACAAGCGTGATAACTTGCATAATGTAGGTGCATAGTGCTACTTGGTACGAGTGTCTAGATCTTTCATCCCCGATAGTAGTCAGCACCACTTCGACGATCAGAAAGCACGCGATCAGAGCGTGACCTATTATGGTGTACATACGAATTTTAGCCTGTTCCTTGCCTTTGCCTCGATCCATAGACTTGGTAGCAATCTTGGACAATTCGTAGGTCAATGGCAGCACCCATAAAGCCGCAGCAAAGTGCGTCACATCGCAAAAACACAAGAAAGTTGTTGGTAAAACTTTCTGCGCAGCTTCAAAGTCAGTTGTAGCATAAATTCCAATTTGGTCGAGCTGTCTTCTTGTTAATAGAAAAGCATCGGTGCCAGCAGCAACATTTGTACTTGGTATCATAAGAACCCAGACGTAGCAACTAGTTTTTGCAAATGTGTAGAGCCAAAGGTAGATAAAAAAGGTTAAGAATAACCATCGAATACTTGAGACTCGAAAGTCCCAATCGCGGTATAATTTGACTGTTATGAACAGCGTTGAAATGCTCGAAAGCAGAATTGATGTTAAACCCATGATGGCCCATAGCATAATTTAGTATCAGCAAGCACAGAACCTTGAATAGTTAGTGAAGCAGGAAAGTGACGTGCATACACGAGAGAATGCGTGACTTCTTGTCGCTCCTTGCGCTTTTGATCAAAACTGATGAGTGAACTTGTACAAAGAGTGATTATAAAAACATCGTATATTCGTTATAAATGTCTACGCTTTCTACATCCCCAACATGATAACTAGGTTTACTGCTGCTACTACTCTATCTGGTAAACTTAATTACAAGTTGTTACTACATACGTCTTAACGCCGTAGAAAACAGGTAAAGAAGGATGGACCCTCTACCACTAGGAGGTATTGTACGCTTGCTCCGTGCGTACAATTTCTAAAATTGTGCCAGTCATTCTTCACATGAATGACATTCATTTCTAATTTCCACTCAACTAATGCTTGGCTTCCAGTACGTCGTCGCGAAGTCACGTGAGCTCTCGTCAGCGCTAGATCGCGAGTTATTAGCCGCTAGTACTCGCTCGATTCCCTTTCGTTCTATCTCTAACAGTTCATCTGTCGAAACTGCGGCGTCAAACGATCGTCACGTTGCTACAGAAGCCTCGACAGCGTCTTCCTTCATCGTCCGTAATGAGGGTCATACATTTCTTCGTGCATGGGATAAACTGCATGCTGAAACTGTGATGAACCACCAGAAATTAATGAAAAGGTGATGGATGTGTCTATTTGCTTGAGTTGCAAGTGAAAAGCTTTGGCAGTTGATGAGATATTGAATATTTTACATCTTGTATCTATTTGCCCATTTGAAGTGGCCAGGAACTTGACGCTACCTTATGCCAGACTCGAGTTATGCTGCAGACGCAAGCAGCAAGTGAGCAATTTTTGTCTCAGAACTTTTATCTTGTGTCCAAAGTGCGACAACAGCTTGCAGGAGTCCGCAGATTGGTGCTTAAACTGGCTAAAGAGGCTGAAGAAGTCGAGAATTTACTGATAGAGCGCTGCGAGGAGAATGTGGCACAGCAAAACGCCGAGTTTGCGGCCAAGCAGCAGCAAGAGCTTGAGAACTTTGAGGCGAGCATTGCCAAGGAGTCGGAAGGTCGAAAGCGCGAGCTGCTGGAGAGGAGACGACAGAAGTTGGCCAGCGCTTTCATGAACGATCTGAGAACGTACCAGACATTGAAGTCTCATCATGGTGATGCAACTGCGATGGAAATGTTAGCAGTGAAGGAAGATAAGGAGAAGGTGACGTTGGACGAAGTAGACTTGATTATCACGGCCGATTCTGAGCAATTGGATGCGTTCTATGATTCTGCGTCGGAACAAGAAGAGGAGGAATTTAACAATTTGAGGTTGGTAACGCCACCAGTGCCAAAGGAATTGGTGGAGAAAGAAGAGGAGAAAAGCACAGATAAGGAGAATGAGCTAGTAGAGGAGAATGATGTTGAATGGGAGAATACGCCAGAAAGAGTGGAAGTATCGATGGGTCAAAAGGGTGATAAAATAAGCAAATTGGCAAAACCTTTGGACGTGGAGCAGGCCAAAGAGGTTAAAAGTACTGATGCATGAATTGCTGAAGACAAGTGAAAAGACGTTGGATTAATAATACTGTGAACAAGTACGGCTCTTGGAATATGCAAGAGCAAGGTAAATATTATATGAATGGACATTGAATTTACCAGCCAAGAAGCATGTGACGAAGACACCACATTAGCATTTAATTGAATTGTTTGTTTGTTTGGCAGTTTGTGACGAGTAGAAGTTACGAAGAGTATATAAAGCAGAAAGATTGAAACGATGAGAAGTGTTTAAGTATCAATGTGATAGCTAGACGCTGTCTGGGAACTACATTTGAATAGGACGAAAGAGCATTCATACGGCAAGTTTTTTTGATAAAGCTGTACAGACTTTTCTTGCCTTCTATTAATGCTGCAGCGTTCGAGTTAATAATACTAAACGATTGAACCACTTGTTTGGACCTACTTCACGTTACGACAGTCTGACACTTCTTATGTATTATTGACTGGCTGGTGATAGTAGAAATTCACTATGATCAAACATTCGTTGCGAGAACTTTCAACGCTTGCTCGACACAAATTACTAGAATGTGAGGGCCAAACGTTTTCTCTACAGATGCTTAATGCCATACCACAGGACGGGCATAACCGAGCACTAAGGTCAAAAGCATTGTTGACACTATACCGAGGCTACGAGATTACCACAACGGGCGACTCGTTCCAACTGGCCTTTCACACGATTCAAAAGGCTGTATCGTACTACTGCCTGGAAGTATAGCTTCAGCTACTTGCGGTCAAATGGCCCAAGGAGCTTCATGGTATCATGCCTTCTACAAAAAAGCAGCGCGTAGGCCATCGAATCATTTTCCGGGGATTGCGAGTGAGAATGGGAATTCACGATGCTATGGGATCTGATGGACATCTTCATCAAAGTACTCACGCTGTCACAGGTAAAACAGTCTACACTGGGGCTTTTGAGGCCATTGCTTGCGCGGTGAGTGATGCGGGAGCTGGCGGCCAGATTCTGATCACGCAACGAATTGCTGGATGGCTGATTGACGAACAAAGATGCCTTATCCATGGATTATTCCGTCAACTACTTGTGTGACTACTTGGTTCCACAAGTCAATATGCACGTGCATGTGTACGAAGTGCTGCCTGAAGAGCTGTCACGACGAAAAAAGGTCTTTGCGAAAGGCCAGCATAGCCGCATTTTGCATGCAGCAAACCGATCCGGATCGATCGCTACTACCATGGCAGACGGTCTAGAAACGCCAATAGGATCACCCACGTCGTGATTTCACTCATTTTGCAATGCTTGAATACAATCGACATAGGGCTTGTAGTTAGCTATTGAGGTAGATATGACATCGTTCAAGTATCGTTGAAATATGTATCTGAAAATTATCCAATCTTATTCATCACTTCGTAGATATTGCCTTACATCGAAAAGTTTCTTCTTGCCTACAGTCCAACACTCACAAACCAAGCCTATTGCCTAACTATTCATTCAATACGCACCAGGCTTTCGCTTGAGCTTGTCGCGCAATCCTAGCGAAAAGCACCCATGATCCACCATTTGGTGCGGTGGCACAAAAGAAGCAGAGAGTGGAGTCACCACGTCATCTTCGTCATCATGGTCGAAATCATCAAGACCACCCGGCCGGCGCTGCTTCAGGTCCGTGCGCCGCCTGTGATTGCTCATTTGCTTGGCTTTAAATACATTAGTACCACCGATGGAGTCGCCGTCGAACTCCATCTTAAATATGCCATGATTATCGTCGTCTTCTAAGTTCATTGATTCGTCTACGTGTTCATCTTCAGTATCCTCGCACACTTCAACGATACTACCCGGGCGTAACAACGTCCTCGACTTACTGCTATTTATCGGGATGACACACCCCGCGCGCATATCGTTTCTGGTATTGCTGCAACTTTGTTTTCTACTCTCTAGCGGCCAGCCATCATTTTCTAGCATCACGGACGGTTCCTCCCACGACAACAGCTGCACCATAGGCTGCTTGGAAAACGTCGAGTTCTGAAAGTCGTTACAGCTTCTCCGCCGCCGACTTGATTCCAAATCTCTATCCAACAGCTTTTCAGTTCGTGACGGGATCGCTATCGGAGATGCCACTGAAATACCTGTCGGAGCTATTATCGGCGTCGACACAGGATCCACCATCAAGCAGTCACTCCTAGGCGCAAGTCTTCGTGTCCGAAAACGATGCGAACGCAATCCAAACACATACGTCGACATCCTGTCGTTTATAGACGTCGGTCCTCGCTTGCTCCTAGACGACGAACCGGACATGCTGCTACTCTGTCTGGTTGAAATCGATGTCGATGTTGAGACACCCAACCATCCTCTTTTACTGTTGCTACTCGTTGGTCGACGTGTCGCCTCATCCGTCACTGGAGTGGAACGCCGTCGACTCATGGTCGTTTCAGCACGTCCATTCGTTGTTAGTTGGTCAGCAATACGTCGAGTACCTTCTCCACTCGGAATATGCCGTCCCTGTGTCCTAGATGTAGACAAGTCCGGCGTAACGATGTTTAGTGCACGTAAATAATTTGCTCTCCAATTCTTGTTTTTATTGGCACTTAACGCCATTCTCTGATTGGTACTATCAATCAAATTGTCTTGTGTTTGTCTGTAAAGTGTCGCCATCGTTACCCAAATACACGCCAAGAAGTGGCAGTTACAGACAAGGATAAACTCGACAAGTGACTACGAGTATTTTCAACTGCTGCTTCAAACTGTCAAAGTCAATCGTCTATAACACTTGTAAAGCCTTTACAAACGACGGTGTAAATAGCTTAAAACGAACCACCACCTGCTGCTGCTACCAGTTGCTTCTTGTTTCAAAACGTTTGCCAAGATTCCAAGTTTGCGGTTCTTATACTGCTAGATGATGGTAACACCTCTTTGCACTGATATGTACTATACGCCGTATGATTGCTATAACCCTGTCGATCTTGTAGCCGATAGTGTGCGTGTTCAAAGCGATGATTAAGACGTTTGTCAAGTCCTATTTGCCATCAATCCAATCTGGAAATGTTGAGGAGAACCTAAATCGGACTATGCTATTGCGATTTTTGCAATACGTGAACCGTGAAATGTTATACGTATAGTAATGGAGAAAACTTAACGCTTGTGAGAAACATTCGACAATTTCGCGTGTCTGTCTGTCTGTCTGTCTCTCAGTTGGTTGGTGGCGGCTGAAGTGGCACTACGTTGCCGCCTTTCTTGGTTTTTAATGCTACTACTTGCATTTTTACAGTACTCTACTTGGATACGTGTCTGACTGGACATTCCAAAGCACGTTCTCCATCCATCCATTGAGCTTTGCATTCAAGAAACGCTTCAAGGGTTGGCCAGCACCAAGTAAGCAGCGTTCGAGCGATCAGCTCGCAAGCTTCTGTAACCGTATTGAAATGTTCTGTACCGCGAAATTGATCTTGTTTGATGGGATTGATATGAGACAGACAGTTGGACAGATGAACGGCCGCGAGCATGGGAATCGACGAGACCTTTGTATACTAAATACTGTGTATGCAGTGCAATGTCACCTCAATGAAGTACTACATAGTATTGTCATGCGTAAGAACTTGAGTGCCATGGGTAGAGAAAAATGACATTGAACGCCCTTGCAAGTAAGTTTTCAGCTGATAAGTGAAGTGAAGACAAGAAACAGATTGATCCAAAATAGCAAAACATACAAAGACGCAAACGTGTAAAAGTGTGCAGCACCGAGCGCTGCTGTCTCGTTTTCTGGCATTGACTTGATGATGGTAAAATGAATAAAGCAGCCAGACCGTTCACGAGGTCCGACAACAGTGCATTACTGCCGCAGCAGCAACAGCATTTTTGTGTTAAAGTATGAAAGTAGACGGACGACCTGAACGACGTATCGAGGCGGTAGGTAACCAACCATTTGGATGCGCTTACAACATGTATGTATACATGTATATCCAATGTCACTGACAAACGAAATTGATAAGTCAAAGCCGAGCTATCGACATTTGGTACGTTTAACATTCGGTACTGCCATTGAAATACAATCACTTATACGAGGAGAGAATTGAGTAGCAACCAATACGGAAGCTAGTTATTTAGTGTATAGTAAGTCGCACATAGCACTGGCACGTCGCTTGAAAGTCGACAAATTAGCGCCACAAAACGTGGTAAGTTTGCAGGAATCTGTACGTAGCTAGACATTAGAATTGTCATATGGTTTATTGTCGGGAGATTGTGACGTAGAACTTGGCGCAATTGACTCGTGGAGAAGAAATTGGTGGCTAGAAAAGTGAGCTAGTATCGCCATAAGGAGTTGGTCCGAAGCCATGGTCCACAGCTGAATTACTTTTACGTAAAGCTCACACGATGACTTTCTCATCGTAAACAAAACTATGTCTGTGTATCATCAATATAGCACGAATATATTGGTATAATGGCTTTGACATTCGGCACGTGACTGTCATTCACACACACGTATATATAATAAATACAGTACTTGTAACTTTCTCTTTTCAATAAAGCCAGGATATGTATGCAACAGGGCGTTTTGATGGCTCTCACGGAACGAAAATCACAACAAGACAACCTCTGTAGTGTTCTCAACTGATTGGAATCGATACTTTACATTTCTATTAATTTTATTATACTACACGATACAATCATTTCATTACAAGCAGCATGTCCAAAACTAGTCGCTCCATACTGAATTGCTGTAATTTGTGCACTGAACGTAATTCCTAGTGCGTTTTGTCAAACTTTTATCCACGAAAGGCACAGGTGCTACTCGAGACGCTCTTCATTTGCTTCCTGCGTGTGTATCTCTCTCTCAACTCTCAACTCTCTCTCTCTCTCTCCCCGTTCTCATTCCATTCCCTGTCATATACTGTCTAGAGTTTCAATATCTCTCTCACTTTTCATACGCGTTCCAATCTTTCGCTCAACGTTCTATCAGCTTCATACACGGCGTGGCCATGATGTGGACGGCCTTAGCCGTCGCCAGCATGGCATTATCAAGTTTATCGACTGGCATGACTATGATTAGTATGCGAAGAAGTTGGGACTTACAAGTATCAAGTGTACGATGGCTATTCTTTTACTTTTTCTTATACCTATGGCTATGGAGTAGTACGCGTGTACTCTATCTACTTTGGGTTAGTTTCTATCCAATTAAAACTACTATGTCGGATAATTCCTCGTCTTCTTCAAATGAAGATGAAGTAATTTATGATCGATATAGTAGTATGGGTATTTATACAGTCTTACAACTCGAAGAAACACATGACGCCTTTGCAACGGCTTTATTATGCTTCGGAGATGCGGCACTCTTTGCTGTCGCTTTGTGGGTGTTCCCCTTAACGTTCGAGCTTTCGAATATTGCAGCCAAGTCGATGGATCGAGGTGCTGAGAAAGAGAAGAAACAGATCACGTTTTACGGTTGGACAGGACATGGCCTTATGCTAGTTTTTGCAGGGATCGAAGCGGCTTTTGCGATTGTATACCAAGGATATACGCAGTACACTCAACGATGTCTACTAGGTGTATACTTTGTGCAGGTTTTTAGCTTTCTGTACATGATTTGGCTCATTGCTAGGCTCAAAATTGGAGGTAGAAAATACGAAAATGTACAGGGACAGTTTGTCACGTCGCCAGTATATCAGAGACTCAAGCGGATTATGATCGTCTACGCGTTGTTCTCAATGCAGTTTCAATTAGCTTCCGTGGCCATGTATGCTTTCACAGAGCACGAAGAAAAGCTACTGGACTTTATCAGCGTCAGCTTATTAATCTATCATCTTTCGGGCATGGCGCTTGCGGTAACTACCATGTGTAGCCAAGCGTGCGTACTCAACATGTTTCGACCATGTCTGCCTGACCACATTGAAGCTCAAGTGCAGACAAGGTTTATGCAGGGAGGTGACCTTTTGTCTCCACGAGACACACAGGTGCTAATAGAGTCGGCAGAGCCACCTCTTGTCAATCCGGTATTCGTATTCACAGATATCGAGTCATCGAGCGCCCTTTGGGCTATTGGCGACGGGCTGGTAATGCAACGAGCAACAGAAATCCACGATAACATTCTCCGCGCATCTTTGATGAAATATCGAGGATATGAAATAACGACGGCGGGGGACGCCTTCCAGCTTGCGTTCCACACTGTTCGTGAAGCTGTAGAGTATTGTCTAGATGTTCAGCTTCAGCTCTTAGTCGCGAACTGGCCCAAGGAGCTCCATGGCATGCTGCCTGTGACAAGGAGACAACGTGTAGGTCACCGCCTCATTTTCGGAGGCTTACGCGTACGCATGGGTATTCATGACGCCGTGGACGCCGATGGTGCCTTGATCCTGGATGTACACGCCGTGACGGGTAAGATGATATACACTGGTGCATCCGAAGTCATTGCTAACGAGATTGGTGACTTGGGTGACGGTGGGCAAATTTTGGTGACCAAGCGTGTGGCTGACTGGCTGGTAATGTACGAAGATCTAGTGGCGATCGACTTTATCGTCGATAGAGTGGGCGAATATTCGATCCCGCAGATTAAGGCGAAGCTGGAGGTATACCAGGTGTTACCCGAGGTGCTTAGCGGCCGCAAAAAGATGTTTTCATCGACGCTCAAAAAGCGGCGTGCCACTACAGCCTCGTCACTGTACTCGATCGCATCGAGCAACCGTTCGCGCCTCTCGAGCAATGGTGGACCGATCACAATTCCAGAGCAACGGCGAAGAATGTCGCGTCCGCAGGCTTTGGTACCACCTCCAGATTTTACACCAGTGATACAAGGCGGACTAAGTCGCTTTGATCGTGTGCAGCGATCGTTTTTGCGAATGGATCACGGCTCGTTTTACACCCGTGCCACCAGCATGTAGTCGGACTAACTTATTATTTTAAACAAGAAAGAGACCTTGTTTTCTATTTTTAATGCTATCCTCTATTGCATTGCCGAAGGTTTAGAAAGTTTGCTAACAACACTAGAATTGAATTTGTAGCATGAAGAAACGTTGCAATGACTATTTTCTACCTTTATGATTGATTGATTAATGAACAGTTTTCATACAAGTACGTTTTGTTTGTCGATTATTATTCACCCAAAGAACTATAAAGTCGATAACCTCATAACTACAAGTCAACTACAGTCGCAGATAATTCAAACGCATTGGGCCAGGCCTTAGTCTATTGTTAGTAATGCAGTAATCGTAAGGTCGCATATTTTTCATGAATGTTGAGCGTTGCTACAACTATTATAGTGTAGAAAGCATTAATCATCGTACGCATCGTATGTATAGCATGGCTACAGGCGTTACAAAATCAAGTCTCCAAAAATCAGCTTGGGACTTACAGGTCTCCACTCTTCTGTATCGTATGTGCGTGCGAGTTAGCGAGCGGTTTGCGTCGCCAAAACGATTATTGATTATCGTGTAAGCCACGTGGGACGAGGAACGACGAACATGCTCGGCATCATTAGGTCGCTGTACTTTTGTGTTTCGCTTTTCGGCAAGTATCTGCACCGTCATATACAACATTTCACTTGTCGTAACAACCATGTACAACCAAGCATACATTACTACAGATTTGTTGTTGGTAATGTCGACAATGTCAAAGATTGCTTGGAAGTAAGCCTCACTAATCCGAGATAGTTCCTTATCGCTACGAAATACTTGGCTCTGGTAAAGCCAACCGAACCGCCATCGGCGCATTCATAATTGTCATTACGGATATCCAGCGATCAAGCGTGCTCTTAGGGGTGGCAATGGACTTATCATGTAGTGAGTCACCACAAGTAGCGATAGTATCGTCCAGTCGTCGTTCATAAAGTATCGCGGCTACGCGATCACAACGACAAGCGACGCATTTCATCTGTGACTTGTAACGTGGGAGACCGTCGACTTGCTAGGATGTACACCTATGTCAATATATACATGACGTGGGTGTTTGTCCGTGTTTGGTCGACCAAATCAATCAATTCACCATGTCACACATCATTACGGCCGTGTCGAAGTCTCAAATATGTCGCCAATCGCAATGAAAAGTTTGTGACAACAACAAGATCAAACCTTACTCACGGTCAAACGTGCAACTGGCGTGCATTCTATCTTTTCATTGAAAACATATCACATGCAAAAGCATTGCACTAACGCATTGTCGCACAAACTCGACACGCTTTGCTGACCTTGTCACGAATTAGAACAACAAGAAGTTCTTTAAATTGTTTAGCGTCTTATTTTCTATACACTTGGAATATTCTCATCAAAGCTTTGCACGTTTGATACGCACGAAAGCTACGGTTATAAATGACAAAGTATTTCAATCAACCCGACGGAATCTGAACGATTGATTGATCACGTCATGTTCGCATCATGGTCATGTATATGTAGCCATGAGTATGCGTCTGCTTTTTCTAAAGACAGGCCTCATGGAAGACACAGTGTTTTTTCTACAGTGTGGTCAGTTGACGTCGTTGTAAATTAAAAAAACCGATTGCTCAGTCAGTACGCACGATCGTCCTGTGAGGAGGTAGGTACGAAGCGTATGCTTGAGACCAAAGTCTCAACTCTTGTGTTGACTAAATTTATAGCAGTCAACGTACATCGCCCAATCTAGTAGAAAATACTCAAAACATTCGTCAAAACGAAGAAACCTTCGACCAAGTTCTCTTGTTATCAACAACTACGAAAGCTCACGCCAATAATAAATCCCTCGAGTGTGTACCGTTGAAGCAAAGCTCATCCATTGTTTGAGAATTGATCTTTTGGTTTGTGGCTGGCTCATTGAATAATTATCATGTGGACGTTAGTGGCTATTGTCACCTTTACTTTATCCTGCATGGCTACGGGTATTACAAGCTTCCGGCTTCGACAGTCATGGGACTTGCAAATTTCCAGCGTCCGTTGGCTTTTTTTTCATCTTTTTTATATGCTACTTTGCCTTTTGCTTCTGTCGCGTCTTGTACATGCTTCTGGGTGTTATTAACCCAATAGAATCGACAACGGAAGAAGGAATGGGACTATTGGGAAATCGGTACAGTAGACTCGGAGTTTTTGCCGTGCTCTACTTTAAAGTCTCACATAACGTTTTCGTCACTTTTCTGCTGGTCATTGGGGACTCGGCATTGTTTGCAGTAGCTGTATGGACACTTCCACTAGTATACGAGCTCGGATTAATTGCTACAAAATCGATGGATCGCGGAGCAGAGAAGGAAAAGGAGCAGATTCGATGGTATAAATGGAGAGTCTGGATAATTATTGCACTGTTCGTGGTCGTTGAGACGGTACTTGCAGGTGTGAGAAGCGGATATACTAGCTACACCCAACGCTGTTTGCTCGCTGTGTACTTTTGCCAATTTGGAAGTTTCCTGTACATGGTATTTCACATTGTACGACTCAAGTGGGTTGGCCGGAAGTACGAGAATGTACAAGGTCACTTTGTGACGTCACCTATTTATCAGCGTCTCTTGAGGATCATGTATGGCATGCAGTTATCTTACAAATGTTTTATATGGGTTGATACTAACGCAATAATGTTTCGTGTGTGCAGGGCCATCTACGCCATCTTCACGTTGCAATTTCAAGTGGCTTCTGTTGTCATGTACGCCATGCCAGACCAAGATTATAAATTGGTGGACTTTATGAGCGTCAGCGCTGTTATTTACTGCATTTCAGGGCTGGCACTTGCAATCACGACCATGTGCAGCCAAGCTTGTCTGCTAAACTCTTGCCGTTGCTGTCTACCTGATGACGTTGAAGCACAGGTTGAAGCCAGACTGATGCATCCTGGAGAGCTTCTTTCACCGCAAGTTACCCACATCTTAGTGGAATCCGTAGAGCCGCCGCTAGTTAGTCCCGTGTTTGTCTTCACGGACATTCAGCAATCAAGCGCCCTATGGAGCATGGGTGACGGTCTCATTATGCAGCGTGCTACCGAGATTCACGACAACATTCTGCGCTCATCGCTCATGAAATATCGTGGCTACGAGATCACAACGGCGGGTGACGCGTTTCAACTTGCATTTCACACTATCCGCGAAGCAATTGAATATTGTTTGGATGTACAGATGCAATTGCTAGAAGCTCCTTGGCCGAAGGAGCTGCATGGGTTGCTATATGCGACGAGGAAACAGCGTTCGGGTCATCATCTTATTTTTTTCCGGGCTGCGTGTTCGCATGGGCATTCACGACGCTGTTGTAGCGGATGGTCCATTGATTTTAAATGTACATGCGGTGACAGGCAAAATGACATACACGGGCGCTTCAGAAGTTATCGCCAACGCCGTTGGTGATTTAGGAGATGGCGGCCAAGTTCTTGTGACGAAGCGTATTGCCGACTGGCTGTGTATGTACGCGGACCTCGTGGCAATTCCGTGCTCTGTAGATCGAATGGGTGAGTACACTGTTCCTCAGATTAATGCATACGTAGAAGTCTTCCAAGTCGTCCCAATTGAGCTAGCGAAGCGGAAGAAACAGTTTTTGACAACGCTTAAGAAGCGTGTGGCAACGCATCATTATGGCAGCGCCCAATCGCTCAGTGACAACACACCTTCCAGTTTGAGCAGTGCCGCCGCCGAACGTCGTCGAAATCTGTACGCTTGGCGTGAACGACGACGTCAACTGGAACAGGGTGCGTTGGACCGCCATGCGTCACAATACACGTTGATGGACTCTAGAAGTGAAGGTATAGACTAGCACAAACACGAGTGGTGTAAAAGCTACTAATGTAAATAACACTTCGACGAACTACGCGGTGAAGATGAAAACCTCGCTGAAAAAAGTTGTGAGATGCAGGCAGACAAGTTTGTAGCATGATACCACACAAACTTAATGTAATTAATCAAGTGAAGCAAAGATTTCAATGACTCGTGGCGACACGATTACTCGGTATTTTCATTCCACTATCATTCAATCCATTGTTGTTGTCAGTGATAAGATGACTTCCTCGTGCAATTTTTTGTCAGAAGTCAACATAAGGGTAATGATATTCTAACTGTAGTCAATGCTGAAGTTTTGCCATCTACAGTCGCTTTGGTGCTGAGATTCAAATCCATAGCTTGAAATAATGGGAGTGCATGTTGGTGCAGGAGAGGAGTTAGTGATGGCATTATCAGAACAACAACGACTCCGGCGGGGCAAGTTTCCATTCCAATAGGATATCTGAATAGCCGAGAAGGCAGCATTTCAATACAAAGCCTGTCCTGACAAATGAACCTGTACTCAGAAACCATGACTTTAGCAGCTTTGAGAATCGTCATATCTGATAGGAAGACAGGGTAGTAGTAGTTACAAACAATCGATGCTTGGACACATTTTGTAAGCACGCAGAAACAGAAATTCAAGTCAATCAAATGAATGAGTTCAAGTAGCATTAGTACAAACAAGTCTTTAATGCTGTGGAGCTCCACTACATAATTCTGCATTGTGCTAACAGTACAAGAAAGTTGTTCACCTAATGGAAAACCCTTCAATGACCAATACCCTCAACAAAGCTTTACAGCGGGCATCCATCCTTGCCAGGTGAACGCTAAGTATAAGTGTCCTTTGTACCATACGAACCATCATTGAAGAGGTCTTCATTTTCAGCATTTGGAGGAAAATCACAAGGGGTAGAAGAATCAGGAATGCCCGGGGCAGGAGAGCACGGAGGAGGAGAGCCCGAAGCAGGAGAACCCAGAACAGGTGAGCCCGAAACAGGTGAGTCTGTAGCAGGAGAGCCCGAAACAGGTGAGTCTGTAGCAGGAGAGCCCGAAACAGGTAGAGCCTGTAGGAGGAGAGCCCGAAACAGGTGAGCCTGTAGGAGGAGAGCCTGAAACAGGTGAGCCCTGTAGGAGGAGAGCCTGAAACAGGTGAGCCTGTAGGAGGAGAGCCTGTAACAGGTGAGCCTGTAGCAGGTATTTCCAAAGCAGGAGAGCCCGAAACAGGTGATTCCGGAGGAGAAAAGCATGGAGGAGGAGAGCCCGAAGCAGGAAAATCCAAAGAAGCAGAGCCCGAAGCATAAGAGTCCAAATCAGCAGAGCCCGAAGCATAAGAGTCCAAATCAGCAGAGCCCGAAGCAGGAGAGCCTGTATCAGGAGAGCCTGTAGAAGGAGAGCCTGTAGAAGGAGAGCCTGTAGCAGGTGAGCCTGTAGCAGGAGAGCCCGAAGCAGGTGAGTCCGTAGCAGGAGAGCCCGAAGCAGGTGAGCCCGTAGGAGGAGAGCCCGAAGCAGGTGAGCCTGTAGGAGGAGAGCCTGTAGGCAGGTGAGTCCTGTAGGAGGAGAGCCTGTAGCAGGTGAGCCTGTAGCAGGTGGTTTCCGAAGCAGGAGAGCCCCGAAGCAGGTGGTTCCGAAGGAGGAGGGCAGGAAGCAGTTGGTCCAAGGAGGAGAGCCCGAAGCAGGAGAATCCGGAAGGAGCAGAGCCCCGAAGCATAAGGGGTCCGAATCAGGTGAGCCCGAAGCAGGAGAGCCTGTAGCAGGAGAGCCTGTAGAAGGAGAGCCTGTAGAAGGAGAGCCTGTAGCAGGTGAGCCTGTAGCAGGGGAGTTTGTAGGAGGAAAGCCTGTAGGAGGTGAGCCTGTAGGAGGTGAGCCTGTAGGAGGAAAGCCTGTAGGAGGTGAGCCTGTAGCAGGTGTTTCCAAAGCAGGAGAGCCCGAAACAGGTGATTCCGAAGGTCCCCCCCCCTCCCCCCCCCCCCCCAGGTGATTCCGGAAGAGAAAAGCATGGAGGAGGAGAGCCCGGAGGAGGTGAGCCCGAAGCAGGTAATTCCGAAGCAGGAGAATCCAAAGAAGCAGAGCCCGAAGCATAAGAGTCCAAATCAGCAGAGCCCGAAGCAGGAGAGCCTGTAGAAGGAGAGCCTGTAGAAGGAGAGCCTGTAGAAGGAGAGCCTGTAGAAGGAGAGCCTGTAGCAGGAGAGTCCGAAGTAGTTGATTTCGGAGCAGTTGATTCCGGAGCAGGACCAAGAACATCAGGTGCAGGAGTAGAGGCCGCATCTACAAGAATCGCCACAGGTGATTCGGTAGCAGGAGAGCCCGAAGGTGGAGGATTGCCTGGAGCTGGAGCAGGGACATTAGGCGCAGGCGAAGGAATAGGTGAAGAAGACTTTGGAAACACCAACTTTGGTGTACGGTCCACATTCACAATTCCAAAATACATTTCGAAATCCGGGCCACCAAAAGTTTTTAATTGGTCTAAGTACTGGAACCAAAACGTGGTTTTGTTCATTTTGATGGACCAATGAAAAACGTTGTCTAGCAATAGCTGTGATTCCTGTAGAGACGGCATAACTCCTTGGGAACTTGGTGGTCCGTTTGTAGGAAAGCCAACCTCCGTGATATCGAAAAGATTATCTTGACCGAAGATGTTCTCAAGTTGATTAATCTGATCCAGGAATTTATCAAAATTCGATTTCAGAGATGAAGTGAAAAACGGGTAAATGTTTACCCCAGGAGAAGTGCATTCGTCATAGAGTCTCTTAGCATCAGAAGCGCCAAGCCAGTAGCTGATAGTCTGCACCGTGCCAACTTTTACATTACCACCCGTGCACTCTTTCACAGTCTTTATGTAGCCAATAACTTCATCGACGGTGTATTGTCCAGAACCATCGATTTGGAGATTCTCGTTACCAACATACACAGCCATGACAGTATCTGGGCTTTTCTTGTACCCATCGCATACACCTTTAATCTCCATAGGAATGTTTTCCCGTACAGCCATTTGCACACCAACAGCAATCTTACCATTTACACTGCTAACGACGTCAATTATGTTGAGACCAATCATATTAACCTCAAACGTACGAATGAAAGTGGTATATTCCAGCATTTTCCTGCAATCTGTCTCAATTCTCTCCTTAGTGACTTCAAGACCATTCCACGGGGCATAACAAATACCAAGGTTGGCTTCCGTTAAGCCAAATGCCATAGCAGCCAGCATGGCAAAGATGGTCTTGTAAGAAGTACACACCATCTTATTGAGTTCTTGAACGAAAAAAGTTGAGAGTGATAAGGAAGGGAGAGGAAGGTTGTTGTTGTTCCTTGTGCTGGACGAGGAAAATTGAATTATGTCCTTTGTTTCAAAAGCACGAGAGCATCATTCGGCCGTTTTGAACGAGACAAGAGAGAAGTCAGTTGTCGTCACTGCGTTTTGAACGACAAGGCTGCTGCTGCTGCTGGTCGGTAAGAAAAAACACGCATCATGCATACAAGAAAGGACGGATACGTTCGACACATGGCGCCTATCCATGCGATACTCGGCAATAAACTTGATATAGAAAATGAAAGAAGTCCTAGAATATTCAGATGACAGCTGGTCCAGTAAAGCACATGGCGGGAAGAACGCCACTTGCGACAAAACTTTCGTCCTTCGCATGGCACGTGGGTCGTGATCGACCTGGCATACTGTTTGAAGAATTGAAAACGGTAAACGTTAGAAACACAAGTAGTGGTGTCAAGTATCGAGTGGGATAAATAACCATTGATTTAATCTCTTCTTTTCTGATCGAACATGTACAAGAAGGTTGTTCTTATGTATCAATAGGAAAATCTTACGGCAGATGGTGTTTCGAAAACCTCACGTACTTATTGGCACGCATTTGCTTTATCGAAACATATATAGACACTAAACGTCTAGATGTGTTAGTTACAACCTAGCAACGTTCAAATCAGGGGGAAGACGTTGAGACAAAACACCGACTGTAAACTGTCGTCTATTAATACTTTAGAAAGATAGTTTTATATGGAAAAAAAGCATGATATATTCGGTTCTCACACCATCCAAGCTTCTTGATCTGAAAATTTAGGACTGGCTGGACTGGCTACAGATACGCAATGGGTGCTGTTCTTTTTACTAACGTGGTACGAGGGAGAGGAGACCTATCGACGTGGCTCGCTCGTTATCGATACGATCGATCGATAGATATATGAGCGACTGACTACTACGATTCCTAGAAAGTACTAGGACCTTGTTGGATGTTGCTAAAACAACTGTTTATCTATCTTCAAAGTACCACGTGAATAGTCCATACTGAGCAACCTCGTGGTCTTCATGTATTTAGATAACGTGAGGATCAAAAGAAACGATCGGTAGAAGGACGAAATTTTTGAGTCATGGTGTTGTTGACTGCGAAGAAAGCATTCGATTGAACGAGATGGTATTGGATACAGTCAATAGTCATGTACAGATGACATGAATCTATCGATGCAAAGAATAGCGTAGTTACTTGCGTGACGTTTGATATTTGATATTCAAGAAAGTGCCATGCATATTGGTGTAACCGTTGTAAAATCAGAACACCTTTGCGCCGCTCAAGTGGCACGTGCATCATCCTCCTACCTAGTCTCTTGGTCATGTGATCTTCTAACCAACTGCTTAGACGAAACAAAGAGATCGCAAATGCTTGTGAACTTGTCATCATGCTCGTATAAAACGCCACGAACTTGGTTTGAATCGTAACCACTAAGCTCCTGCTCAAAAAGAATCGGTAAAGGACACGTCAGAACATCGAAAAAACTGCCGCATGAAACCAATTAATGGATTCTCATGACGCCCATTTATGCTGATTGGTGTCTTTCCAACACGATTAGGACGGTCGACTTTCATGTACAAGCATAACAGTGCAAGCCTATTCTGATCGACACTCACGACAGCAAGCTCCAGATTTGCTGCATAGGTTCAGCTGATGAGATTTCTAGCTTGGGCTCAGCCTGAATCTGCAAACACTTGATCATAAAAACGACGTAAATTCAGTGAAGCGGATACCTTCTATCGTCAGAATGGAGTGTCATGACTGTATGTATACATACAACACCTCATCACTCTGACTGGGGAATAATGATTGATATCGGTTCGTCTTCTACTCTTCCGTCCAAGTTAAGGCCTTTGTAGATGAAGTTTTGCCATTTCCTGTTCGATCTCTGGAAAGTTTGATTGGACCACGTCCACTGAGCATTGAAACATGTCGATTCTTCTTCTTTCTATAGTGTTTGTTGTCTAGCACGACTGCTTGTCTATCTCTCTACCTACCTCTTACCCACGAAACCTTCCTCTTTCTTTAATCTAATTCCATCTACCTAATGTACAAGTTTCTATCATCTGTCTGTCTGCACTTCACTTGAACTTTCTTGTCACTCACTCTTCTTAAACCTGCATGGACGTGTAAAACGTGTGACTTTCACTTTCCGACTGTGTCTCCTCTTGCTCAATCTGTACAATGCATTCTGGCAACTGAAAACGTTCAAATCGCAGTACCAGTGGTTTAGGCACCACCTGAAACACCTCCTGCATTGTATGCAAACGAGGGATGGAATACTCGCCCAAACGTTTCATCACAAATTTGCTTGTAATCTGGAAACAACTTGCTGCGAGACACTCAGCTATGCGCTTAGTGACTAGAATTTGACCTCCAGCTCCCAACTCTTCGATCTCGTTGGCAATGACTGCAGAAGCCCCGGTATATGTCAATTTCCCTGTTACCACATGTACATCTTGAACAAGAGGTCCTTCCGACTCGATTGCATCGTGCACGCCCATGCGAACACGAAGACCTTTAAAAATTGTTTTCGTTCCAACGCGCTCTTTTCGTGTGGCGGGTACCAAGTTGTGCAAACGTTTGGGCCACTTTGCGTTAAGTAGTTGCATTTGAGCATCCAAACAATACTCCACTGCATCTTGAATCGTATGAAAAGCCAATTGAAAAGAATCACCTGCTGTAGCAATCTCGTAGCCATGGTATGCAGCTAGTAAACTTCGTAAAATGTCATCGTGAACTTGTGTTGCCTGCTGCATGATTCGACCATCACCCTCAGCCCAAAGCTCGCTGGACGATTCAATATCAGTGATCACAAACACAGGATTAATGTCAGGCTGATCGCAGTCCTCAGGTATAGTCACACATTCCTGACGCTGGGTATATTGTGCTATAATTTCGTTGGGAACACAGCATCCTAAGCATCGTACGACACAAGGTTGACTGCAACCAGCGACGATGGAGAATACGAAACCACGCAGATAAAACAGTGTAAAGCTTATTCCAGCGTAGCGTGAAACTGTTTCTTCGTCAATTGGTGCCGCGTATAGAACTACTGATGAAAACTGAAATTGAAAGGCAAATAACGCGTACGCAAGCCTTTCAACAGTAGAAACGCATTAGTCGAGACCAATAGCATCCATGTCATAACAATAGGAACGTACTTACATGATCCACTTGAGCCGTCGGTAGAGAGGAGAAGTCACAAAAGTTCCATGAATGCTTTCGTAATTCCGACCATTTCTCTTGAGCACGATCACCATAATCACCATGTAGACAAGTACAACAATCTGTGCAGCGTATACAGCTAACAACATCGAATAGGCGTATGTAGAGTATCCCACGAAAATAATGGCAAGAACGATTTCAACAACTAAGAAAGTTGCAATGCTGGAGTGACCAACCCATGCATACAAGCGGATTTGAGCTCGTTCGTGTTTCTCTCCACGGTCCATGGAAAGCGCTACGAGTTTGGACAATTCATACACGAGAGCACCAATCCAGATTGAAAGTCCAAAGTTTGTCGTGTCACCAACAACAATCACAGCAGTGATCCAGCCATTTTGCTTTTGGATCAGTTTCAATACTGCACTCGTTCCCAATCGATATAGCTCCGTTGTCATCACGGCATCTTTATTCAAGTCGTTGTAATCGCTAAACCGTCTCCTTTCATGGATTGCAATCGTGAGCCATATGAAATACACCAGTCTTGATGTCGAAGCAATGAACTGGTAGGTAAAAAAAGCAGCAAACAACCATCTTACACTTGAAGCACGAACATACCAGTCTTTGTAGAACTTGAAGACGACTAAACCCGTGCCCAATGCTGACAACATTAACGCAGCAACGCAGAGGATGGCCCAAATCATATGTGTCAAGTAAAATCAAGTGTGGCGTTCATATCATCGAGGTGTAGGTTGGATACCGGAACGTTAAACACCGACTGGGACGAGGTAGATAGATAGATATAACTTCAAGGTGCTCTGTCCGCCCTACAGCTCCAGTTCCTTCTTTATTCTTTCCAGACAAAGGCATTTGGTCGTTTAGACATCAACGACATTGTTGCTCACCAATGCATGAAGAATCAGCTTGCTGTTGAATCGGTGACGAAGGCCAAATGCAGCAGAGAGGGGAGCAAACGGTTAGGAGAATATCCTGTACCAGTCAGCAATTACGTAATTTTTTTAGTTCTTGACTGGTTTGACCTGTACACGTCGCTTAACGGGCAGATTGTCATTCAGTTTTGCTGATTTGAGCGACGAGGTCTCCACGTTTTTCGGTTTTTGGGCGGCTTTGTTCGATCCTCGCAGCGAAATCGAATGAGCTGGTAATCAATTGAGCACCGTAAGTCGAGTCATTTCTTTGAAAACGTTCCTGCTCAGTGGTGTAATCCATATCATTAAGCAGCAGCCTATCAATCAAGAAAAGTGTACCCACCAATGCCTTTTGTCCATCGACTTGCGAAAGGTTATCAACCGAGTGCTGAACGGGTATGCAAACGAAAGAATTTAAATGTGGGTCTACGACGCTCATAATCAACCGACACCTGTTGGTATCCAAGCCAGCTCAAGCTTTGAGCTGTCAAGTTATAGAGCATGGTCGTATTACAGTTATGGCCCCGAAGGTAAACTGTAATACTCTTTTGCCTCAGTTGCCTGCGTAGTAAGTAAGCTGCAACTCATTCAAATTTGGGACGTTTCGTTTGGTCGGCCAGAATTCACTCCGCCTGCTTGTCGACGCAGCTCTTCCTATTCTTCAAAGTTGCAGTGCTTGTGTAATGTCATGAATCAAACAAGCGACATCCGCCATTCTTCATTAACCGCTTGTCTAAATTCCACCAGCCCGCAACTTCATCCTGCGCAATAAGAGACCTTTGTAGCCCCACGGCCTCGGCAAACGATTAACTCTCGTGACAATTTCATATGCATCGTTAAAGAGCAGGACGAATGCAGCACCAACCGGTTTCGTTAGAATGCCTCAAGATCATTTCACCCATCTCAATTCAGCAGCGGACGACGATGCCAAAAGGGACGGGTCTCCGGCATCTCGAGAGACCCGCTGTACTAAAGCTTCAGGCACCACCAATCCTAAACCGCGTTTTCAGAATACGAACATGACCATGCTCACAAATATCTGGCTGACAAAACGGCTATACTGACAATTGCAATGTCTTCAACGTGCTCGAAGATGCACCGACAAGATGTTGACACAACGACCACCTTCTTGTCCAGTGCTAAGCACAGCAGGGGCACCTTCTACACCTAGCAATACGAAGGAATGAAACCGAGAAACCTGCAGACCCTTACTGATTGTGCGTCCTGCGTAAGGCCACATACTGTCAAGTGTAGCAAGTACTAGCAAGAACGCGAAAGCGATAGCATGTGATGAAGTTGACCATCAGCTTCTGCAAACATTCCGCACTTTAACAAAGCTGCTAGTATCGTCGGTTCCACGATGCGATGCTGTGTAGTTATTCCCGCGATTATATACGCCAAACGTTATCGAAATATTTAGTGCCCATTGTCTGAGTCCGGGTGTCACAAAGTCAGGCAGCACGTCTCGAGGCACGAAGAGCAAACATTTGATGAATTTTTCATCACCACGCACCAGGACACCAGCAGAAGTTTTACCTTGTCGCGCTCAGAGCAACTGAGTCAAGAACGGTAGTGAAGCTGCCTCGGGAATGCCACTAGCTCACAGGTGCCAGAACTTCTTGTCGCTGTTCAATTGAACTGCGTACATCGTCTTTTGGCCTTAGATGTTTATCTTGCATCATATAGATTCTTCCTGGACACGTTAGTTGATACTCACCGACACAATTTGCAATCCGTGAGAGGGATATCCAGCTTTCAACATCCTAATGGAACGCAGTCTCCTGCTTTGACCTATCCTTCATGGACACAAAATTATGGTAGAGACCTGATGTGCGCGAATATGTTTTGAGGTCCCGATATGAAGGATATAGGTCCTTTGTAATCGTGTTCGACTACTCCATATGATCGGCATTTGATGCTACATTCCTGTTGACGCCTTTTTCAACCTTGAACGTCTCAGTTTTGTTCCGTCTGTTTAAGCAGCGAAATAAAACCAAAACTACGACTGCAGTTAGGTCGTAAAAGGCTTGTTGATAAGCTCTATGGCCTCTTTGACTGCAGAGTAACAAATTCCGTACGGTAAAAAACTCTTTCAAGTTGCTTCAAAGCCCTCGTCGGTTAGCATAACAAGTGATCTGTCTCAGGTATTTCCTTTTTCTCCGTCACTGCGTACTGTTCAGCATTAGGACTTCACAGCTCGTTGCTCAACCTTTTCCGCTGGATCATCTACTGCTTCAACCATCGCCAAGACATTCAACAAGCAAAATCTTCACTTTCTGAAGAATCAGATGACAGCTGAATCTACGATGCTCTATTGAAGCCGTCATTTCTACTCGAAGCGTTAGTCGATGGGACCAACTTTACGGTCTAGTGCTCTGACCCAGTCGCCATTTGATAACATGATCTGCCAAATTGTCTGTGCTCCAGGATTACTCAACTAAATCAGCCGATACAAAAGTACTTTATGCTGACATTGTTGGTGGTTTTGCGACGAAGAAGACTGCACAATCAGTTGCTTCTCGATCGCAAACAGCCACACACTGCTTGTTCTAGCATCATCTATGGTCGTGCAGCAACCACAGCTAGGCGAAGTCGCCTCAAAAATGTAGCTGGCAAACCGATCAGCTGATCTGACGGCATTGCGTCAAACCAACGAACCACCGTACACAGCAGTCGCCGTCGAGATTTTAATCTTATAGCAGGCGAGCATTCCAAAACCAGCTCGACAGATATTGTTGAACACCCGAACGTCAGCCTAAAATGATCCTCTAATGAAGAATTCTCGTCAGTAGATAGAACATGGCACATCCAGTCAATGACGCTCTCAATGTACTCCTCGCTTCTAGTCCCTGAGCAATGCACGTTCATTTTCGACGCAATACCCATCGCAACATGGCCAACGAGATGCATGACGCCGATCTTGTTCTCGACGTTTGTTGTGCCAAAAAGTTCTTGACACCGTTCAATATTGAAGATCTCCGTGACGAGGTCGACACCGTATACTGCTGTGCATATCTCCATACTCTTAACAAGCTCAAAGTAATCAGCTGATAAGAGATTTCGGATTCCATTTACTTGATGTTCAGATTTTGATGATTGACAAAGAACAACAACCATATCGAGAAGTTTTTCCACGCCAGTGCGCTGGAAGCTGAAATCGTTACCATCTACATTCTCTAGCTCAGGCATCTGGATTGCATCAGCAATAGTGTGAAGCATCGTGATACTTGACTGGCGCAACAGAAGCTGTTCATTTGCAGCAGCAATGCCTGAGATTACTACCAAAGTCCGCTGCAAGGTCTCGTTTAGAATCCCCTCTCGCTCAATGCAGTTTTGGTCGAACTTACGCTCCAGGATAGCTGGGTAAATCTCCAACATCGCCATTGCAAAGTACAAACCTCTGATGTTTGGGTTATCTCGCAATAGATCGAAGAGCAGCACTCGCGAACGAACAAGTTGGCCAGTTGATCGGCATAGATGCGTGTGGAGGGCACAGATGTGCACCAAAAACACTTTGTTGTGGCTGATGTTGGCCTGTCGTGTTGTAACTTGCAACTGCTCATTGTTCTCTGACAAAAGCGCCCCAATATTTGTACGCTTTTCGACCAAAAAACCTTGAAGATGCAACAAACACTCGTCAACCAATGACAAACACAATGATTCAGGTGATCCATCTCGCTCCATCTCTTCATTGCCGCTGCACAGAACTCGTGTCAACACTTGACTGCAAAGCCAGCTCAAACTTCTTCTGCTTTCCTGCATCAAACGACGAGATCGCGGGGATCGAAAGAGACTGAGCGATCCACTTACCACAAACATTGAAGAGATTTCCAGCGCACGATACGCATCGGCCAGAGCTCGACACAAGGCTATCTGCAGAAAACAATGGCATCGAACACGTTAGAGAAGTGGCACCATCCAAAACATACACTATTGTTCGGCAAGCTACTTACCACGTGGTCAAGATGCGCATCAACAAACTTGGAGCTCGAGTTCACCAGCACAGCAAGAGTTCGCCTAGTATATCCATTGTCAGGTTTTTCGCCCTTACCCAATACAATGGCTTGCTTAAATGTTGACAACGATTTCTTTAACCGCAGCTCTTCCTTGGCCTCGGCTGTGGTTGCACTCTTCTTTTTCTTGTCAGCCTTAACCGATTTAGTCAGTGGCATAACTTCAGCTTGTCCAGAAGCATTGTTCAGTTTCATTTTCTTGTGTGAAGCGCTTTGAGGTAACTCCATATTTGCGTCATCTGCTTTTCGGGAATTTCCAATCGTGCAAACTTCAGTCGCAGGGCGAATGCTGAAAAAGTGTGTATCTGCATGATAAGCTTCAGCACTATGCTCACCAGAATCTATCGGCGTAACCGGAAAATCAACTGAGGCGTGATCTGAAGGCTGTTCACAACTCATAGTAGGATCTAGCTTCAATTTAGTTGGTTTGTTCATGCTGCAGGAGAGTTTCATTAAGCCTGATTTCATTGGTACTTTGGATGAGGTTGTATCGCCCGACGAAGTTTGACTGTCATGGACCACAGTGCCACTCGTATCGTCACTGACATTATCACTCGGCTGGATGGAGCTAGAAACTGATTTCTGGACACGACTTGGCTGAGAGTCCACAGCAATGCTGGTCGGGTTTTTCTCCATTGTATCGATCAGTGCTTCTGTACTAAGATCCAGATGCATACGTTCGTGATTTTGTATCGTCATGTCTGCATCAAATGACGGGGCGTACTCGTCTTCAAATATGGTGACAACATTCTTTTCAGCTGTAGTTGTAGGAACAACTGCATCTTGGTCAATAGGCAAAGATACTCCTGACTTACTGTCCTTCTTGACTTGCAATGCTGTTGTTTTTACACCGACCTTTTCCTCAACTACTGTTTTATTCTCAGCAACATTATCCACTCGATTAGCCGCGGGGTCATTTCCATTGCTGTCACTGCCACTGCTCAAGTTACTATCACTGCTTGAACCACTGGAACGAGAACTGTCAACCTTTCCGTGATTCTCTATGTCAGAGTCTGCATCTAGTGCTGCAAACTCATCGTCTAGTGCATCGTCAATAGACGTCACAACCCGTTTTTTGCTTTGAGAAACATCAGTAACATCTTGTCGTGCTGAATTTGTTTGCTCAGCATGTTTTTCGTCGGAAATATCTCCTACATGGCCGCTGTTTTCTTCGTCACTGCTTGATTCCAAATCCTTGTCAATAGCGTTGGAAATTGCAGAATCAAAGTCCGGCAATACAGCAGGTTTATTTCCAGCACCATGTCCGTTCCTTCCTCCTATCCGCCCATTATTCACGTTCTTCGCTGCGTGTGCGACACCTGTTTGTCTTTGCCCTTCATGCTCTACACTGCTAGAGTCCACCTTCTTTTTCATATCACAAAAAACTGTCTCATCAACACCCTGAAGTCGTAAGAACTGTTCATTTTTGTCAATCAGAACCGGTTCAATATCATCATCACAACTCATCTCCAGCTCCTTGTTTATTTCGTCCACCACTGATGATTGATTCAATACACTCCATTGTCTCTCAGTATCCTCCTCTTGTGTACATTTCATCTCCAAAACCTCTCTTGTCTCATGACTCATATCCTCTGAATCACTCATGGCTAATTCTGCATCTAATGCTGCACTTGTTTCTTGAAACATAAATAATGTACCCATTGACTTGTCCATTGCTACCTCATTCCTTGGCCCTTGTTGTACATTACAATCAATGTCTTTAATATGTTTTGTGTCTTCATTGGACTGTCTTGAAAGGATTGGGACAAATGTATCCACTTGATCAGGTCGTGACATGGCTACTTTTCGGTCTCGTCCTCTTTTTCGAAACATGAACGTCTCCATCTTCTTCTTTTTCTTCACTTGTTCATCTCCTTGTCCTGTTAATAATGTCGCATTGGTAGATGTAACAATATCTTGGTCCTCATGTGTCTGCGTGGCTACAGTTTGAACCGGTTGTTTTGCTGGTTTTACGTGCGACTTAAATGTGTTTTTACACGGTTTTTCAACGGTTTTAGACCGTTTTTTTGCCACATTTAGCTGGTTTTTCAAAGTTTTTACTTCTTTTAGCAACGTTTCAACATGGAGACGATAGTCTTTTAATCGAGCTGCTGCTTCCTTGAGCTTTGATTTCGTCAATTGCTTGTAATCAATACCCTTTTGCACCTGTCGTTCAAGTCGTGCAATGGTCTCAGCTTGACGCTCAATAATATCTGCCTGTGAAATCTGTGCTGCCACAGGTGCATCCATTGGTGCGAGTTTAAATGGTTTTATTGACTGGATGCTATTAATTATCTAATTTCAGCTAATTTGTAGCTTAACTATCGGTAAAACTGACCGTCGAGGATAGAAATGGCTACATTGCAGCAAATGGCTACAACGGAACAAAGCTCTGACATAAAGCAGCTCCTGAACGCAACAGCACGATTCAAATATGACGTCGATCATTCCTTCTTGCCCGTAATATTCTCCAAATTGACGTATACTGTCTTTATTTGCAGCTATTATATAGAACATCATATAGCGTTTCATTCGACAAACACATGGATCTTGTCCATGTTTTTGATTTGCATCTTGATGCGTCAACATTTGAGCTGTTTGACTTCTAAAAAACGTTTCAATGCAGTACGCCGTATGGTATACCTTTTTATCGTTATAATAGTAACTTCATATAGTTTCTGTATCACAAGCTATTACCTACCTATGTGACAGACATATCTATCCATCCTGGCTGTACGATAGAAACGGCCAAAACGCAACAAGTCGATCCTTAAGTGCGTGTCTACTCGATTGTATCTTTTTTATACACCATAATACTAGACTGACAAACAGACGGTGTGACTTGACTGACTGACTGGACCGGAGTGACTCGAGTACTGTTCCTCTATAAAATGCACACTCCTTCTCCATTCGGTGTGATCATGACAATACTTGAATAACGTGTTTCTAATGGATCATTATACACACTCTCTTCCGATCCACGAGCTCCCATTGTTGTAGTTCCTGCCATCCCATCCGTGTCTTGATTTCGCATCGTCTTAGTCTCGTGCAGTGGTTTTTTCACATATACAACAATCGCAATGATTGCAACGCAGCCTAAACCACCAGCTGCTGCAAAAAAGACCGATGTACCTGTGCCATTGTCACCTGATACAAATTCAGCACGTTTTGCTTGGGCCTCGACAGTTTCCATATTGTTGTGATCATTTGTTGCATCACGTGGTGCAGTTGAAACTGCTGGAGGTGTTTGAATTGGTGCGACCACAGGAACCACTGGGATTTGCTGTTTCAATGTTGATTTCTTCTTGGAATCTGGTGTTGAAATGCCACGCAAGTCAGAGGTTTTCATTGGTGTCGAATCTGGAGCTGAAGACGGCGTAGAAACCCGTTTGATTTTGTCCGAGTTACGATCAGATTTCGTGTCGAGTATAGTGGGTACAAAAGAAAGAGAACCTTTCTTACTCGTGGTAGTCGTTGTCGTCAAAGATGTCGTGGTCGAAGGCTTTTTTGATACAACAGACGATGAACGAGATTCATGACTAATCGTGGAATCGTCACTGTCAAAGGAATTGTCATTGTCAGAAGTGTCGTCACTGTCAATATCCTCACTGTCAATTGCGTCCTTTTCATATTCTTCACCTTCAGGTTCGTCCTTTTATTCTTCCTTTCAGGCTCATCCTTTTCAGGCTCATCCTTTTCAGGCTCATCCTTTTGATGTTCGTCCTCTTCAGGTTCATCCTTTTGAGGTTCGTCCTTTTCAGATTCGTCACTTTCAAGCTTGTCACCTTCAGGTTTGTCACTGGTAAATGTGCTCTGTGTCTTGGAGGTCGATTGACTGGAGTCTAAATCCTTTGCGCCAGTAGTAGTCTCAGGTTTTGAATCTGACGGCTGCGAAGCGGTCACAGGGACCACACTCGAGGTGATTGGCTCTGTCTTCTCTTGGTCATTTTGTGAAGAAATTTGCTCGGTCGTGGCAGCATTCGTCTTTACTGGCGCAGCCTTAGGAGATGGCATCGCGTATGCAAACTGCCATGCTGTCTTCACTCTGGACAGCTGCGTTTTTTGCTGCGCTGATCGGCGTCGTCACAACAGACGGCATCGTCTTAGGGACATTCAACGTATTGTGTGCTGTCTCCGCAATGAATTCCGCAGTCTTGATCCCCGTCTTTGAATCAGGAGTCGCAGTGTTTGCTACGCTCGACATGTTGTCAGATACCGTATTGACGATAGGGTCGACGGTGTTAGCCACCTTCTTCAGAACAGGAGTCGCAGTATTCACTACGTTTGACGTGTGTTTTGGAACCGTGTTCAGCGTGTTAGCAGCGTTGCTGGTCACTTTGTTCAGAACAGGAGTCGCAGTGTTCGCTACGTTGGACGTGGTGTAAGTCATCGGCTTCAGTGTGTTATCAGCGTTGTTAGTCGCTTTCTTCAGAACGTGAGTCGCAGTATTGGCCACATTGGACGTTTTGCTGGCCACGTTCTTCAGAACGGGACGCACAGTGTTCGCTACGTTGGACGTGTTGTTGGTCACCACTTTCAGCGTGTGGCCGGTGTTGTTGGTCACTTTTTTCAGAACAGGATTCGCAGTATTCGCGACGTTGGACGTGTTTTTGATCACCCTCGTCAGCGTGTCGCCAGCGTTGTTGGTTGCTCTCTTCAGAACGGGAGTCGCAGTATTTGCCACGTTGTACGTGTTGTTGGCCACTGTGGTCACCGTGTTGGCAGCTTTGTTGGTCATTTTCTTCAGAGCGGGAGTCACCGTATTTCCTACATTTGAAGTATTGTTGGTCACCGTCTTTAGCAGCGAGTTGGCAGCATTGTTCGTCGCTCTCTTCAGAATAGGAGTCGCAGTATTTGCCACGTTGTACGTGTTGTTGGTCGCCGTCTGCAGCGTGTTGGCTGCGTTGTTGGTCGCTTTCTGCAGAACGGGAGTCACCGTATTTCCTACATTTGAAGTATTGTTGGTCACCGTCTTTACAGCGAGTTGGAGCATTGTTCGTCGCTCTCTTCAGAATAGGAGTCGCAGTATTTGCCACGTTGTACGTGTTGTTGGTCGCCGTCTGCAGCGTGTTGGCTGCTTGTTGGTCGCTTTCTGCAGAACGGGAGTCACCGTATTTCCTACATTTGAAGTATTGTTGGTCACCGTCTTTAGCAGCGAGTTGGAGATTGTTCGTCGCTCTCTTCAGAATAGGAGTCGCAGTATTTGCCACGTTGTACGTGTTGTTGGTCGCTGTGGTCACCGTGTTGGCAGCTTTGTTGGTCATTTTCTTCAGAGCGGGAGTCACCGTATTTCCTACATTTGAAGTATTGTTGGTCACCGTCTTTAGAGCGAGTTGGCAGATTGTTCGTCGCTCTCTTCAGAACGGGAGTCGGTATTTGCCACGTTGTACGTGTTGTTGGTCACTGTGGTACCGTGTTGGAGCGTTGTTGGTCACTTTCTTCAGATAGGAGTCGCAGTATTCGCTACGTTGGACGTGTTGTTGGTACCGTGGTAGCGCGTTGGAGCGTTGTTCGTGCTTCGTTAGAGCGGGAGACAGTGTATTCTAATTTGACGTATGGTTGTTGGTCGTCTGCAGCGTGTTGGCTGCGTTGTTGGTCGCTTTCTGCAGAACGGGAGTCACCGTATTCGCGACGTTGGACGTGTTATTGGTCAACGTGGTCAGCGTGTAGGCACCGTTGTTGGTTGCTTCATTCAGAACGGGAGTCACCGTATTTGCTACATTTGGCGTGTTGCTGGTCACCGTCTTCACCGTGTTGGCGGCGTTGTTAATCACACTATTCAGAACGGGAGGCGCCATATTCGCGAAGTTGGACCTGTTGTTACTCTTCGTTTTCAGCGTGTCGCTAGCGTCGTTTGTCCCTTTCATCAGAGCAGGAGTCACCGTATTCACTACATTTGACGTGTTGTAAGTAGCGTTCTTGGTCGCCTCTTCTATTATTGAAGTCGCAGTATTTGCGACGTTGGACGTGTAGTTGGTCACCGTCTTCAGCAGCGTGTCGCCAGCACTGTTTGTCACTTCCTTTGTTACAGGAATCGCCGTGTTTGCTGCATTCGTCGTGTCGTTAGTCTTCGTCGTCAAAACTGGCGTCACCGTGTTTGCTACATTCGACGTATTGTTACTCCCTGTTTCCAGCGCAAAGCTAGTGACATTGTCGTCAAGAAGATTCGCATCGGTATTTGACAAAAGTGTCTTTGAATCCACCGTCTGCATGGAATCATGGAATTTTGAGTCCTTTTTCACGGAATACGTCACGTCGTTCTCGAAACTCGATCCCATCAGGATGATATCATCTTGTTTCTTCACGATATTGTCCTGTATCGTCTCTCCACTAGTCGTAAGCGTATTTCTAGTCAAGTTGACGTGATCTCGTGTCGTTTTTTCCATCACTTTATCTTGTCTCGAACCTGTTACATCTGTATTCGTCTCATGATTAGTATCAGCATTGAATCCATTGTCATTCCCTTGATCTCTCGTCACTTTCTCGTTTGTATTTAATGTTGAATTGACTATACCAGTATCAACCTTTGGTGCTTTCAACATATCCACAGAAGAATTTATATTGACTGGCGTTGTTATTGAATTTACCAATGGTAACGAATGAGTCTCGATCAAACCCGTATTCGGGTAGATGCTCGAACTCATTGTACTTGTCTCCATTCCATGTATTGTTACCATGATGAAACAAGTTGTTGTAATCATTTGAATACATGTAGACGCCATTATTACTATTGAGAGAGAGTGCGACGGGAGATTAGAGACTGAGAGCTTGTCTCGAGTAAATATAGTATAGTATAGTCAAACCTAGAGAGATAAAGCTGTAGATGTAGATGTATATTATAGATGATGGACAAGTGAAGAATATAACAATGTGACACAAATGAGAAGGACTTTACGGATGAAGAAATGAATAACAAATAAAAAGTATCAACGAGTTGTTAACTGACTGACTGACTGTCTGTCTGTCTGTAATAATAATCTATATACAAAGAACGAGGAATAATGAAACAACGACCGGAGGGCGTATAGTTCTTTCAGTTACAAAAGACTTGAACAGTGCTGATCGATCTAATAATGTCTACCTACTACCAGACGTTATTTTGTCCGTGTCGACTGACTATCTGTCGATGGGACTTGCGTACCATGAACAAAACAAGGACATTTGTTTACAACAACATAATAAAACCAAGTGACTTCTGAACGTTATGACACTAGAGAGTACAGTTGGGAAAGAAACGGGGACAAGTTGTACCACGTGGATGAACAAAATATCGGACACTTCGAGCGGGACACGATGTTCAGTACAATAAATACACTGTCCTTGATGTAGCCATGTATAGAGAAATTAATTGAAGGAATGCACTATCCCCTCAAAGGTTTATTATGTGAGTGTGTATCTATGATTTTTAACCTTTTTACTACTGAAAAGAAAGGATCTAATAGCAAGCGCTGCAAAACTACCAAGCTGTTAGACGATCTCAAATTCCAGCTGGAAACAATAGAAAGGACGCTTTACCGTTACATACGTCATTTCAAGCGTTTCTTGTGTTATGTATCATGCAGCGAAAATATCTTCCATATATACACAACGCCCTCACTCACTTGTATTCCTCAAGGTCAATCGAATCGATAGTCTTTCATTCCAATTACGATACTACTTTACTTGACTTGATGAATGCGATATGATGATGTATGTAATATATGTTACATTTGATATTGGACAGATATGAAAGACACGCCCAAGTGTCCCAATGTTGCTAAATGATGTCGACCACCTTATTTTATAATAAACCTTTTTGTTTATCAATAATAATAATAATACTTTTCACGTGTAATTTCTTCCTTGTTTTGACCTCTACTTTAGGACCATCTATTTTTTAGTGTTTTACGACTAAACAAGTGTCATCCAACTCTTAATTCGTCCCATTGATCCATCCTTCCTCGCTCAATCAAGATGACGTGCAGTGCAGCTTCTTCCATTGACAATCATTCATCTTCCAATGTTTCCAGTGAAGACGAGATAAAAGACATTTCAGTCCGTTCTTCTCCTTCTTCTTGCACTCCAAATGTCCAAGTAGAAATGATAAATGAGACTCATTCGAATGCTGATGTCGTTTCTTTGAATACGTCCATAGGAACGTCTGTAGCTCCTTGTTATGTATTCAAATGCTGCCAAGATGTTGCCAATTCCATTCGACACACGTCCAAGTGGATAGATGTACAATATGAGCACTATATGGATGCTCTTGACCATATAACAAGGCATTGGCCTTCCTTAATCGAGACTTTCTCAGCTACGACGGATCCAATGGAAAAACGACTGGAATCGTATCATTCACTTCGTGCGGAGCTGTATCAGATCTTCCAGCAGTTCTATCCACTTACAGAACTCATGTACATAGAATGGATCAATGATACAAGAGCTACGACGAAAGGTGAGTCGATCGCGAATCTCAAGACACTCTATGAACTCGCTCGACGTGATTATTCGTCCGTCTCAATTACATTACAATATCTACGATTTCTTAACGAATATGGAGATCAACACGAGCTTGAACGTGCAATCAAGAGAGAGCTCAAGACACTGGGTACGCACTTTGCACGAGGTCATGAAGTCTGGGCTTTATGTCGGGAATTAACGGCTGAAAAATACCAAGAAATGGAGCAGCGACATGAGATTTTAGTGCAGAAAGAGAAGGCTATTCGAGACCTCTTTTACAAGCAAATGCAGTTGCCTTTGGATCAGAACGATCTCGTCATGTCGGAGTTTCGAGCGTGGGATATGTACAATTCACTTGATACTGAAGCATCGGGAGTAGTGTTCGAAGAGGCTTCAAAACTACAGAGTAAGGTGTTTGCACCTTTGATGAAGAAGCTCCGTAGATTTGAAGCAAGGATTTGTGCGATATCTGGGACGGAGGATGTTGCAGCATTGGAACAGGCTTGGCAGCAATATTTGAACTTTGTCAAACACCGTGTTGCGCCGTTAATGGCGAGTCAAAAGACAGATTTTGTCAACGGGAGACACATTGTGGTGGGTCTGTACGAGCGCGCAATATCAGCCTTGTGTCTGAGTCCCACGCTTTGGGCAAATTATCTTGAATACTTAGAGTTTGACCAGATGGATGCTGATGAAGAGGCCGAGATAGATTGTGGAAAGTTGACAGTTGCGCGGAAAGCTGTACGAAATGTGCCATTTGACTCATCTGTCTGGGTCGAGTTGTTGGTCGAGATGGAGCGGAAGGAGGACAAACCTGTGCAGAAGATTTCGCAATTCATACGAACAAACTTACTAGCGCGTTCAAGCCCGCCTATGGATCAGTTTCACTCGTTACGCGTATTGTTTGCATGGTGCGACGCGATACGCCGTAGCGTCTCCAGTGGTATAAGTGGAAAGTTATCTGACGACAATGTGCAACAGGTGGAGTCGTTAGTTGGTGGAGTTTTTTCCGAGTGTGAGCAATTTATTAGTAAGATTTTTCCGGACTTCGTGGAGGGCAAGATTCGGCTGGCGGAGTACCAAGCAAAATGTTACTGGGCACTGATGCCACCCGTTGAAGCTCCAAGGTGTGCTTTTGCAGAAGCGACAAAAGTATCTAAGCTGAATGAGTTATGGGAAAAGACGCTTCGTTCCCCTCTTGGGAACCAGACTGCGACATGGATTGCCTATTTGAAGTCTATTCGACGCATGAATGCATACTCAACCGACATTGTCCGCACGCTGGTCTTTGACAAGGCTGTGCAGCGTGTTACGGATGCCCCGGCTGTTTTGGCTGAGACATGGCTTGTCTTTGAGCGCGAAAATGGAGATTTGAAAAATTATCTGCGCGCACGACAATATCACGCGAAGCACTATGCAATCACGCAAGGTATTGCGATTCAAGGTGCTACCCCTATTCCAACTTCAATGCCCGATGAAGGAGACAAAAAGACTAAATGTGCCAAGAAGCGTAAGGCTGCTACTGAAGCAAAGCAGATTAAGGGGTTACAGACGCAATTGCCCACAAAGCGTGCTAAGCTAGATGCTAACAACGTCAGAGGAGACACTACTGATAGCATGGACGTTAATGTGATCAAGACAACGAAAAGAGCAGAGAAGAAAAAAGTGCATGAGAAGTTAACAAACGATCACACGCTCTTTTTGTGCAACGTGTCGAAGGATGCAAGCAAAGAAGATATTGAGGAGATGTTCAACGATATTCCTACCTTGAAGGATGTTCGGCTTGTTACGAAGACGCGCGGCGACCGAGTCAAGTCACGCGGGATGGCATATGTCCAGTTTACCGACGACAATGGCGTTGAGACCGGACTCAAGAAGGATGGGTGTTTGCTTCACGGAATCCCGTTGCGTGTCGAACGCTCGAAACCGCCAGTAACCTCCACCTCTACAGGCGCAGTACAATCATCATTACAAGAAGCTGGTGGGTTCTGGAAAACCGATCCATTAACGCTATATGTTGGCGACCTGAACCGCGAGGGGTCGAAGGAACAAGTAACTGAGGAGCACCTGCAGACTTTGCTTCAGCAGGCAATGCACTCGGCGGGTGAGCTTGTCGTGGTCAACCGTGTGTGTATTCTGAAAGATCGTCATGGCAAGTTAAAGAACTATGGGCTCGTGGAAGTCGCCAAGCCTTCACAGGTTGCATTTTGTCTACGCAATGTGGCTGCTTTGAAAGCAAAACTGGGTGACCAAGTGACTCTAAAGCCTTCTCGCTTTTCGATTGCGCATGTCCTAGAACAACAGAAGAAGCAGCAAAAGCAGAAGCCACAGCGGAAAACAAATACCACGTCTTTTAGCAACCAAGATGGAGCAGCTACAAAGGAAGGAGCTAACGCAGCGCATGCACGACCGTCTACGCGCCTTGCTTTATCATCAAGTGGGTCGATTACAAGCTTAATGCCACGAGCATTACGTCGGAAGCTGGCGACAAACGTGGCCAAAGCATCTAAAACAGAGGTGCGAGCTGATGATGCACCTGTGATACCCAAGAGCAACGAGGATTTCCGTAAAATGCTGTTCAATCAGTAAGTAGCTCTTCGATCGTGATCAAACAAACCTGAACGTTATTCTGTTACTGCTACTAGCAGCAGCAGTAGCAATCATGACAACAATGTTTAGTACTTTCATGTTGATCGCTAACTAGTAAAAAACCTGAACCTTTTACTAAAGCTCAAGACGAATCACTTTGCTTTCAATCACATCCGAGTCTGGAAAACATAACGAGATAAATTCACTAAGTTGTTTGCACCACGTGTGTTGTTGACATGTTGTTTCTCCAGTATAATAAAGACCTCCACACTGAGCCCAGACCTTGACACCACGAACTTGCTCTACATTTACTTTCTTCAGTCTTGTATTCTGTCTTTCAATCATCTTGAACTCGTTCTTCGTCGAAATAAGAGCCTCGGAATCCTTCATAACCTTGTTCAAAAGATCCTGCGTCGTACTTTTCTGTCCATCCTTTACAATATCGTCCATAAGACTCCCGTCTCGTAGATTTAATGCTTCAACTACTACTACGAAAGCTGTAAATGTAATAAATGTAGCCATAATTCGTACGAAACTCATGGCAATAAGAGCTTTTTAAATCTGAGATGAGACAGTTAGAGCGCCTCACGTAACCAACCGCTTACTATGTAGAACACAGACGTTTATGTTGTATGCAAATGAGATCGAATTTTAAAATATTGAAGTATTCTGACTCTGGAATAAGAAACCATCATTCTAAATTCTTCCGCCTGTTGTGATTGCAAGAACTAATACTTACAGTACGTAAGTATATGGTAGAGGTTGATATGTTGCCTTCCTGTATAATTTAATGAGAAAAAAAGTACGATCAGTCTATTCACTTGACAGGGATTTGAGACCCGGCTCTATGAAAACGTCCCTTTATCATTACAAATCTCTACAAAAGTGGTACATACACACAAAACAGCTGACCAGTATGTTTACAAAAAGGATGCTTTTTTATAATGAGCTTTTGTTGAAAAGCATTTGGGTTTTTCTTGCTGCCAGCGTTTTCATGAGATTTCGATGTTTTATTCGTTTTCACAATTTGCTCTCTAACTCGTTTGGAGATTTTAGTCTTGACGTGAAGTAACGTTAAGTGAAATCTCGTGTTTTTTTTTTCAAATGACGGCAGCTGACGAAGATGCATGGGATGAGTGGGAAGACGACGCGTCAACGTCGCTGTTACCGTCTCCATGTGATACTGACCTACATGATCAAAAAGAGACGACGCAGACGTATCCAATGGTACCAAATTTACCTCCATGCGACATTAGGAAGTGGCATTTTGACCTCGATGAACTAGAGCACGAGATGTCAACGTTGTCTCCAATAGCTGATGTTATGCCACTTTTTAGCGATTCTGACGTCGTTGAGAGGAATGAAGTAGCAATATTATCACTCATTGATGGCTTACCTCAAGCACTGCGAGCTGGTAGAGAGCGAATCCAGACACTGGAGGCGCTAGCGCTTGTTACACGACTGCATGTGGTAGCAGCACGTGGTAGCTTTACGGAGCTATCAAACAACATTGAGCAGACTCAGAAACAAGTAGCGATCATTACTGAAGAGCTATATCAATGTGCTGGAGAATGGGGTGATAGGAGACTCCTGGAAACGACATTGAGACTGTCGGAACGACAACAAGTGGAGGAAATGACAGAGTTGTTGCATCATTCTCTTTCGATGGATAACGACGAATTGACGTTGTTTAAGGACGTCTTGGAGCAGATAGTTGATGGTTTACCAGGTCAGAAACTGATACTATCGACGAATTGGTTAAGAAGTGCAGAAATGGAAGAGAAGGAGGTAAAACAAGAGTCTATCATGAGTTACTTGAAGCAGATATTGGCAATCTCCAGTGACGATCCTGGTAACAGAAGCCGCATGCCCAAGCTGTTGGAAGCTGAGATTTTACAGGATGCAAAGGATATCAGTCGTGATGAGCTGCTGATTAATGGAAAACGAGTGGGAGGTGCGAGAGGATACGATGCAGTGGTGGATGCACTACAAAATGAGCTAGAGCTTGTGCTGGCCCGTCAAGCTGGCAAGACACCTGAGCAGACACCTATGGCTGTGAGCAACGCTCTACAGTCTGTTGCTATGACTATAGTGCATGCGAGTAACCGGACCGAGTCAGGTGGGAGCTCCTACGAGCTGTTGAGCAAGTTTTTAAGCAAGCACGAGATGGATCGAGTGCTGCTTCGTCCGGCTTCCGCTCGAGCTGCTCCACTAGAAATTAGCTTGGACCTTGGTCCGTATTTGGAAACCATTCCTGGCTCAAATGAACCGACGTGGGCATTTGGATTGCGTGTAAAGCTTATTGCTGTGACCTGGTACCTCGTCTGTGACGCCAAGGACCCGACAACGGAATTATACGAGATTGAAACGACATTTTGCAATCGTTTGGCTTTTCCAGTTGGACTTACACCTTTCCATCCACTCGACAGTATGCGTAAAGACCACGGTAATGTGACTATTCGCTTAGTACTGGAACAAGAAACTACTTCAGCTTAATATGTTCGTTACAGTAATGGATACAATTACTCAATAAAATACGATTCTCTTATAATCGAATTACAAGAATAATTACCCAAAATAAAAAAAAAACGAGCCGTATCACAATAAAGTGAGTAAACATTTGTGAAGTGTAGCTAAGTATGATACAGTAACTAAATTTACAAAGTGCTAAAATAAAATGAGGACTTTTCGTCGACAAATTTAGGCTAAAAATAGGGGCTCTTTTCGAGAAAAAGAAGCTCATTTTTTCCGTCTGATCAAATGAAGCTGCTCACTCGTAACTCGCGTCTTGGTGTCTTGTCATGTCTTCAACGAGAGACTCCATGGTTCTTTCCAAGTCATCGAAGCATTCGTAACTATCCAATCAAAATCCTATGCCGTAATCAAAAATTCCTACGCAAAGCTATGAATAAAAATTACTTTGAAGTAGAACGCGAGTGGAATTTTGGAATTGTCCTCGAACCGTCTGAGGTCAAGTCACTTCGTGATCAAAATGCAGATCTTTCAAGTGCTTTTGGAGCTTTTTATGAGCATGAATTATTTCTACATGACTTGAATATACCAGGTACAGCATGAGTCCTACGAATGGTGATCAACAGATAGGACGAGAACGATGTTTAACAGGTGGGCTAAAGTGAGACTTTCGTGCGTTGTTCCGTGACAGTTTGGCGTCATGGATTAATTGGACGTCCAGAGCCTTTGCGAGTACGTAAATTACTTGCAAATCGATCGGAACTCAAGAAATTGGAAGAATTTGCGAATCGTCCTAATGCTCAATTGGTACGTTGATGCAAACACACACACACATACATACAAGAGGGAAAGAGAGTAGTAGTGGACACTTGCTATTCCTTGCTAAAATGTCATGTTGTGACTGTGTCTATTGTAAGATTCCAATGCGAATTGAAGTTGGCATTACGGGATGGATCAAAGTGATTATGGCAGCGTGCTTCAAACGTGGCCAGATTGACAATCGCAGACGCGATGACGAGAGAGAAATCAAACGGCAACTGCGCGAATGGTAACATGCATCGATATATGCGGCATAAGAGCCCAACACCATTGCAAACTCAAAAAAAAGATTACGCATTGTTCCGCATTGTTCTTCCTGTGAAATCAAGGCCAGCATACAGCTCTGCTTGTTGTCTCTTGCCGTCATTCATCGCTTTCGTCGTGTCCGTCTGTTCAATTTTCATTTAACAGCAGCCTCCAGACTTTTTCTTGCCAGCTCCGTACGGGTCCACAATCTCTGGCAGTGCGTTGCTCTCAGCAGACGCAATTGGCAGTGCTTGACTGATCTGAATGAACAAGTCCGACACGTTCGTGTCTTCTTTGGCACTTGTCTCGATAAACAACGCACCAATCTCTTCAGCATACGCTCGTGCTTGAGATGCTGGAACTTCACGCTTTTCCTCCAGATCACTCTTGTTACCAGCAATGGCAATGACAATATTGTCTGGACCCAACTGTTTCAGCTCTTTCACCCAATTTTTCAATGTCGTCAAGGATTGCTAGTACTCACGTATACAAAATTAATCATGTTGCTCAATAACATTACAACAAGTAGCAATAAGAAAAAACAAGAAATCATAAACTAATCTACCTTTCTAGTAATATCGTACACGACAATAGCGGCTGCAGCTCCTCGGTAGTACATTGGTGCCAAACTATGGTACTATCATATATACACAGTTTAAAAAAACATACAAATTAATCAACATACTATTTTGTCACAGAATAATAATTATAGTATACTACTACTATTACTATTAGTACTACAAAATAATAGTACTATGTAGTATTTTCATTTATACATTATAGTACTACCTTTTCTTGACCGGCAGTGTCCCATATTTGATACTTAATGGGCGTGTCATTAACAACAATCATTTTAGACATGAATGACGCACCAATGGTCGATTCCGAATACGGACGGAAGTTATTCGTAACAAATCGCAGTACTAGCGATGATTTACCCACACCAGTATCACCTAAAAGCACCACTTTCACCTCTCTTGCCTTGCTATTACTTGAATCTGCCATTCTTTCTTCCTTCTAGTGTTATTATTATTATTATATACTGACGATATGTGGCTTTATGTCTGACTGTTTTCTACTCGTTTTCTCACACCTTATTTTTATCCAATAAGATAGTAGGATCAAGTCAAAAGAGCAGTAATTGGATATAAAATGTATCAGGTGCATTACCTAATAAACACGAAGCGACACATTCTCTCGCCCAAGCTGGCTATATGAGTAATTAATTATATGGTACTAACTACTTGTTCGGTCTAGTTTCAAGGCAGAAAATCGATAGTTTCGACTATTTTTTGTACAATGAAACGACAGCGTTGGAAGTCTTTTTGTCTACTTGCAACATCTGCTAGAGAGAGAGTGGAGTACAATGCGTATGTTAAAGCTAGTGAAACAATTGACAAAAAAATGAGCTACATTTATTACAATAGCATACAAATGCTGAAATGGCTACTTGTTTTGGTTCATAAAGCTTAAATGTTTGATTAGTGAAAGTACTCAAATTGTATGTAAAAAAGCATCGTAATTACCTTTTTTAGCACAAGAAAACGACTGGCTGACAGAATAAAGTGATTGTCCGCATTTTCTTGTCAGTTACGGATTGTCCTCTTTTGCTGAATACTGATTGTGTGTCACTAGGATATTGTGTGTGTAATATATAGCCGATATAGTTCCAGTCAGAGTGTGCAGTACTGTCCCAATGATTGTTATAACTCTAGAATTACACTGATCTGAGTGATGAATATCATATCTAGATGAGGGATATCTCTACCAAACTGTGGTAGCTAGATTTGATAGAAATCAAGTGTGTGAGAATGATGAAAATAGAGCTTTTTTCTTAGGAAGTGCCGTCTGATCATGTTGAACATTATGACGACAAGAAGCTATTGATATCCCCTCTTGAGGGGTTTCTGAGACTCCACACGATATCTCGATTTATTGTAAAAAGGTTAAATCCTTCAGCATATTAGCTCACACATATTGAAGTATTGTCTTGCATTGTTGTTGTGCCATAACAAATAGAAACAATCTTTGTGCCTTCATTTGTCTGCGGATGAACAAAAGAAAACACAGGTGTTCAGCGAGTGTACTATTGATGACGAAGATGACAGCGTATTCTTCATGCGCTGCTCGCTAACAAGCCGTCGTCTTACATTACGGACAATGTAGCGGTTCACCTAAAAAAGCCATTCGCTCTTTCAAGTGCAGCCATCATTCCAAAGTTGACGACGATGAGGAAGTCGTTGATGATTACAATGATGTGTTTATGCAGTTTCGACGTGAAAGCAATGCAGATGTGAATGTACCGACTACAGCGTCTTCATAAACGACTAATTGGATGCCCAAACGCCTTGAAAGTATGATGATGACAACTATCAACAGCTCCTACTAGCAATGCTATCCTTCATTTACAACAACAATAATGCCACTTGTAAAATTTGCAATAGAGCTTGATTTTCACGGAAATTCCTACAAAATTACGTTTGCTAGAGATGAATATTCCACCAATGAGAGTATTTCACACAATAAGACGATTTCTACCAAACCAATATATTTGTAAAAATACTGTCAATAATCGTGTGGCATCTCAATTATTGTAATCGAATATATTTAATCACAATGCTCGACACCGAGACAACCAGATGTCACCGTCGTCGTCTCATACTTCTTCAGCGACTATCGATGGTGTTTTTACTTTTAATTTGCATCACTAGTGACTATTTTCTCTACCAGCAGTACGTTATTTCTTTCTTGCTTTTTTATTCTGTATATTGTTTATATAAAAAGCATTTTTAACTGGTATTTCTATACAAATAACAGCAATATCGTTGCCTTTCCAGCGTCTATTTGCTAGATTACAAGCTTCTTCGACACTGGGTGGATTCCGTCGCTCACGGTAGCGTCGCGTTCTTTTCATGGGCTATTTTTTTGCTTGAGATTGAGAAGAATGCAAAAACTGGGGATGCAAGTTTCTCGATTCGTCAATTGCTTAAAAAGTGCTTTTTTAATGGGATTATTGCGTCGTTACTCGACATTGATCACTTTATTTCTGCAAGAACGTTGAGCATTGCTGGAGCAACCCATTTGAAAGGTCGTCCATTCGGCCACACAGTCACCTTTATTATTGTAGTAGTATTGCTTGTTGGTTGGTGTTCAAGGAGATTGCAAGCTGATAAACGGTACTACCGAATCTGTTTTATCGTCATTGCGTGGTTTAGTCACCAGCTTCGTGATGGTATCCGGCATGGGTTATGGTTTTGGCCCTTTGGTTCCACACCACCGATCAATTACTTCCTGTACGTGTTAATGGAGGAAGGATTGCCATTTGTGATGGAGAAATGGTGGAGAAAGGTATCAACACCAACATCAATGGCAAAAGTGGAGCTTATTTTTCCAAAAGTAGAGGAAACAATCGACCTCGAAGCAGGTGAAGAGGTGAATAGTAGTAACGAAGAAGAGGATGCGAGGTTACTTTTGTCGGCTGACGAGGATCAAGATATTGAGGTTCTGGAGTTGAGCAAAGAAACTATAAGATAAGAAGTACGTGATAATGGATATACAGTAACGTGTACAGCAATCTACCAACAAGTTTATTGAGTGGTTTGATTTTACGTATTTCTGATTCGTCGCATTCAATAAGAAAAGAAAAAACGCTTTTTCTAAAACGTCTGGTGTGTTTTGAATCAGAAATAGAATTGTATCTGATTGGAAGGGTTTCTATCCTGTTCAATTCTTTGTATCGCTTTTCCAGTAACATGGCTCCAATACGTTGCACTGACGATGACACTGCGTCTTCCACAGACGACAATAGCAAGGCAGTATGCAGCTATTGCATTGGTATGAGTGTATACACAAAGTAAGTGATTTGATCTGCGTATCATGGTCGGAATTGGCATGTCAAACACGGTGTAGTAAGCTCTAATACTGATCAATTTATGTGCTGTATAAATATTGCAATCATATAGAGCCATGTGGAAACAGCGTCAAACACCAGAATGCAAAGGGATTCAAGTAAATTTCTCAACCAGTCGTAAACGTTTGCAGGAACTAAAAGATCGTGCTGGTAAATGGACTATTTTAGTCACATATGATGTTGGAATGGGGAGTGTTAACCACGTTTTGGTGATGTTATGGACACTTTTATCAGCACATCCCAGGAAGAAGAATTTTACCTTTATGGGTGTAGGACTGTCTGTTTATTCACCGGAATGGATGGATGAAGGCAAACATTTGCCCTATGTGAAAGGAATTAGTGTTATTGCTATTCAGATGGACGATAATGAGCGTATGAAGGAGATTGAGAAGCGCAAACGTCTTAAGCGTGAGCTGCAAAAGAATACAGGCAATCAAGGAGATTTACAGGATGGAAATGATACAAGAGATGATGGCGAGGAGATGGGGAATACGGAGGAGGATGATGTTGACGGAGAAGCCACGGATGAAGGCCATGCACTTGTGGAAAGTGAAGTCGTTCGCGGTTTGAAGACGCCACGAGGACCAGCGGTCGTGCCGGCGTCGATTACAATGGCAGAGTTAAGAAAACGAGCTGTGGAAAAAGCCAAGTACTCTGTGAATGCCATGTACAAGTTCTGGGAGCGTCGATTGGATGGGTTTGGTGCCCGGTATGTGGACTCATGTCGACGACTGACTGAGCAAATGGAAAAACAAGCAAAGAGCACGCCGCATAATGTGATGTGGCTGGTGCATCGTATTGAGGAGTACGTGGTTGGGAGAGGTGGTGGTGAGAAGTAAGTATAAAATAAATGAGAGCAGCACCCGTTTGTGAAACAGAAGGCTTTGAGCACATTCACCATTTATATGCTGCGGTCACCACCGTTTCTTTGAGATTTATTGACACGCGTGTTTAGTTTGCTGAGAAGGGTATTCATTATACATGGTACTAAGCAACAGGATTGTAGGATATCTTGAGTGTTACACCATTTCGAGCAAAGTCCCAAAGCTTTTGTGCTTTCTCCATTCTGTCAGCAATCCGTGGAAGGATTCAACGTAAATATCTTCATAATCTCAAAGAGACCGAGTCTTAAAAGCTTTCCACGTGGCAGTAGCTCCAAATATCTTTCGCATTCTTCACTCGGATCTTCAAACAGTCAAAAGATAAACGGATCAGTCGATAAAGCGTCATGCAATTACGTCACTTGCGCATTGAAGTGCCAGCCACAGACATTTTCAATGGATCCAGTCGATATCTAGTAGCTCTTCTAGCCACGTCGGATGAATCCAATGTCAAAGATACTGCACTCTTTGATGAGATGACCGTATATCTCCACGGATTCCCAGATATGAGTGTCCATCCTACTAGAGTGGACTTTGCTTCTCGAATGCCTGCAAAACTCGCTGACTTTTTCATGAACCAGCGACTGGAGAAGAAGAAGCGAGCGTTCTTGACCTTCAATTTTGGTGGCATTCCAGGATCGGATGATGAACTTCGGTTCACGGACAAAACCATCTCTCAAGAGGTCCAAGATACGGTCGCAGTATGTCACTACATCCGTTCTCATCTTTTAGGTCCAGTAAACGGAAGATTGCACGTTGTTGGCCTCTCCACTGGAGCTATCTTGGGTGCTTTACTACGTGACAAACAAGTAGCCGATACCATTACGGTAATTGCTGGCTTACTGGACTTGACAAAAGGCGTTCACTTTGACTTCAATCAGTTGCAACTGGAACAATGTTCGTCTCAAGGCTGGTGCTGGAAAGAATTCTACTTGGAAGAAGGCTGTCCATTGCCCAAGAATGTTGAGATTAGTCTCGATGGTGTCCATTCCACGACCGAACGGATTAATGATACGACGGCACCTTCAAAGGTCTTTGTACGTCTAGAAGAACGATACATCCAAGAATACTACGATGGTTCGCTCGATATCGTCCAAGCTGTGTCACAACCCGGGTTACCACCATTACTAGTGATTCATGGCGATGCCGATCAGGACGTACCATTTGAAAATGGCAAAGAACTCTTTCAAGCTGCAGCCGAGCCAAAGACGTTTCTAGCAATTGCAAACGCCAACCACTTGCTTTCAAATTCCAAGCATTTGAAAAAAGCATGTTATGCAATTAGAAAACACATGACAGTCATGGAATGCTAAGATTAGGACAGTGTGACGACCAAGAAACAAAGGATGTGAGTGCAATAATCTCGCTGCCATGTGACGCTTTTGTATTGTATTGACGTTATTGATTCTCTCGACTCTATCTCTACTCTTTGTCTAGCTATCATGTCATTCCTATCCCGTATCACCCAACAAAAGACTCTTATTGTTGTACTGAAGATGACGTAATAGAATAATAAATACGAGTAGAGTCAATTGAGATTTCGGAAGAAAGAAATATCATCAATTGAAACAGATCATTGATTGGAGACATTCTTCTCATCATATTGGCACAGAAATCCAGTGAGCTTTTTTACTATGGAGAAAAATTGACACTGACGATCGTCGTGATACTGATTGTTCTATAAGTGTCAGCTGAAGTGTCACAGTTTATATGAACAGCAAAACAACTCTTGCCGTTTTTTGTCACCGTGTTTACCTGATAACCTGTTAGATCTAATATCCACCCTCAACTGTCAGACTGTCCAAGTCTACAGTTGACACGCAAGACCATTCCTTCATTCTGCAATTTACTGTCTCGTGTCCATTGAATCCTTTATCAAGTACGTCTGTTGATTCAAACCAAATTTAATAACAATGCCACACAAGGTTTGTCTCGTTGGATCGGGTAATTGGGGATCTGCCATTGCACGTATTATCGGTGAAAACACGAAACGATTGTCGGACCAATTTGAACGAGATATCAATATGTGGGTCTTTGAAGAACAAATTAATGGTCGTAATTTGACTGACATTATCAATACGGAACATGAAAATATCAAGTACTTACCGGGTCATAAATTACCTGAGAATATCATTGCCATACCTGATCTTTTAGATGCTGTTCGTGGGGCTGATATTCTAATTTTTTGTGTCCCGCATCAATTTTTGGGTCGTATGTTACTCTCGATTAAAGAACAAGGGCTTAAAGAAGGTGCCATGGCTGTATCCTTAATTAAGGGTATTGATTTTGATCAAAATGGTGTTGTCTTGGTTTCAAACCTTATTCGAAAGGGATTAAACATTGACTGTAGTGTTCTAATGGGTGCAAATGTTGCCAATGAAGTAGCAGCTGGAGATTTTTGTGAATCCACACTTGGTTGCTCGGATCTTTGTCATGGTGCAATCTTACGCGAATTATTCAATGCTCCGACATTTCATGTGGATGTAGCATTGGACCCACATGGTGTTGAAATGTGTGGTGCTTTGAAAAATGTCGTCGCACTTGGTGCTGGGTTTTGTGATGGTCTCAAGTACGGTGGAAATACAAAAGCTGCTATCATTCGCATTGGTTTATGTGAAATGAAAAAGTTTTGTTTCAAGTATTTTGATGGGGTCAAGGAAGACACGTTTTTTGAAAGCTGTGGCATTGCTGACCTGATTACAACGTGCTTTGGTGGTCGTAATCGCAAATGTGCGGAAGCTTTTGTGACTCAAAAGACCACATGGGAAGAGTTGGAAAAGACTTTGCTCAATGGTCAGATGCTACAAGGTACGCTCACGTCCAAGGAGGTATATGGTATTCTCAAGCAGCACAATGCCGTCAACCAGTTCCCGCTTTTCACGGCGATCTATCGCATCGCTTTTGAAGGCGCTGACCCGATTACGATCACGCAGCTTGAGTACCCGCAATAAGTAGGTGGATGATGTTAATATATCTTGACCATTCATTTCGTATTTGGCGAGGAGATTCGTGTCATGTTGTTTGTCATGAGAGACACGTACGTAGCAGTTTCAAATCATTCCTTTCGCATCTGAGACGGTCATTGTCCTGCCCTTCCCAGCGCTGTACGAAGCTTACCAACCACTCGTTTGCCGATTGGTTTGTCTTCCAGAACAAGATTGTACGAGCCATGTGTGACAAGTATCCAGGTGCGTACAAGGAGCTTTTCACGCGCAACTTTGAACGTCTGCATCAGAAGATTACAAAAGAGGTATGTGAGCAATTGGATGATAAGGGATACGTAGTTCTCGATGATTGTTTCGGTCACGGTTGGGCTAGTGCTTTGCTCGAGGAGATGCAGTGGTTGTACGAGAAACAGCATTTTAAACCGAACAAGACACAGTTTGGACTGACGCAGAAGGGGTTGGACCGTAAACCTCAAGCTTTCTACTTCATTAAGCCTCATATCTTCGAGGTGGATTTACATGATGCCTCATTGAGATCAAAGGTGCCGGAGCTTGACGCATTATTCCAGTCAACAGAGTTGTTGCAAGTGTTGACGGCATATTTGCCACAATATAAGCTACAGTTTAGCACTTTGGATAGGACGTTGAAGCTGCAGCGCAATGCTGGACAAGGAGGTTGTTTTCCATGCCACTATGACAACCCTGGAGCTCCCAACAAACGCAAAGTGACGTGTTTGTTGTATTTAAACAAGAGCTGGAAAAAAGGCGATGGAGGTGAGGTGCAGCTTTTTCCATTCTTGCAACCAAGTGTGACAATAGCTCCTAAGATGGATCGAGTTGTTCTTTTTCAGAGTGACTGGATGCTTCATCGTGTATTGCCATCTTATTCTGAGCGGTATGTGCTCACAATTTGGTTAGATGGTGTCAATGTGAATGCACCGGAAGACCTGCAGCTTCGTTTGACGCAAAGCGATTTGGCCGATTGGTTTGGGTTTTTGAAAAGAATGCGGCGATCTCCAGTGCAGCGGTTGTTATCTCGATGTGTGTACGAAGAAGAATACTACGAGTCGTTGATGGAATGTATGCAGAGCACGGCGACTGAAGGATGCCTAGAGTTGCTCAAATCGCATGAGACTCATTTGGAAAACGTCAGGCGCAATATCCCGCTGCATAATCTCATAGAACGACTTCGTGCCTTTCGAGCAATGGACAATGAGGAACCTATGTACGTGGATTGACCGAATCGTAAGTTGATATCAATGAAGCAGATGGGATCGACTCATCGTACTAGAAGACTTCCACTCGGCGGAGGTTTATTAAGTTTTTATTTCGACCGCCTAAAAAACCTTTTTTTTTTTTATTATTATTAAAAAAAAAAAAATATTTTATTCACTTAAAAAAAGAAAAAAAAAAAAAAATTTTTTTTTTTTTTTTTTTCCCTTCCGTGCATCCCGTGCATCATTCCTCTAGACAATTCCTATTGCTCTATATCACCACCAAATCGACTGACGACTCTAGGCCTCATGCATACCCTTAACATCAATCTTGGACGGCTGAAGGTTGGTAACAGCAAAAACGTTTGTGGGGTCCAACGCATTCTTAATCCCTTGGATGGCCGCAATGGCTGGAGAAGACACTGCTTGTGGCAGCCATGCAAGACGGTGCTTACCAACGCCGTGGTGATGCGACAAAGCGCCACCATTGCGCACAATAGCATCCACGGCAGCCAACTCCGTTTCACGAAAAAGATCCATCGGCGCATCGACGCCAAAGTAGTTGATACCGTAGTACACGTATACGCAAACTCCTGCTCCGTAAACTTGCGAGATGCGACAAGCAATAAGTGGCGGAACCTTGACATTACACTTAGCAGCCACCAAATTGATCGCCAGCTTGATATCGGTTATGAGTTGACGTGCGTTTGTCCAAGGAACCGCCGTCTCAAAAGATTCGCTCATGAAATAATAGTCTAAAGCAAAGTCGCGGAGGTACGCAATGATGTACGTAAAGAAATAGCCACGCCTACCATTCTCCTCACCGCCAACCATGCTTTCATGACGCTTAGCAATGGTGTGGATGCGCTTCAGGTGCTCAGCCACCTCCTGCTGACTAGTTCCTTCAAGCAAAATGGTAGCAGCACACATTTCATTCACATCAAATCCACGGATCTTGGTCACGTACGTCTTCTTTGCAAAGTCAAGAACACCAGCAGTAAACCTATTCGTTGTAGATGACGTTTTGAGCGCCTGACCTAGCTGGAACTGTGTGTTATCCAGCAGACGCAACGATGCCGGCTCGCATCCAGCACGAGTGATATCCTTAAGCGCTGCTAGTCCGTGCTCAAGGCTCGGAAAAATAAGCGAATCATACACTTGGACATTAGGAAATTCACGAAGACGGAGTGTAACGAGAGTGTGAACACCAAAGATACCTTCCGATCCCATCATGGTAGAATTGATATCTGGTCCCATAGCAGCACGAGGGACATTAGCAGCACGCTGCATTGTACCTTGTGGTGTCACTGTCGTAATATTGACCACTAAATCTTCAATGTTTCCATACATATTCTTTTTCATACCTGAAGCACGTGTTGCAATCCATCCACCAAGTGTTGAAAATTCCCATGAATCTGGTTCATGTCCAAGTGTAAGTCCACGATGACGTAATCGTTCGTGTAATTCCAATCCCGTAATCCCTGTTTCAACTATTGCAATCATATTTTCTCGATCAACATGTAAAATTCGTCGCATTTCACGCATATCAAGTGATACAATTGCACGTCGTTCCTTTCGATTGCATCCAAGAGCATTTGTCACATTCGTGCCTCCTCCATATGGAATCAGACATATATGATTAGCAAACTTCTGAGTCACGTGTTGCACGAGAATTTCTACTTGTTCATGAGATGTGGGCCACACAACTGCATCAGGAATACGTTCGACTTGTTTCAGATGACGTAAACGAAACACGTCTTCACATGTTTGTCCATGGCCGTGTCGCACACGCTCTTCAACTGTAGTACTCGTTCGTTTTATACCTATTTCATTGCTCGCCAAGTGTAAAAATGCCAATAGTTTCGTATACGTCTCGTGTGATTCTTGTAATTGATTACGTACTTGCAACTCTTCAGGAGACGTAATACTGGGTAAACTAGTTCGTTCAATATTCAATCCAAGACGTTTCTCTGCCCATGGTAATAGCAGAGGCAATGTACGATCAGGTGCAGCAGCAAACACTTCCGCATACCGAACACCTGAAATTTCAACCACTTTATCAGCATTAATGAATAATTTCGTGTCTTGAAAGCCCCATCCATTCCAACGAGTATCAGAACTTAGCGCTATTAGAGAAGAAGAAGAAGAAGAAGAAGAGGAGGAGGAGGTAGAAATAGAGGAAGAGGATTGATCTTCATGAGCAGAAATTTGATGTAAAAGAGCACGCATTCGCATGATAGAAGACGTCGTGTCCGACATGACGTGACACAGGTGAATTTAGAAACTGACTATAGTAGGAGTTTCTAAAATAGATGAATTTGTGTTAAAATCGGGTAGAATGAAAAAGCCTATCAAAACGCATGATTTGAACACTATGGACCAAATTATAAGGTTTCTTTTGTAATACTGCATTTGCAATTAATTCTCATATATTTCCGATTACCTAATCTTGAAGTCCTGATCATCACTCTTTCATTTTATCCGCACGCAGAGAACATCTTTCATTGCCAGTATGTTTAGTTCCACATGGATCTCTTCTGCTTCTGCTTCTTCTTCCTCTACTGCTGCAACTTCCCCGCCTATTCCAGACGTGTATGAACTAACAGAAGAATACGGAGAAGATGCTGCAGCTAAAATAAGTCGCATATTACAAGCTCTCGAGACTGCAGGGTTCCTGAAGGCGCATGTAAACTCGTATCGTGCCTTTGACCGCATACTAAGTGGTATGACGTGGCTAATACATCGAATTGTACGTCGAGAATATGCTGAGAGAGGAAGAATACAATGGAATGTCTTGTATCAGTCTTATGAGAAGATGAAACCTCGTCTAGGCTTTGCTCAAGAGGTTGTGCGCTGTATCGAAGCTCTTGATGCGGTCTGTCCTGTAACAATACAGCCACATCAGTTGCTACTTCAGGACTTTGGTGATATTGAAACAGTTGAGAAACTTGTCGTGTGGTTGATAAATGAGGGACAAAACCCACATCATCTTGAGAAAATCCAGCGTGAGAGAATGTATGTACATATGATCAACATACAACAGCACAGAGAACGTGTCACACCAATAAAGAAAGAAGTGGCATTTCTATTGCATACGTATGCACCAAAAAGACGGTGGCAATATATTCAAACAGGAGACGAGAAACAAGACGAATCAGAAGATGCATTGATTCAACGATGTTTATTGGAATATGGAGAACGAATGACTGTTGCAATTCATGACGATCAAGAAGTGATAACGATGGAGAGACAAGAGGAAGGCAAGGATGTAGTGGATTGTATGGCACAGATTGCTAGTCAAGCTGCAGCAATTGCATCAGGTGAAATCTCCAAACCACGACGAGCAAGTATGAAAGGATTGAGGAGAAGAACTATACAGAATGATCTAGCAGCTACAGATTTTGATCAGCAATTCCAAAAGGCGAGGAAACAAGCGATAGAGATGCAACGGGATTTAGTGAATCAACGGCGTGAGCGTGAGGTCGAGTTCTTGCAACGAGTTGTTTCTGCGCCAGAGGTAAAGCAGGATAATACAGATGGACGTATAGGATCAAGCATGCAATCTCCGCTTGACGTGGTAAGAGTACAGTTGCAGGAACACGAGGTGCAAGTACAGACACTGATCAAAGAAAAAAGAATGTTGGATGCTAAGACAAAGGACAGTCGTGTAAGAGCAACGGCGCTTGACGAAGCACTCGATGCTGTCAAGCTGGAGATAAAGGAAGTGGAAGCGCAAACACCAAAAGATACGACCAACCAAGAATATGTGGCAAAGCTGCACGAGCTACTGCAAAAGAAGGAGGAGCTTAAGCGTGAGAAAAATGAATTTCGAGCGAAATGTCGACTCGAGGTGGAAACGTTGAAGGAGCGCATTGAAAAGTTGAAGCTGCAGGTGGCAGATGACGCGAACGAAGATACATTGCGTTTGAATGAGATCGAGCATATGCATGCTCAAATGGCCCAGAAATACAAGGATATGAAGCTTGCAGCTGCCAAACAGACGCGTGCAGTGCACCTGAAGATGAAGCAAATTGATGAAATTCCCGCCCGCATTGAACTGGTGCAGTACGAGAAGCGGTTCGTGGAGCTTTATGATGAAGTGGCATTGACGCTAGATGAAACGCGAAAATACTACTGCATTTATAACACGATTAAGACCACTCACGAATTCTTGGAGAAGGAGATCTCACTGATCAACAGTATCAGCGAGAACTTTGACACCGCGATGAGCTCCAAGACCGCAACACAAGCATTCTTTATGCAGATTGAAAATATTATTCAGAGCGTGCGAGGCACACTTTCCAAGCAGCAAGCTGTACGAGACGACCACCAATTCAGCCTGGAAACGCTGGAAAGTAAATACAAGTTATTGCTAGAACACGAGCGGAAATACGTAAACGCAATTTGCGAGTTTCAGAAGGAATGCGAGAAGAATGAAAAGCTGCTTATCCGTCTTCAAGAACTGGTAGAATACTAATCTTGTCTTCGAAGAGAGGAAGGGGAATCGGTATTTGGCGTCGCACTTGCGAGTACGTCAAATCGTAAGTCGGTCGTTGTTTTCGTGCAAGGTGAAGACTTATGCGACAGTTGATAGCTTTGTTGTCAAGCGAGCAGTAAGAAGACGTTGTCTCCGACATACTATTTTGCAACGTGTGTACTGTATTGCTGCTTGTACGATTTTTTTATTTGCACAGCTGTGCAAGAAGTGTACTGGCTCGAATGCTGGATAATTGAAACTGCACAAGAAAGTCAAGATGATAGTTTATTAAGCCATGATGAAGCTGTGGAGCCGAGACAGAGCAATAGATAATGCTGTTAGGAGAGTCCTATTATCTGGTAGGCGGCTGCGAGATATACACGCATCAGGCGTTTACATAAGGGTCTCCAAAGCGCACGAATAAAAGAGAACGGAGCTAGAATACTGTCTGTCTACTGCTTGGCTATGATACTTATTTCGATCACCGCTTTGCAATCAAATTTGTTGAGTATTGGCAAATAAGGGAAATCATTAAACGATGAGGTCAACTCTCTCAAAGCTACTATGAGCACGAATGTTGTATTAGTGCAAAAGCGAAAGTCTTTAAACTTGACAACAACAAGCTTGTTTCACGACTTTAGTAGAAGAGACTTGAGTATACTGCATGGAACGCAGTATAGATACTAAAAGAGCAGCAGCAAAGTCGTTTATGACAAGTGGACGATAAAGTGAAACAAGCGAAAGCTGAGCATCGAGGTTTCAGAGCCAGCAGTATGAAGCAACAAACGCAGCTGACTTGACAGAATTACGGCGTCAGCGGTGTCTAGTCGGCCTCCAGCAAGTTGTATAGTCTTGAGACACACACTATTGAACGGCCGCTTGCACAAAATCTGAAGGATTTTTTCTTTACAGCAACAACATGCGAAGCAGCATCAGCAGCAAATACAGCGAATTATCCATCCGTAAGTAGACCATCAAGTGTTGACTGTTGCAGGATGCTTCAAAGTGTACTTTGCATGTTGGCATGACTGGCGTAGCAGAGACCTAGTAAGTTTTCTCACCAAAACATTGTCGGAACCATAACATTATTGTAATCCTCGCATTCTCTCGAATAGACACTTTGCCTTGACATTCCACTCACATTTACCAGTTTCTTTTGTCCAATATTGGTTGGTAGCCACGTAATAATGGTAACGCTGAACGTGAAGGTAGCACGCATAGCAACGCCATCAACATTGCCCATTCAATAGGGAATTCTAACACTTGAACCATAATGACCCAACGCAAGAAGCCATCGTTCATGTGTGCTCCAACGCCTTCTGCTACTGATTTTAACGGGAAGAAAAATGCCGGATTTGCTTGCACAATGTCATGCAGTGGAATATGCTGCAAATGAAGCATAGTCGAGTGGGTTGTATTCCCTACACTTGACACTGACACTTCATCTACCGGTACTGTCCATTGTGATAATGCAAAGAGCATTAATGACACTGTGTGCATGAAACAAAACACTGTTGCAATGTAAGCAATTCGTCGTATGTTTTTTTTGCGATGACTTCCATCTTCAGCCGCTTTATCCAATAGCTTACACATCCTTTCTCCATACACTGGTACTAAAATCATACATACAGCCCAGCAACATACTAACAATATCGTGGCAAGAAACAATAGACTCCGTCGAACTTGATATCTTGGCTGTTGTTGTACAAACAGAAACATGCTCATTTGTAGTAAATAGACAGTCACCATGAACCTCATAAACAATAATCTCGGTGGTGGTAGAGGTTTTAATAATGATTGGGAAGCTCTCGTTCCTCCAGGATCTCGCCTATCATTATAATGAGGAGATCCTCGTGTATACAAATGGTGTAATAAAGCATCCGTGGATGCTTGATGTTGTTTCTTCTTCGAGTAGTTCAAATTCAAGTGAACTCCTTGGACTTGATCAACCATAGCTGCCCATGTATTAAACACAAGTAAAAAGACTCCAGCTAGTACCAGTGATGCCATCGTGTCTAATATCTGCCATACAAATAATAAATACAAGTAAATTACATGCACATGAGCTGCTTTTATAGCGACAAGACTATGAAAATGAGACTGAAACAAGAGTATCATCCATAAGGCCACAAGAATAAAAGCGATTGCTCGGAATAAAGCTCCCAGAGCTAAGAAACCATACAGACGCATAGCTGTATAATCCTGACGCCATATACATAGAAAACGATTAAATGCAATGACACCAGGCACGAGAAATAAGGCCCCGCAGGAGTATACACTTGCGTAGATCAAGTATACAAACGTCGTGGACATTGCTATCTATTGATGTAATCGATTGTATGTAGTATACATCTAAATAGACCCTAAATTACAAATCAAGTATCTAAATAGCGTCTATATGAGCAAATGAAGACAAAGTAGTGCCAATGCTCTATTTTGACAGCTGTCTTGAAGTGTCTCGCTTGTTTGTGCATCTCCTTTGTACCAAGTGGTTTAGTATTGATCCAGTCAAAAAGATCACATGTCGAATTTTCAATCATCTATTGATTGTCTCGATAGATCATCGAGTTTTTCTTCTTGATCTTTCGATTCGTTTTGCACCGTCAACTGCGTGAATTCAATTCCAAGTCCAATCGTACGCTTTGCATCAAAAGCAATGCAAACAGAATGGAGTTTAGTCTTCAATTGATTGTCACCATAAACCTCGTGAGATGTACCTAGTAAGCGTTTATGACGAACGTTCGTTACAAACAAGTATAGATGCTTTCTCGCCCCATACATGTCAGCGATTATGATTCAAAACTTTCTCATCCACTTGTTTTCAAAACGCAAATGTTCTTTTGGACGTTTGTCACTGATTTTGTTGTCGAGAATCGATTCTTCTTGGCTGATGAAGCCGTAAGATTGTTAATGACTCCATCTGCTGTGCTCTCTACAATTTTGCGTATCTGATATCAAAGTCTAGACACTTTTTGACAATAGGTTGACACACTCTTTAGCCAAAGCGCTTAGTAAAATAAACAGTCTTGATAACGTTTGCATTGTCGACTTTATCCTTCTCGTAACCAATCTGTTCATAGAACAAAATAATTCGAACAAGATGAAACACATAGCATCGCAACGTATCATTCATCTGTCTCTAAAATACTCCTTTTTGTCAAGTCGTTTTAGATTGCGTGCGTCAAATCATGGATAATGTGCAGTCTTGATGCTGTCAAATCGTACAGATTCACACTGCTGTGGACTATAGTGAGGCTAATTTTAGAGAAAGAAATCAGTTAAATGTACTTTTTACCTATTTTTTAATCACATCTTGCGCTTTTTTTTCACCCAAACGCAAGCATTCTTTTTTTTTTGATCATACCCAGTTTTTTCTTTCGCTGTAATAGATACGGAATCATAAAACGTTATTAGTGTATACGTGTATAAAATAGATTATACTACTTAATATTCGGAACCTAATACTATCAATTCCGTGCGTAACGCCGTTGACACAAAGAAATGAGATCGAAATAGAAATGCGAGAAGGCAGCATTGTCACCTAACGGTAGCTGGTACCATTTACGTCGTTAAGCATGGCTCTTTAACTCGCTTGTGGACAGCATTTTCAGTCGACGCTCACAAACCCCAAGTTTAATTTCTGATCCATTGGCTTGATTATGTCCGGCATTTCAATGCCGAGCGTTCGCTTGTAATTGCTCTTGCTGTTATTACTAAGATTGCGGCAATTTGATAAGATTCTTCTAAGCTTATCAATATACGTAAGCAATTGGATATAACAGGAAAACAACAATAAAGAAACATACATACGGTAAGAAAGAATATACGAAGAGAAAGAGGTATACAGTCATAAACCATCCATCGAAAGAATTGAAGCTCACACACTTTTCCGTTTCGTTAATTTGTAACGAGTTAATGTTTAGTTGAATGTTTTGGTATAAACTTAAAACAAATCTTATACCATGTAGTTAAACAACTTTTTAAGTACTGTCAAACCTGAATACAATTATACGCAGTTTTTCTCTTAACTGCCGTTTCGAAAAATGCCCCGTCTTACCCACGCAGGACTTGGTACGTTGTCGTCGTGCGATTGTCCCGTATCAGGTTGCTGTCACGTTTCCAATCATCCATTTTTCCTGACAGCGAAACTCTTACGGTTCAGTTCGCAACCTATTTGTTACTTCAGCATTGTAATGCAGCCTATGAATCTAAAGGAGACTATGGACAACGTTTTCAATACCGCGAATCTCAATATCAAGAAACGCAAGGGTTACGTTAAGAAAGTAAAAGTCGTAGACAAGCATCAGGTAAATCGAGACACTGTCACATCAAGTGAGACGACAATTACGACAATAAAGACTGAACCGGTATCTGTTGCTACCACTTCATCATATTTTGAATTGGAGACGACAGAAAGACCTAATGTGCATCGGGGGAAATGTCTCTACCAGTCTCGCAAATGCGAGAAGGAACGGGCTATCAAACGCAATGGCAAACCTCATAACTTGTGTGAAGAACATCGGACTAAGCAGAACCAGCACCAACGCAAGTTTGATGCAAAGAAGTTCTTAAGGAAGAGACAACGAGACAACGTGTCGTACGAAGACTCCGAACTGGGTAGAGGCATATTACGATTGCGTCGAAATGATGAGCCGATTGTTAAACGATATCGGGTTATGGCAAACCAAGAGGCGGAGACGAAAACGTCGAGTGCGGAAACCAATTCACAAGCTACGGCACCAATGGTAGCACCAATGAGAAGGAATTACCCTACGATATATGCTACGGAAGCCACGCCAGTGTCTGCTGGCATGACGAGGTTGCCGCTAATTCCTAGTCCTCGACGGACATCGTTGGAAACTATGTACGGGGCTGTGAGACCGGGCGTCATTCCTGACGCGCAGCTTCGTGGCCACGTAGGGTTTTCAGGTTATCGACGTGAAGCCGGCGGTCAGTCCTTACGTGTTAGCCATCGTCCAAATTTGCAGCAGCAAGATGCTCAACGTCTGGTTGGATATACACAATCGGAGCTGGCAGCTGCTAGTACTTTGACTCAGTCACAGCCTTTTCGACTCGGTGCTACGCTCTCAACATCGGGTAGTTATAAAAAGAATTGTTTGCAGCAAGGCCGAGTCTGGGAGCGATGGCGTCTCCACGACTTCTTCCATCGCTGCTTGTTCCTCCTTCAGCTGCGATTTCACCAAATCCATACCCCCGAGTCAGCGGTATTGTGTCATATCCCGCCCAACGCTTTGCATCCGTGGCGGGCGTTTCGTTCTGCTCAGCTAGAGCAGAAGGAAAGCCGCTTCCGCCTTTAGTGTCATTTGGACGACAAAAGTTGCCGTCATCGTCGTTGCCTGTCTTCAATCATTTTAAGTAGGTGGTGGCTGGGTTTTGTTTTTTTTAGGTCAGTCAATGAATGATCTACCAGTGTTGTTGCTGTCAGCAAAGCCGACATAAATAAATGGAAGCGTGATTGTTATAAGACAGAGTATGCACTGAAGACTGTTCATCATTTGCAATGAGTCCTATATGAAAAGCTAAGTACACTTCAAAATGGCAGGAGCAAGCAATCATAAAGATATGCTACGGTTACTAAGTGGCAGCTGTGGTGTCAAGAACTCACCAAATGTTTATCAGTCTCTACCGCGTCGATTTAGATGTTTACGTAGCTAAAGCGCAGGCTCTGCTTGTGTCAAGTATTGATGTGTAACATCACCAGTATATGTAACAACCATCATCCGTATGAATGGCAGACGTTAGCAAGATAGGACAGAAGAACTGAGGTTTAGCGGTAGCATGAATAGATTTTAAAATCATGCAAAAAGTGCAGTCTTGCAAATACCACTTGTACATATTTTTGGATCGTGTGCAAGTCCTCCGGTGACGACTAGTGCATTATATCGTGTATTCATTATTGTTATTCTGATCGTCAGTCATATTTATAGACGTCGCATGAATAGTATCTTCCTTCATTGTTTCTTAGCTGTAATCTACCAAAGTATTCAGCGAATGTAACGATTCCTCTTGTTACTCAGCGACTTGTGTTTTTTCAAAACTGCCTACTTTTCGTGGTCACATAAAAACTTGTACCCACGTGTATATGTTGATTGTACTCACAGCAAAAAACCTTGCAAGTGTTATTTAGACAGGAATTTGTAATGTTGTCCGAAGAGGAGGGATACGTAACTCCTGACAGTTTGTTACACATTTAAGACACCGAAAGTCGGTGCTCAAAGGTACAGTTGCTTCATTTTCCGACTTTATAACATCTGTTTTTTGGTGTTCCTGGGGCTCTGCTGTCCTCTTTATCTTCAGCTTTCTATACTTTCAGTATCTAAAAAGCCTTTGGTTCACAAGGCGCTTGTAGCCTTTAGACACCGATATTTCGCGTAATACCTGACAACAACAACAAGAGTGATGGGTAAAGAGCAAAAGCAATTTGTGATGAGCATTTTTCTCTACAAGTGTGAAAACCTAATGGCCGCAGACATGGACGTCGTCGGTGGCAAGAGCGCCCCGTATGTCATCTTTACACTTGACGGTGCGACCAAAAAAAGCTCGTGCATCACAAACAACTTGAATCCGCAATGGTCACCACCTGAAAAATTTGAATTTGAATTGAACGAGTGGGAGAATAAGTTTCTCGTCGTGCAAGTGTTTGACTACGATCGACTGAGCAAGGATGACCTTCTTGGTTCGGCGGTAATCCCCTTGGCGCTTTATGCAGGCAACCGACACGGCGGGATGTACAGCTATCCGTTGGTATTGCCGGATGAGCTGGGTGGACTAGGAGCTCCTAAAAGCGACTTGTTTTTGCAGATTAGTTTACGGACCAGGGATGGCAATCCCGTCGAGTATTACTACTACTAGGAACTAACATAACGACGTTACACAAATATATTAGCCTCGTGACGTTTTTCTTTCTGCGGGGAAGAGAAAAGGAAGACTGCTTTGCAATTGTCTAGTTCATGTTAATCAAGAATTCGATAACACAAAACGATTTAGAAGGTTTCAAGTTTGTGATGGCCAGTAACTTGCTGGTATGGAGCTAGGTCGCCACCATTTTCCATCGAAAAAAAAGCACCAGGGGACTGGAGAGGAACGAAACAGTGTGACATGGCAAATCTTTAGCGGTAGGGATAAAAGTACCATTATCTTCTGCATCAAAAAGTGCTGCAGACAAGTTCACGCTACGTAGTGTATTGGCATCAGAAAGGTCGCCCATGACCACTTTGTGGCCATGGATGCTGCTACTGGGTCAAATGTTACATCAGCTGGATTCTAGTCTGCACCCTAACGGCAAAGAAGACCAAAACGTCTCGTACTCTTTGAGACGAGGACAGGCAAGAACAAGTACGGAAAAAATAGAACGATAAAAACTCGCGGGGGAAAGCACGACGCGATACATGGCGATCTTCCGACCTCTTTATTCTGATTGCATATTCATTCTAACATAGTAAACTACAACGTGCGTTTGTGTTTTGAGCTCTAAAACGTGTTGTTACATACAGGTACGTATGCTCCATTTTAAGGTGGTGTTCAGACACATCAATCAAAGCAAGTACGGAATTACATAATAATGGTCTAGTCACGCTCAGTAAAGAAAGGTCCAGGCACAGAAGTGCTTGACAAATTTGCAGCTGAATTCCTCGCTACCATACAAAACGTATGATGGCTCGTTTGTGTAAAAGGTCGTCAGATTGTCGATTGTGATTTTTTTGGTTCAAGCATTTAGCCGAGAAAAGTTAATTTTCATAAAACACATTAATTTCTGCAGGTTAAGTGAATAGCTGCTATGTCAAACTATCCGACTATATAAGGTACACATTCATTTATACAGGATATAGAGGACTATTTTACACGTTTCTCTCTCACGACCATCTGCTGACATCTACCCCCTATCCTCTTTCTCCTTTCCCATACAGCGCCACTTCGTCTCACGTCCATTTTTGGTCGCACTTAGTCAAAAATGTCAGCAATAGCAAGCAAAAAAACACGTGTACATATTGCCTTATTTATTACATCCAAAGAAGCGTCCATTGATAGATAAACCTAACTCAAAAAAATCCTTAACCTCAGCTTTTAACAATATCTAAACAAACAACCAAACAACATTTAAACAAACAAATATCTTTGACCTTAACAAGCCGGATTTGAGCCCGCCCGCAGAGAGTAAAAAAAAAGGACAAGACAAGCTCCGGCCCGTCCTCAAAAAGTGTTAAGCGATAGGCCAAGTCTGAAAACCTCGCTCGTCCGTCCGAATGTGTCTCAAACCCCATTTTCAAAGATGAGTCGTACGGCCACGAATAAAACAACCGGCCATGCGCCATCTACTTTAATGTTAGAACGAATGCATGAAGCTGCGTCGGATTTAGCGATTTTAGCAACTACTAGTCAAGGATGGCGATTTACAAATGAACGTAATGGTGCGATGCTGTATGAAATGGCAGGACGTAGTTTACCATCAAATGTTAGTACAGCTCAAAAATTTGGACGTGGAGCAGGTCATTCATCGGATTATTACCTTGTTCGAGCAGTTACTACCGTGCACATGGGTGTAGCTGCATTGTTAGATCTATTGCATTCGTCCACGACGGAGGAGTTTCAGCTCGTTATGAAACAGATTTTTCAACAGAATTTTCAGAACGGAGTTACGTTAGACAAGTTAACATGTACGACTCCGCCACCATTTGCAGAAGACCCTGATGCTGGAGCAGAAGGTGCAAGACGAAGTTACTCCGAGGATGACTCGTACTCGGTCAATTGGTTGACACTTAAAGCACAAGCAAAGCTAGGAAGTGTGGAAAACAATCGAGATTTTACACTTGTTTGCTATCAAGATGCCTTTTCGCAGCATAAATCGGGCGTATTGGAACGAGTTGGTCGAGGATCAGCAAGAACGAGAAGTGATACGGTCAATTTTCAACCACAAAACAAATTACTTGGGGTACATGTGCTCAGCAGCGTCAATTTCCAGGATGTCCCGGAATTATTGATTCCAAATTGTACGGACAGACTACACTTTCGAAATTCCGGATTCGTTATTGAAGAGACTTCAGAGCCCAATGTACTGAGACTTTCCTTATTGCTGTCACTATTACCAACTAAGGCGACGTTAAAGTATGCTCGAAAGTATCAACGATGGCTGCAAACGCTTGCAAGCTGTGTAGGTAATCTGGCGCAGGTTTTGAAACCAGAGGTGACGCTGCACTGTTTGAGCAAACTCACGTGGAAGCAGAGTGATCACTGTTTCATGTGTCTCAAGATGTTTCGCACGTTCCGACGGTGTCACCACTGTCGTTTCTGTGGTGAGGCAGTGTGTGGCGCGTGTTCTAGTATGGTCAATATGGCCGGGTACGAGGTGACAGATGGCAGCGGCAAAACGTTGACTAACAATGTAGCTTACAATTTAGCGTCATCGCAATGCGTCGAGCCGACAAACGTCGAGTTTAGTCAGACTGGAGATGTTCGACAGGGGGCATCGAAGAGCGGACTCGCTGTTTCTCGCAGCAACAGCGTAGCGCGAAATTTTCAAGAAGCTAGGGGCTGCAGCGCCTGCATTGCGGATCTGCGTCATGGCCTCACGACTTCGGGTATTGTAAAGACACGACGAAACTCTGACTCTAGCAATTTTAGCGGGGGCAGTTACAGCGGCGACATGATGCTCACTTGCTCAAAAATTGGTCGGAGTGTTATCAATGATGAAGATGAAGTTGTATCATACGACAGCTCGGACGATGTCAGCTATGAACGTCGTTTGGGTTCCATTGCGACTTATATTCCGTCGGAAAGCGGTGTTGGTGCGATGGTGGAGGAGAATGGACGATATTCTGTCAGCAGTCTGGGGCTGGATAAACCGCAAGATGATTTTCCAGTCATGTCCGACGAACTGCAGGATCATTTTCCAGCAGTGGACGAACCGGCTCCTTCGCGCTTCCGAAACGTGTCCGATCCGGACGAGCTCCGTCGCTTGCGTAATGTTTCGGATCCTGAGCTACCACAGCGTCTTAAAGACAAGCACAGTATGGCGTCGATGTCCACAGTAAGCAGTTCGTTCTCACGTTCGTCAAACGATCGTTACACCAACGACAGTGCGTCGCAGTACTCCCGTGGCACCAACTTCTCGGCAATGTCAGACGTGTTGTCATCTTGTGATCTTTCTCGTGACCCGGATATTCTGGCTCTTGCCGGACTAAAGCCCCGGCCTTCAGATGATCATTATGAACCTGCCCCGATATTGCGGCCGCCGATGCCTCAACGAAAGAGTTGCGAGCAGTCTCAGATTCCTGAAGAGCCGGAAATGGAGATGGAGCCGGAAGTGTTTGCCAAAACGAAGAGTTACGAGGAAGAGGAGTCTTTCAAGGGGAGGACTCTTCACCCTGCGTGGTCTGATAATAGCGATGCTGACGTTCGATACCGAAGCAATACGACAAGCATGCGTGGCGGTTATGCTATGCCCCAAAGCAGTGTGCTCTACCCTGCAGACATTCTTCGTCATCGCAGTCAGACCACTGCTGCTTTGACATGGAACCCCGCTGCAACCGCTCCTTTGTCTTCAGCAAAGAATTTGAGCGATGCGCCAAACAATTTTGTAAGCTCTAGCATCCATCCTGCTTTGAATCGATCCAAGGTAGCAGCAGCTCGATCGGAGGCGTTAGTTGACAGCAGTGGTCAGTTCCATTTTTCGAGGATGAAGGATGAGACATCAGTAAAATCGGCTGCGATCGTAGCAGCCGTGACCGCCGTATCGGTAGGATCAACCAAATCGATAGCCGGATATCAGCAAGACCAGATCTCGTCCAGTTTGGACAGCAGCAAAGTTAATATGACCTCCACAGCTAGACGAGGTTCCGTCCCGAGGCCGCTGCACGAGATGCAATCACTACCAGCTTCGGTTCCAGAGGGCTGCACGGCATCAGAAGACTTGGATTGCAACGATATGATCCCGTTGCCCCTTCCTGACCAGGCGCCAGCAGCTTTCGTTGTGTTCTCAGCCTCAAGGCGTGAATCGATCTTTATGCGAGCAGACGACGGTCAAGATATGATTCCGCTTGAGTTCTAGTAGACGAAGGCAGTCGATGTGCAAGTTGAAATGCTCGAACGAAGAGCTATTTATCAATTAGAGATTGTTGTATCCCAAAATATAACACTATGCAGCAAGCAGCTCAAGAGATACGTTTCAATTTGCTTGTTTTTGCCATGTAGCAATAGGAAAACGATACGTTTGGATCGTTGAGCTCCGCAAGTTGCAGGAAAAGTAAGATCGATGGGGGTTGCGACCAATACATCTCCGTCACATGTACTCGAGGATAACTTCACATGGTGAAAGCTAAGTGTTCAAGAAGCTATAAGGAAGTGTGTGGTCTTTTACAACCAGGAACAAGAGCAGATTTTGACAAAAACAACATCCAAATGTAGACACGTTGAGAAAGCGTACACATGCATCGACAACAGTATTAACAAGATGGAAGACATTGCATTTGAAGCTCCAATATATACATGTATCAAATGAAAGTTTAGTTGTTCGTAAACGTCATCACTACGGTCAGATTTACCAATAAAACTCCTCCACTGGACTACCGTCTGCATCCAAGAGAGTTATCTGCAAGAACAGGTCGCTTTTGGGTGATCCTAATCCGCCCACCTCATCCGGCAGTACCAATGGGTAGCTACAGATCTCGCAGTTTCTGTTTCCAGCGTAGAGTGTCAATGGAATCACTGCTGACCCAATTAAGTCGCCCTCGCCTTGCTGGCTATAGTCAAAGACATGTGCAGTAATAAACTCATTCTCCCACTCATCCACCTCAAAATCAAACTTCTCCGGTGGTGACCAATGTGGATCTAGGCTGTTCTTAACGCATGAACTTTTCTTGGTGACACCATCTAGCGTAAAAACTACATATGCGCTACACTTGCCACCCACTTGATTTGTAGCTGCCACAAGGTCGTGACATTTGTACAAAAGCACTTTAACTGCAAATTTGTCGTTTCCCATTGCGTCAAATGTAAAGTGTGGTCAGTTGGTCGACTACAGTCGGCGAGCGACCATTTGTAGTTGGGATTCGTCGACATGTCGATTAACAAGAGATTGCGATGTAACGCCTAAACTTCAGTGCACCGGACCCCAAAGGCTCTATGTGCTCATATTTAATTTATTCAGACTTTGAGAGTATCTACATGTCCTCGTTCACCTTCTTCTACGTTTTCGTTCGAGTCTTACTTGCAAGTTCATCCGATCGTTTGCTTTTGCTATTCATACATGTACCAAGATTGATCCAATCATTTGTAACAATGATTTCAGCTGTTGCAAGTGATCTGGTAAACAAACACTTGCATCAATCGGATGCATACCGTCATGACAATCTCTCATGATAGATTGGCCTTACCACATGTCAAACTTCTACCGATGCTAAGCAGCGGAACAACAGAGTTTAGTGCATTTGTTCAAGAAGTGGTAATGGTGCTCATTGTCATTGTCCACATGTAACGTCACGACTAGAAACCGCACATACGTGACCATGGTTTAAGTTTTGTCAGCGTATGTTGTTACACATACTGGTAACGTGTAATACAAAGTTTTCTGGAACTACCTTGACAACATTAACAGACGGGACTTTGCTTTGTGGTCTCGTTGAAAGACGTCTGTCTGCCTACGAAGGTGGATTACAAAATCGTACAAATGTAGTGTTTCTAGACGCCGCATCATGATGCGGTTACTAACAATGGCAAACCCCCATGAAACACCTCACCATGACAAGCTGTTTGAGATCTATCTATTCCATAGAATAACTAACATCCACACTTCGTCACAAGCCACCAACGATCAATAATATAGTACATGACATTCCCCTTCTCTCCTTGTTGTCAATAGTAGACAACATTGAAAGCAACGATGCTAATAATTCCTACGTACACACTGCAGACAGCTCATATTTGAAAGCCAAAAATCGTCGCAGTATCGCATGGTGAGTGCTCCAAATGTCGGACAAATCGTCACCAAATTCATTTGCCTGTCCTATAAACGTCACACCATTCTCTCTCTCTCTCTTCAAATACATCAGTTGCTTGAGTCGATTGACTGGCATCAAATGTATTGAGAATACGTATCGTTGGCATCAGTGACGAAAAGTGACGCTCATGAGCACATTTGATCAGTTCATTTGTGTTTTGATCACCTTCCTGGTGACGATGCAATATAAGTTACTTGTAGTGTATACGTCATCAACCATATTGCTGTGGTAATGACAAAGGATTGAATTGTTTATCAAGGTAAACGATTTGGTCCACATCAACTTGTCCAACATGACGCTTTTCTTCACAAAATATCCAGTCTTTTCTTCACTTTGCATCGAACGCATGATAGATATTATCTTCATTTTGTGCCTGCGTTGACCTTATTTTACAGCAAATGGATATATCCTAAAGCATTCTTTCTATTCATGCTCACAAACTGCCAATTAAAGTGACTCTATTTTGCTCGAGCAGAGTCAAGAACTTTGCACGGGATTAAATCCTTGGCACTATATAACATCGTCCATTCAGTGTTAATCCTATCGCGATTTGAATCATTACTTAGTTTTAAGCTAAGGCAGTTCAAGGTCTAAGCCAAGTCATTTATGTGAAAAAAAAACAAAGCTGTTATAGCAATCAATACGATTTTCTACTAGTATTTCTGATTCCTTCATGTCAAACTTGATCGTACATTTGTGTCTTAGACACTATGTGCTCGTCCGTCATTCCCACTTGTAACAAGAGTACCACTGATAGAAAAGTAGAACAAACAAACGTGCTTCTAGTTGGATTGAAAATGAGACGAAAACAAGTCGTTCATGATTACCACATGCATGTAGGAAGGGTCCAACCCAACTCGAACATTGCAATCATATACAAAAATGGTTGTTAGTCACTCGTCACATTAACAGAAAAGTAGCAAAGTAGAAAGCATTTGTTGTTAGTAGCAGAGACTTTGGCAAAGTCCGACTGACTCCATCGAGTTTTTAGTTTGAAACGGGTTTCGTTGAGGTCTTCCCTTTCAACCATGAAATCAGCTCATTCCTCGAAACAAAACACTACCGTATCTGCTCGAATCCTTGAGCGTGTTCGTGAGGATGCAACTGACTTGGCTTTATTAGTGACCGCTACTACCCATGATTGGAAGCTACTGAGTGATAAAAATGACACGAAACTATACGAAATGACGGGAGAGTCTCTATCGAGTAAAGTGAGCACTGTCCAAACATTTGGCAGTGGAGGGGGTGGGCATCCGTCCGAGTTTTACCTCGTTCGAGCGGCTACAACCGTCCGAGCCGACGTCAATACTATGTTGGATGTGCTACAAACTAGTACGTCCGAAGGCTTTCGAGCTGTTATGAAAAAAATCTTTGGTAAACAATTTGAGAGTGGAGCAATTGTGGATTCATTGAGTTTTACAGCGCCACCACAGGATGTACTAAACTCGATCAATGACGGTAGCAATGGGAACGAGAATTAGTGAGGATGACGGGTATCATGCAAACTGGATCACATTAAGAGCCTTCACCAAGTTGGGTAGACTGGATGGACAGCGGGACTTTACAATGGTCTCCTACCAGGACGTGTTTGAGCGAAATGACATCAGCGATAGACTTCTACGAAAGGGACGGCATATCGCCAGAGATCTTGATCGACAAAATTTCATTACGGCATCTAGACTCATCGGAGTACATACGTTCTCAAGTATGAACTTCAAGGACATTCCAGAGTTGCCAAGGTCCTCTAAGACAGATCGCCTTCATTTTCGAAACTCAGGTATCGTCGTAGAAGAGATGGAGGAAGAACTTGCCTGTGGTCCCATGGTACGCGTGAATTTGCTGCTGTCGCTGATGCCGTCAAAACTCGTACTGAAAGAGCTTACACAGAGTCCTCGACTGCGGGTGGCACTGGCTAAGGGTCATAAGGTGGCCAAAAAGTACCGCAAATGGTTGCAGACACTAGCCCTGGGCGTGAGCCACTTAGCAGAAGCAGCCAAACCTACTGTAACCATGCAGCATCTGAGTACCATGACGTGGACTCAGGGTGATCGCTGCTTCCTGTGTCTCAAGATGTTTCGCACATTCCGAAAACAATATCATTGCCGGTTCTGTGGTGAATCTGTCTGCGGTTCCTGCTCAAGTTTTGTCGATATGTCATTGTTCAATGTCAGCTACGAAAGTAGTGGGAGCTCGAGCAGTATTATAGTAGGGCGTTGCAAGCTCAATCTACCAGCGACTGTTGATGGCAGCGGGAGAAGTGACAATTCATCTCATAACGCTTCAGTGGATAGCACGGAGGAGTATTTGGACATTCGGGGATGCAACACGTGCGCGTCCGAGTTGCAGATGAACCTGGCCATTCGGGACCAGTGTCAGGACGCACGTATGCCAACCCATTACGGCAGCAGTAATATCTTCTCACAACTTGCAAACGGTTGCCCAATAAACATGGGTAGAGAGAACAAATTCAACCAAAGTTTTGGGTATAGCAGCATCAGCAGCTCGCCGCAATCGTATCCGGGTTTTGGCAACGACTTCGAACGGGATGGAACGGTGTCCAGGCAGACTGGTAACTACTACCAGCAGAATCAACAATACGCAGGTCAAAAGATGAGTTTATCATCCATCACTAGCAGCTCATTGTCCGGTTTTCCGAATGATGAGCGCGCACAACTAGCACTCGACACATCTACTAGTTTAACAGAGGCTGTCGGCAATGAGCGATTGCATATGAGTTTTGACCGCATACCTACCTGCGACTTGGCGTCAGACGCCTCGCTAAATGAGTTTTTGGCTGGTAACTCGGACATTCTGTTACTAAACGAATCAATGTTCCACGGTGAATCAGCAACACAAGTACCAAGCATGATGGCTATCATCGATGATAGTGAATACATGGACCTTACGTACAACCTCACCTGCCGGCCAGCATGCAGAAATATCCGTGCGAGCTATGCCACGACTGCCGCTACAAACGAAGAAAGCAACTGCAGTCGGTTTAACTACGCAGGCATGACACTTCAAGAAACACAAACTGCGGAACAATATGTTCGTGCTACCAATGCAACAAACACTTTGCGGATGAACGGCAGACTACCACTGACACCTCTGCAGCCTAAGCATGACCCGGATTATAAGCAGAGTTCTGCAAACGTTTCACACATGGTTTATCGTACAACACGACAAAGACGTTTGTCTTCATCACAGTCACACAAGTCGTCGCATTCATCAGAGAGCGTTCGAAGTGACCTGATTCACTTGAACGATCCCATTCAAGCTCCAGTAACACAGTCCAACGGCTTTGTTGTTTTTAGTGGCAGCCGTCAGGCAGAGAATCTCAATCACGAAGAGAGCGACATGATCTTACTCAATTCTGAGGCAGACAACAAGAAACAGAGCTTTGAGAGATAAATTGATAGTCGTCTTTGTTCCAGTCAATCGCAACACTCACACTTCCAGCTTCTCAATCCTTTTGTTTCTTTTGACGTGTGCTCCTGCTTCTTTACAAAATAGACTCTTTCCTGACATTATCGTGACATTCCGGCTTCATTGCTTCTACCCACGACTCTTGTACCTCCTTGAGCTGCTTCTTTGTGTTGTTGTTGTTGAGACGCAACGTTTAGTTTCTGCCTTGCTACAATAACTCTCATGCTTCTTTATCTCTTGTGGATGGCACTGTTTTCACCAGTACATTGTCAGAAAATAACGTTTACACATTGGCCATCTCATCCGCAAACACCAAACGCTAAAGCAAACAATGACTTAAACGTAATAATTCTTTATCGTCACCAACAAAAAGTGTGAAAGAAGCTTGTTCAGTTGAGAGACTGTTCTTCATGCTTTTCAACTTCACTTTTTGGATTTCAAACAGTAATTGCGAGACCAAATTTGTCAAAATGACACTTGGTACGCCAAACTTTTCCAATCGCAAAGCGATGGTGCGACAAAGCAGATCCGATCATAAGCCATGAAAAGCACGAGGCAAACGCAATTCACAGATAAGTTGTCGTATCAAAATAGCCTTCCACCACAAAGAGAATGAAGTGACGCCATCTGAATACTGTGACCATACTGCTCGTTATCTAACACGGAATCTAGTAAAGTCAATAAGAGATGCTGGGGCGGGACTTGATACAAAGATTCGCTGGATATCAATCAAAACACTTGAGTAGTGGCTACGAACCACCATTGTACTATTTACGTACATTCCAGCATGACATACCTCAAGGTGAGTACTGTAGTTGTTGACGATCATTTTCTGGTCTTATTTTTTGCTTACTTGGCAGTGCGCTGAGCAATGTCCCTGCGTCTTCGCTGCTTTTTGGTCAGTCCATCGTGCGGCTGCCGCATGGCATACTGATAAAGCAACAATAATGTTGACGAACGGAGACCGGCAATGCGACTAGCGGCATGGATCGTAGCGGGCTGAGCATGTTGCAACTTTTCACGCTCTTCGTTTGATATCATAGGCAGCTCCGTGTAGTCTACCCATTCAGGGATCTGCACGTGTTGCTTGTCGCGAAAGACGCGAATTTCCTGGTGCTGCGCACGAAGTTGCGTCGCATAAAGGCACTCGGTTTTCATAAGCTCTTTGATATCGTCGGGCAACGCGTCTGCATGCTCGTAGCCAGACTCTCGCCATACGCGCTCAATATCCTGCGGAGTCACAGCAGAAAAAGCCAAGATCTGTGCAGCACTACGCTTCACTCCGTCAAGACCCACCTTGACACCGTAGCGATTCCACTCGTATGGATCGCATGCAAATTCGTTTAGAGCTTTGCGGGCTTTCTCAACAGCTTGTTCCTTGTGCTTAAGCTTCTGCATACGCTCATCTGGAATGCCAGCGCCGTGTTCAAACGCCTTGCGGGTAAGTCGCAAGTCCGCATTATCTGCACGGAGCAATAGGCGAAACTCCGACCGGGAAGTAAACATTCGGTATGGTTCAGTTGTACCTAACGAGATTAGATCGTCGATAAGCACACCAGTGAAAGCGTCCGCCCGGTCAAGAATAAACGGCTCTCGTCCCATAGCACTCAGTCCAGCATTTATCCCTGCCACAATACCCTGTGCTGCGGCTTCTTCATACCCTGTAGTGCCATTTATCTGACCAGCTAAATACAAACGAGGCAGCTTCTTTGTCTCCAGCGTCGGATGCAGCGATCGTGGGTCAACGTAATCGTACTCGACGGAGTATCCGCCGCGTACAAGCTCCACTTTTTCAAGTCCCTTGATCGTACGTAGCAACTCGAGCTGTAACTTTTCAGGTAACGCAGTGCTAATACCATTTGGGTACACAATATGAGTATTCAATCCCTCAGGTTCAAGCCAAAGCTGATGCCTCGAGCGGTCAGCAAAGCGAACAACCTTAGCATCGATTGACGGGCAATATCGTGGCCCCACGCCCTCACCATTTCTACCACCGTCATACTGAGGCAACATGTGCAAGTTCTCAAGCACAATACGATGGCTATTCTCGTTGGTGTACGTAGCATGACAGACCACTTGCTGACCTGCCAAAGGTACTTGCTTGTGTTCATTAAGAAACGAAAAGGGCTTTGGCAAGTCATTACTGGGCTGGATTTCCAGTCCTGTGTAGTCAATCGTGCGTCCATCAAGTCGTGGCGGTGTGCCAGTTTTCAGTCGGCCAAGCGGAAACTTGCAGCGATCCAGTGTTTGAGCAAGACCCACAGCTGGTGGCTCGAGTCCGTCTGTATCGCGCATGTGCCGTCCTGCCGGGATCCGAATGTCGGGTCCCTGGTAAATTGTGCCACGGAGAAAAGTTCCAGTTGTAAGAACCACCCGAGATGCCAGAATCTCACGGCCAGAAGAGGTCACAACCCCCTTTACTCGTTCCACAGCCTCGTTTTCACGCTGACTTTGCTTTTCTAGCATAAGATCATCCACTCCGTCTTCCAGCAACCAAAGGTTTGGTAATTTGTTCAATGCTTTTTGCATACCCTGTTGATATAAATCTCGGTCCATTTGAGCTCGTGGACCTCGTACTGCCGGTCCTTTGGCCGAATTAAGCATCCGAAAATGGATCCCAGCTGCGTCAGCCACTTGTCCCATAAGGCCACCAAGAGCATCGACCTCACGCACCAAAGTACCTTTGCCTACACCACCAATGGATGGCTATTGATATTTTACAAATATAGACAAAAAAATCAATAAGAAACAATAGAAATACAACATTCAGCAATTGTTACTCAATAGGACACAATAATCATCAAAATGTACATACATTGCATGACATTTCACCAATTGTTGCCAATTTTTGAGTCACCAATGCCGTTTTCGCACCTAATTTTATTTTTGGTCGTCACAAAATACATTTAGGTCAAAGCAAACACCAATATGGTTGGTTAGAGGAATCGGCTGAAAAGTGTACCAGTTCTAGACGCAGCAGCAGCAGCTTCGCAACCTGCATGACCACCTCCAACAACAATCACATCAAATTGAGAAGGAACAGTAGCAATATTTTGTAAGCGAAGCGCAGCTTGACGCACATGAGGTGCGACATATACTACACGTTGTCGTGCTAACATGCTTTAAATGGCTGGAAATAGTCTGACACAAAAATGAAATTTGTGATTAGTATGTCAAAAAAAGACAGAATGAAAAGACAAGACATAATGTCAGATCAAATTAATATCTTGAACTTCGTATTGCACAAGTTGAAGTGCTCGACTCCAATGAAATGGTCGTGAAAAATGTATCAATGAATGAATGGCTGAGAATGTAACACCAATAATATCCGTGGATATCAAATACACTTCAAAATGGAAGGAGACGAGTCCTGATCAATGTCGTCAAATAGCCCTCTACGTGTCGTTTATTATGATCTCCACACCTTTTGCCAGTGCTACCATGACGGTTCCCAACGAGCAATCTTCGCTGTAGCTGCCATTGTTCATTTGCGTCAGGTAAATCTCTTTTGTCGTTAATTTCGTAGTGATGATGCTATCGCTAGTGAGAATTATAATTTGAGTCGCTGAACCAGCATGCCACTTTCAGTCTTCAGTCGTGCCTTTTAGCTTCTACCAGCCAACGAGACTCGACTGAGGCTGATATCGCTGCCAATGCTATGTTTTACGACAGCTGCTCAAGCCACAACGCTTTCCACAGTTTGCTGCTGATCGATTTGAAATCGTTCTGAACTTGATGCACTCCTGCTTTTTCGTGACGTTTTGAAAAGAAGCTGAAGGTTTATGTTTGGGTGGCACAAAGTCTAGATTAGAAATGGCTCCAGACTACCACCCAGTCGTTTACTTTGCCGCTAAGGACTTAGAATGCAAGATGCTCGACGTTATATACAAGCTTACACAAACGTATGAATTGAGCACAGACTGTGTACCATACTGCACTTTGACCATCTGTCACAAACTCTGCAACATGTCGCGGCGCATTCATATTGTAAAGACGTTTGTAAGCGACTGCTTTTTGAGTTTTCTATTCTGCTGCTTACAAGTAATTCTACAAGCAAAATAAAGCGGTTGACTTGAAGTGCGCTGATCCACAAGTGATTCTTCGTTACCATTGCGTTGCATACTACAAAGGCAGACTCATAAAAAATGGATTAGTGTTCACACATAACGTGTGCATTAAAGATTACACGTGTTTGTTGTCAAGACAAAATGATTGAAGAGGAAAACAAAAGTCACGTCATTGACGAGTTCTTTTGTGCAAAGCACGCGGCTGGCATGGTGCGTGAGAGTAAGTCTCCTCACGCTACGCCCATGTTTTGTGTGGGAAAGCCTAATGGGAAGTGACAAATAGTGCATGCTTACAATAAGCTGAATGCAGCCACTATCCCGGCTCAAACACCGATTCATCGCAAGGATGTTCTTCAGAACAATATGGTGGGATGTACAATGTACAGTGCCCTCGACTTAGTCGATGGATTGTACCACTGCTCATGCGAACTAGTGATATCCCGCTGACAGCGGTCATCACTCCGATCGGTATGCTCTGGGAGTGGTTAGTGATGCCCCAAGGTCTATCTAACGCACCTGCAACGTTTAATCGTCCAGTGACGCATTGATTTGGCCCCATAGGGCGTATGCACAGACATACGTTGACGATATATTCGTTCATAGTCGAGCCGAAAATGGCAAGACTGATGTGGAGAATCACATCGAGCACCTGCGAGCTGTGCTCGGTTGCATGAGGATGCATAAGTTGTATGCCAATATTGACAAATGCATCTTCGGTGCGGAAGAGATTCCCTTTTTGGGATGCTTTATTGGGAAGCGAGGAATCCGGGTAGACCCTGTTAAGGTCAAAGCTATAGTGGATTGGCCGGTTCCGAGGAACCAGAAGGACCTACGCAAATGGTTGGGTTTGGCAAATTACTTGCACAAGTATAGCCACAACTATGCGGAAGTGGCTTGGCCATTGTCCAATCTCCTTAGAAAGGATGTGGAATGGTGTTGGAACACCGAGCACCACGAGGCTTTTAGAGTCATTAAGGAGAGTCTACTTCAGGCGCCAATTCTGGCTTTGCCTGATCCTGATCGACCATTTAGCGTCGTATGTGACGCTTCGGACTTAGCCATTGGCAGTGCACTTTTTCAAGTTGACTCTGAGGGTCGAGAACGCGTCATCGCGTTTGAGTCTCGCCAGCTGAAAGCTGCAGAGAAGAACTATCCAGTTCATGACAAGGAGCTACTTGCGATGAAGTATGCCCTTGTTAAGTTCAGAGTACACCTGTTGAGTTCAAAGCCGTTTGTTATCTATACCGATCATGCGTCATTACGCACAGCGACACAGCTGCCTCATCTCTCGCAGAAAATGGCTCGTTGGCTCTCCTTTTTCGCGGAGTATAACTTCGAGGTGAAGTCTAAGCCGGAACAACAGAATGTTTTGGCGGAAGCGTTATCGCGTAGACCTGACTATGAGCTTGCTCCTCTCAGTGAGGTCAGTAATATTCATGTGGCGTATGCACGTGATGTGGCATGTGTTTCCGTTATGCAGGCACTGGGTAGCACCGAGTTTGAAAACGCTAAGGTGAAGCTGTCACCACGTAATCGTGCAAGATTACATCGTTATGCACTGACCGATGGTCTGTGTACTATAGTACAGGGTCGGATGACCAACCTCGTGTTGTGGTGCCTCATGATGAGGACCTATAGTATCAGATACTTTATGAGGCTCATGATACACCAGTTGGTGTTTATTTAGGCTGTGAGAAGACCTACAGCTCAGCGAGCGCCCTTTATTGGTGGCCCAAGCAGTACAAATGGGTTGGCACCTACGTACGTACGTGTGAAACGTGTCAAAGGGTGAAACCCTCGACTAGTATGGCTGCGCCTTTGGCGAGTTTGCCTGAACCCTCGGGGTTGTGGCAGTCCATTAGTATGGGCTTTGTGTTTGGCCTACCACGTGAAGCGGCAGGCAACACTGGGATTGTGGTCTTTGTAGACCAACTGAGCAAGATGGCTCACTTAGCAGCAGTGTCGGACTCCATTGATGGAGAAGGAACAGCTACGCTGTTAATGGATCGTGTGTCTCGACGACACGGATTGCCTGTGGCAATCGTCTCGGATAGAGACCCCCCGTTTTACGGGAAGTTTTGGACGTCCGTCTCTATAGTGCTCGGCACGATTGGACATGTCCACGGCGGATCATCCACAGACCGATGGTCAGACAGAACGCGTCAACCGCGTTATTGGTGATATGCTTCGCAGCGTTTGTGCTGAAACACCCAAGCAATGGAGCACGATGCTCCTTCTCATTGAGTTTGCGTTGAGCAACTCGGTGCATGCCTCGACAGACTTTACCTCATTCTATGTGAATGGTTTTGTCAACCCTCGCGTTCCGTTAACGCTACCCTCTGCCACATCAGGGCTTAGTGAGGGGATAGATAGCCGAAGGCTTGGCTGATATTAGCCCTGTTACGACGCGCAAGAAGGTGGAAGCGTTTCTTTCAACGCGTTTTGACGTATTACGTCGCGTCAAAGACGCTATGGCTGAAAGCCAGGATGTTCAAAAGGAACAAGCAGATGCCAAAGGCAGGAAAAACGAACACGAGTTTAAAGTGGGTGCTTTGTTATGTTAAACGCTAGGAATTTACCGACCCGTGCAGTGTCTGCAGTAATTGAAAACCAAACTGCGTCCACGCTTTATATTGGGCACTTTCCAAGGTCATAAGCAAGAAAGGTTTAGCCTATACGCTAAACCCTTCGAACAAGATGAGAACACATCCCGTGTTATACGTGAGCTTACTAAAGCCATACCTCAACCCTTCCTCAATGGACTTTGAGGGGTTGTCCCCATATCCCCGGCCGAAGGAGGCGGATAGTACGGCACATGAGGTGCATATGGACGCTGAAGGCGTACCAGGAGGTCGATCTGGCATCGCAGTTCGGCTTGAGAATGCTCAATCACCGTTAAGCGATCCGAGGTCTTAGAGCGATAAGGCTTAAAAAGGCCGACGGTGTCGATCAACACGGTCATCGAGCGATGACAGGTGAGACCTCACCAATGCAAGAGCATCACGCTCCAGGAGTGTCAGGCGACGCTCAATCTTAGAGAGATGAGAGGTCAATGGGTCATCGGCCTCCTCCGACGATGATGATTGATGACCAAGGTCATCAACGTTCCACGTGAACGCCTCTTGGCTCGGCGTCGTCACCTGGTCCATAGCCAGTACTTGGCGAAGTGGAGGGGATACCCCCAGTCGTATGACTCGTGGGAGTATGAGGTATCTCTCCGGCAGGATTGCCCTGACGCCGTTGACGCTTTTGACCAGGACTGTCAGAAGCGACGACAGCTATCGTCGGACGCTTCCTAGCACTAGGTGCTGTGGAAGCAAGCTCAGTAGGATAACTTCGCCTCTGACCTTCAGAAGAAGCCAACGCCGGTACATCACTCGAGTGAAAGGTACGGGCAACAGCTTCAGAAGCTTGACCTCCACAAGTCTTTGACCTGTATGTGGAAGGTAATTGACGTTTCTCTTTGAGCTTAGCAAAGTTAAAACGTAGACGACGTTCTGACCATACGTCTTGCGCTTTAGTGCTTAAACGCAAGTTTGACAAACTTGAGAGCTTACATGCTCGTTCTACCCAGCGGGTGAGCTGGTGATCATCTTGTGCAGATGTTTCACCTGGTGCAAGCACCACTGGTATGCCGTTTAGTGGGTGCACAGGCACCCCACGTGACTGTCGTGACAGTCGCTTCTGATACGATTTCATTGTAAATCCCTCGGGTGTAAGGAGTCGCTTACGAAGAGCGGCAAGATCTGCATTCTCGCAGGCCGTACGGGCATGGACTCAATGACATAGGTTCACAAAGATTGCGATGCAGCTCGTCAAGCTTCCTCATTAGGGTCCCGAGGCACGAACCCATTATCACGTTGTGAAAACGTTTGTTTGGGCCGTTCCAAAGCGGCTGCTCGGGCCTCGTCATCGAGTTGACATCGCTGTGCAGCGTCAAGAGGGTTGGTTACCTCTTCGTCGGTACCCTATCGCGAGGAAAGAGGAGGTGCTTGGCGCAAAGGGGCTGTCTCCACTGAAGGAGAAGACACAGATTGGGATCGACGCCCCTCTCTCGGTGAGCGTGATGATCTTGGGGTACTTTGACCCAAAAGTGACTTGGCTCCGCCACCCCTAGAGGCAACGTCACTGTCATCGTCCCCAATGATGTTGTGACGCATTGCTTCATCCATGATGGAGCAAGCGCTATCGAGACAAGTGCTTTATAAAAGCAAGTTTTGTGAACACTGTAATGCTTAAAAGCAAGTGCTAGGCATTTAGTGCTGTGAAAGCAAGTGTCTCAAAAAACACAAAGGGTATTATTACCAAGTGCTTGGCACTTAACGCTTATAAGCAAGTGCCGTAACACTTAATGCTTTATCGTGAGTGCGATGCACTATATGCTCAAAAAGCGAGTATCGTAACACAAGGATGTTATAAAGCGTGCGTGCAATGCACGAGTGCTCAAAGAGCAAGTGTTAGAAACACAGAATCTTTAGACGCAAGTGCAAGCAAGCACTTATTGCGAGGCAAGCAAAATGAGAAGACAATAAAATCGTTGCCTCCAATTAAGTGCGAATATTTGTGACGTCGTCGGGTCCCACGGATTGGTGGGGGAGGGCGTAACGGGGTTACAGCGTATTTTACATACACACCTGCCACACCAATGGAGTGTGGCTGTACCTTGGGTACAAAAGTAGGTGATGTGACCGTACCTGAAGTACGAAGGGTCGCATCAAATAGCTTTGCTACAGTAGCTTGGCTACATCCTCTGCACATAGTGCATAAGTAACTTTGCTACAGTAGCTTGGCTACGTCCTCTGCACATAGTAACTGAGCCTGTAAACGAGACCTTGACAATATCTGGATGTCGTACCAAAGTTTTTCCAGTCTCACCTACCCCTAATACTACATTGAAAACACATTCAGGTACACTTGGTTCCAAGTAAGCTTCTGCCAGTTTTGACGCCGTAAGTGGGACGTTTAAAAATGTAACGGGGTTACACGAAGGTGTGTATTGTACATACACACCTGCGAGTGTGGCTGTACCTTGGGTACAAAAGTAGGTGATGTGACCGTACCTAAAGTACGAAGGGTCGCATCAAATAGCTTTGCTACAGTAGCTTGGCTACATCCTCTGCACATAGTGCATACGTAGCTTTGCTACAGTAGTCTGACTACTTCTTCTGCACATAGTGCATTTGCACATAGTGCATACGTAGCTTTGCTACAGTAGCCCGGCTACAGTTACATCAACCTACCATTGTACTCCTTAGGCCCACACCACAATGGTTTAGCAGGTGTATGTACAATTCACCTTTGTGTAACCCCCGTTACACCTAAGACACAATTTCTAGGCAACCCCAAACACTCTTCCAAGCCATTTGCTCCAAACAATATGAAAGAAATGATACTCATGAACAACATCAGAATGTGCTTTTTACTACTCATTAACTTCATCTACAATGTTTGTTGCCCTATCGGTTTCTCAAAACTGATTTGAAAGCAGGCAATGTCTTTGTGCCAAAATCTAGTGCACTCCATGTGGTAGCTCCTTATCTTGAATGCCTGCAGTGAGATTAGCAACGGCGATATCCGCCATAGCTTGCCTAGTCTTGACCGTAGCTGAACCGATGTGAGGCATAACAACGCAATTTTCAAGTGAAAATAGTGGGGACATGGGTGATAACGGTTCAGGATTCGTCACGTCCAACCCAGCTGCTGCGATCTCTTTCATCTTTAGCGCCTGTATGAGCGCATCCTGGTCTACGAGCTCCCCTCTGCCTGTGTTGATTAACACTGCGCTGGACTTCATTAATTGTAGCTCTTTGGGGCCGATGCTATTACATGTCGCCTCGTTTAAAGGCTGGTGGAGGCTCACAACGTCACTTTCACGCAGCAGTGTCTTTAAATCCACAAACTTGACAGAACCTGGCTCACCCATAAGGGACTTGGCGTTATCAACCTTTTCACGTGGCCCTGTGTAGAGGATCTTGCAGTTAAAACCGTTCTTCATCATACGTGCATACGTCGTACCAATTCGTCCAAGTCCAATCACACCAACCGTGCTGCCAGTGACATCAGATCCACAATACTGGAACGGTTGCCAGACACCCCATTCTCCAGCTTTGGCGCTGGCTGCGCACTTAAACAATCGTCGCTTGGTTGCGAAAGTCAATGCCACCGCCATCTCAGCAGTCGACACGTTCAATACACCTGGTGTGTACCCAACCCTCACATTGCGAGCTCGACAGGCTTCTACGTCGATGTGATTGTAGCCGACTGACATGGTCGATACTACACGAAGCGAGGGTCCAGCGGCGTCCAGAACTTCAGCGTCCACTTTGTCTGTTAACAGACAAAACACTCCTATGCATCCTTTTACTCGTTCAAGCAGTTCTTCCCGTGGAATGCAGCTCTCTTCAGAGGCAAAAGTCTCAATCACAATTGAGTTGGCGTCGTTCTTGCGCAACCGCTGACGAAATTGCTCTGCGAGGCATAAAAGAGGAGTTAGTACCCAGCGATCGACTGAGGATCGACACGAACGACTCACTTATAGCATACGGCACATTTCGAGAGAAAAAAACCTTGCGATACGCATTGGAGCTCATGGCAAAGTTGGCTTAGCGTGCGGCTTTAAATCGCAGCGTTTTTGGATTGGTCGGAAAATGACGACGAAGATTTGAGCTTTGAGCTTTGTTGGTTAGGTTCTCTCTCGCCACGCTTTTCTATGTGTAATCAAAACATAAGCCGCGTACCCATTGTTTCATTATAGCAGTGCCAGCTTGGTGTTAACGTGACATTTTGATTTCAAGTTCATTTGCTATTGCAAAAACCAAGTGAAAATCTGTACTGCAAATGACTTGAAGCGTTTGCTATAGAGGCAAGACGACTTTCTCAGCTGTGACGAGCTGCTCGGGCAATTTTGAACTTACACGATTGACGTGGAGAATGCTCGCTACGCATACTTGTGGGTCACTCACAAATTATGGGGCTCAAAGCTTTTGTGAGAGCACACATGAAGGGTCCCGCGTAGGTGTGCCCCGAAGGCGGGAGCTCTGTTATTGGTACCAAGCAAAAGCTGTTCAAGGGTACTGCAAGCGACTAAACCGACGAGTCCTCAGCTTGGCAGTTAGCTCAGCACAATGAATTTAACATGCTGGCAGCATTTTTAGTGTCTGTGACTTAGGCGTTGCGTATATAGAATGCGCGTGCGAGGAAAAGCTTGAAAGCACGTAATATAGAAGAGGTATAATGTATACAGACGCGCAACATGCCTTCTAGATGGACTGACGACTAACATGTCGGTTGAATGGACTGACTGACATGTCTAATGTGACTGATGAATGGTATATGATTGAAGGATAGGGAATATGGTGATGCTGAAGCTAGGCCTACGCATCCATAATAAAGCGGATGTCAAATCAATGTATTGTTTTTTGCGACCACTCCGCAAGTCTACAAGCTAGTCTTACGGAGTTAATTGCCCCTGCAAGTCACGGGCGTGTCAAGCGTGCCCATACATTAGAGTACACTGCCATTAAATTTCAGCTAAACGTGGCTAGAGTAAATGTTACCCTTGTTTGAGTTATTGATGCTGCGCACCTGCGAGATGTTATTAAGCTCCGACTATAGAAGAGGCACGAGCATCAACATTATGATCACTAAAAAACTATTCCTTGACGGTTAGCAAGCCTTTTATTTTTATGACACGTACAAGCAGCGCAAAGGAGAAAGCAAAGGGTGCAAAGGACACACTTGAAGCACCACACACGAGGAGACTTAGCTACTTTGCTGATGGTCGAACCCTAGCTTTCGTGTTACTGCTGTTTATACTTCTTGTTATTACAGTATATAATTGGAGGCACAGGCGGCACACCGACTAATGTTATGTTTGTCAACAAACTACCAGAATGAGCAGTGTATAAATATGATACTAACTTCGAAACGAAGCACCAGCATCTCCAACAGCTCAGTACTTAACCGCTATAAGTCTTCCATTTTATTAACGCACATGTACTGCCAACGCATTTTTATCGCACTCACACTGTAGACATTAAATGACAGTCTCAAATGTAAATCTGCTCGTCCTCATCCATTTCGTGGTGGAGCCCAACAGACTCGACGGCAAACTCGCCAAACTTGATCTCCTCGCCAGTTTTCCCAATCAGAAAGCGCTTTTTGTAGATTAGATTTGGGTATACCTGTTCCGTCTGCACAGCAACAAACCTCTCAGCACGTGCATTGCCTCCACGCGGAGGTGAAAGGCGAGCGCGCTCGTTCGGTAACACGAGAACCAAGGCGGTGAGAAGCAGCAGCAATCCGCATCCCGTCCATGTACATATGTTGCCTACCTTAGTATTTGTCAAAAAGACTCTCACTCGGCGTGGTGTTGTCTCAACAAGACGCCGTTGGACCATCACGCCTAGCGCGCTATCCAGAACCCGAGCGTTTTGGAAAATAAACAGCAGCGCAGATGCTGCCATCGTCTCCACAATATCGTCACCGATGTAAAAGTGATTGCTGTTCACATACTGAAGATATGTGTCTACAGCCATAGAGCAGGCTCGAATTCTGCCTAGAGGCCACGATTCTAGATAATCCAATGTCGCAAATGAGGCTTCTTGTCCAAACGATTGTCTGATCTTCGGCTCCAGTAGCTGTACAAGCGAAACAGCCCAGCCGCCAGTTCTTCTAGTTTGAAGTTGAGCTGGTAGCCAATGCTTCGGTAGGACTAAGCGACGATTGCTGTCGCCAAGCTGATGATGCAACACTTGACAACCTTCTTCCTGATCAGCTCCAGACTCGCAAGCGTACGCAGATTTGTCAAATCTCCACGATAGACGCCCAAACGACAGAACTAACGACCGCGTAGGAGCAAGCATTGCCCTCTCAACGGTAGTCACGACCGTGAACCCATATACAAATGCCGCATTAGAAATCCTGTCACATTTTGCCGAACGCGAGCCATTGCCATGCAGCTGCGAGATTCCAATTTGCTTGCGGGGTAGTCGCAGTCCATGATTCAGCTGATGCTTCTGCAATAACGCACAATTGCTTTCACCACACACAATAGATGCATTCTTTGGACTGGGCAGCGGTACTGTTAGAGTCATGGCTTCAAAACGCATCAAAGAACTCAGCTCCAACGTAGTGAACGAAATGTTGAGAGCAGCAGTTTGAGCTAAAGGAATGTCCATGTCAGATAGAGATTTCAACACGCTACTCGAAAATTCGTCAAAGCTCGATGGCATCATGACTTTTTGGCTGCTACTGGAAGCTTGCATACTCTTTAGCAAAATGGAATTTCCGTGCAGCCATAACTCGTGAGCTGTAGCAAGCAGCATAGCATCATGTGGTTGCACAACCCTATCCACATTTTCACCAACCGTCTGCGAAATACCATAGTGCTTCAACGTTTCTCCACGCAGCCAGCCATTCCCAAACTCCAAACTCCATTCTTTCAAAGGAAATCCAAAAACAGCTTTCGGAGCTGCCGCACGCAGCGCCTCCGCTAAAAACTGGTCTGCCTCATCGTAACTGCACCGGGATTGCTCCAGTGGCGGCATTGGCTCCACCTTCCGGATCAACGCCGTCTTCAAGATGGTGTTTCCCAGTCCACTATTACTAAACTCATTTTGTTCCTCCATCAAGAACCTCGTCGTGGTCGCAGAGCTTACTATCGAAGGACTACTTTGTGCATTGTCGTCTTTTTGGTTAGCTTGGACTGCCGAGAGCGAGGCACCCACCGCCATCATGACTGCAGGGATAAAAATTGTGAGCGCAAACTTTTTAAACTTGCTCTGCTTCTTAGTTGCAGGATCGTCTCCTGGGTACCACCTTAGGTTGTGTAGATACACGATAAATACAGGAAAAATCTCCTCTACCCCGAGACCAACAATGGATTCAATAAAGCCCATCATGAGACCAATGTATGAGTTGACAGTGTCTGCCTCGTTCTCTGCTTTGCTAACAGGGACGCCTTTGTCCACTACAAAACCCTCGCGTAGCCATACGGCAACAGTCGACATGACGGCAGCCAAAAGAACCACAAGCACGGTAAACCGCTTCCATCGAAGAATAATCTCGGGTCGTGGCTGAGCCAAGTCTTTGTACACCATATCGTCGTAATTATCCTTGTCACTCACATTGTCCATGCATTGACGATCAATATTGTCCATTACCACGTATGAAGACGATCCTGCTGGTACGTCGCTCCGTTGCTCTGGTCGTAACCCGCTGCTGCTGGCTAAAATAGCATGTGGTGACTCACATTCAAACGCGTCGTCCGTGTACGATGACATGCGTTCTTGCTCCAATAGCCGGCGCTCGGCCAAATGCACTGAATGCACCTTGGAAGAAATGTCGTCTACTGCTGCTATATAGGAGCTTTAACGGATTGTTTGTATTACTATTTTTATAGTTAGAAGTACTATTTGTTTGGTTGGTTGTTATAATAGTGATTAGTAGTCCATTAAAAAAAGAATATCAAGCCGTCACTTAATTAGTACAAAAATTAGGAGTAAAAAACGTTTGATTGAAAACTTTCGTTTGCTGTCTGTTTTTGTTGTTGTTTACGATCAGTCGATGATGCTTCAGAAAAAGAACGGACGATAAGCTGTTCATTTTTTGCCTTTATTGATTAACTGGCTTTTAGTTTACTACATTAATTATACGGTACAATTCGAATACCAGCGAACGTTAGTTTTTGCTTATAATATCTTTGTTTCCATATGTAAGTAAGTACCTTACATAACTTATAATTTTGCTATACGACAAATGCAATAAATTGATAACCCCGCTACCGAATGCCTGTACGTCACTAAAATACTGCCAGTAACAGTAACTACGTGCAGTGCAGCCTCGCACTGGGTGAATCAACGATGAACATGGCACGTACGTATGCGCTAGCTGATTGTAATACGATCGTGGACATGAATCTACGAGTTATGCGCTTTATTTTGTGCGTAATAGCGGCTCTGACCTTTGCTTTTGGCTTTGCATTGCTCACTAGCAATAAGAAGACACTAACATACGTCTACGAGGATCAAGTAGCAGTCAATGAGACGTTATCAACTAAAGCATCATCTGTTGTAGAGGACAATAATACACTATTTGGATATATATTGTTTGCAGGTGGTAAGATATTTGAAGTCTTTTGTGAGACGCTTATCTTTCCTACGCTCGCTACGTATCTCCACAACTGTAGCTTATATCTAGGAGATCGACCGGCACGAATGCACTCAGTTGCCAAGGCGCGTTGTATCTTCTGGGGTCTTAAGACGGTGATAATTCTCATGAATGTCGGTTTTACCAGTGTCTACGTGGGTAAAACCATGTTGGACCCTAGTGTTGTATCGCGACGTCTTACTGCACACGACGAGTTGATGCAAATGAAGAATCTAAACGCGCCAAATTTTGATGCGGACTTGTTGCGCTCGATCTTGCGAACATCGGTAACAGGCTTCACTGCGCCATTTGAATTTATCGATACCTGTCAATCGGTGGAGCAAGGGAATACAAATGAAAAGCAGCCATGGGAAGTGTGGCCTGATGATGTGGACACAACGTCAGTGAGTTTTAGCTTTCCTTCACACGAGTGGAATGCTGCTTTATTTACATCAGATATAATTGTGCCAAAGAAGACTGCAGAAATTTTGCTGCGGGACTATTTGGATAATCGTAACGAGAACGCGACCACTTGCGAGTGGGATCCTGTGGAGCTGTACTTGATCTTTCAGCAGTGTATGGTAAAAATGGGTCTGGTGAGTGTTTCGGTACAAGCAGCAACTCCTCTGTCGCATAAAGAGCTAATCCAGGTGATTGTGGACCACTTGAGGGCAACACTACCTGCCAAAGCTCAATTGAGTGATCTGAGGTTGAATTTGCAGCAACGTGAAATCGCGGAAAACGTAAAGTTCACCACTTTGACAATTTCTATTCCCTTTGAGCCGGATGACACGGGAAGTATGTTATGTGGAGTTTCTGGGTGTGTGTATGCTACGTCAACAAGCGTGTTGGATGAGCTTCATCTGCAGCCACGCATATCGATCGCATCGAACGAGAAATTCGTGAACTCTGCCTTGGTCTATAGTGCAACAAGCCAGTTTGTGCTGAATCGTGGACAAGCTCCACATGAAGTGTTGGTGCTTTCTTTGAGTGAAGTGACGTGGAAGCTGAGTCCTCTCCACATTCGTCACAATGCTGCGTGTGCAGATGGCGATGAACATCAGTGCCTCGGCCTAGTTTTGCCGCTTGCAACAAATAATGGTGTGCTGCTTGTCGGTAAGGAAGCTTTGTCTGTGCAGCATGCGGTGCACCCTGTTGCACTTGTGACGCTGCAACCTGCCATAATCCCTGGTACGAGTCGCTTTGACAAAAATGCACTAACGACATGGCACCGGCTTATATCACCTGATGGAAAGCTGATGCACCCGTGTCTGGCTGAATGTATGCCGCTAGTAGATGCATATCTGATGCATCTTGAGAGCAACCACTTTTACCTCAACGGTGAACAAACGCAAGATATGTTTGCAGCAGCGCTTTTTTATTTATTGCAGAGCGGAGTTCTGAGGTCGTGGGCTGATGTTATGTCTAGGAGACATCTCATGATGTCTGCTGTAATGGGTTTGAATGGATCTGGCTCCGGTGACGGCAAGGCTGCTGCTGCCACGACAGATATCGAAGTTAATGTCCCAACTGCGACTGCGTTTGTGACAGTTGCTGGATGCATTTTTATCGTCTTGTTAACAATGTGTGTGATTTGTTTGCCAACGCCTCGAGTAAGGCTGTCACCGGACACGACTCCAGCCGCACAATACGTGCAGATTCTGACGGATGATTTGTACCCGGATTTGGTGCACAAGAAACGCTTGCGTTTTGCCAATGGTGATTGTCTTTTATTCAACGAGTATGTTGTAGACGCGATCGTGCTGCACGCGAAGCGCGATCAGACCAAGAAGATTTATTTGTAAGCTCTGCTTTAGGTTTAGTAAGCGAGTACTTGAATATCGTATAGATATAGGGCAGGTCATCCCTGTTTTACTACTGAAGTGTTTTGTTGTGCAGCATGGTCTGAACAAAGAAAATTGAATGCTTCTCCTTTTAACGAACTTCTACTGCGTTTTGTGATTAATTATCGAAGTTGCTTGTATATAATGGCAATGCTCTGCACCAAAATGCACCTCAGACGCCATAGTAAAGGGTGACGTGCGTCGGATCGGAGCAAACCAGTTGTACAGATTCTAAAATCCCTTCCATCTGGGCTTTCTAACCATACAGAGCTGTGCCAATCGCAACTTGGACGTGAGTCAAAAGTAGCCAACGCTGCGTCGTACAACGGATGAGTGTACCTTATCCTTGCAGATACCTCTCATGCTTTGGTTGCACCAATGTACGATATCGTCGCAAGATATCCTTTCGATATGGTTGGTGTAATACTGGAAGAATATTGCACAACAGAGCAAAGCAAAACTCTACAGTGACAGCAAGGAAGTAGCATTTGATGCCGAGAGCCGTACTCGGAGTGCACTGGTATGTGGCTAGACCAGTCTCATCAAGGTAATTACTAGAGCGTCGTGGGTGCTGCGAGTATTTGAGGGCGCGGCAATTATTCCTTTGTTGTCTTTCAAGGAGCTACTAGCCGGATGCAGTTGAAAAGCATATCATCCACCCTGCGCAGAAGTACCGCTAGTTTATATGGTTGCGGTGACTGTGATGAAAGCTGGGCGATAGAACCGTTCGATGTCAATGTGTTAGCCTTAAGTTTTGCCAGCTGCGTCCTCGTAGCCTTGATGAGTGCGTCAAATATTGTGAATTCATCGCCCGTCAAGAAAATTGTGTAAGCCTTTCTGACAATTTCGGCACTTGCATTCCCAAGCGTGTTCGTGTTCGTGTCATAAATATGAGGGTCTCTCTCGCCACCAAAAATATAGCTGTCAGAACTTCGACGTCCGTCGCCGTCGCAGTCCAACTTGCTGCCGATATTCTTAGGCCGGTAGCTACCAAGGCATCGAAGCCCGAGTGTAAGCTATCGGTTCGGTTTCTTGTGCTTTTACTCGCGCTGCACGTCCACTGGGCGTACTGATGGTCAAGATGGTGATTATGGCACAGAGTGACAGCAACATTAGGAAAGAATTATTACATCCGCAGTGAGTTTTAGGGCGAGGAAGAGGAAAAGCAGCAAAGAAGTTGTCAGATGTCCGAGACTAGCAATTCCGACGCTGTCGAGACGATTGTGCCCACGTCAACGCAGCGACAACGTGAAAACAAAAGCTAACGGAGGTTATTGTGGTTAACAACTGTATTGTTTTGCAGACACTACATTGTAGACGCTTGCACGATCAAGTTGTTGATTAAGCAGTAGGCATTAGATAGTGAAGGAACCCAGCGACAAGAGCGAGTTTTTTATAGACACACCACCATCCGATAGAAATTGTATCTACCGTGTTTGTCTGAATCAAATCCTACGTACATTTTAATTAATACAACTCCAGTCAAATCATGAGCGCTTCTATATCAAGACACTTTGTGGCTGAGAAAGTGAAGGCGCTGTGCGTCGTGAGCGATGTGCACTACGCGTCTGATAAGCTTCAAAACGAGCATGAAGGGCTTCCTCTAATAGCAGCTGGTGGTTGGGACCGTGAGGTGCATTTCTACTTTGATGCGGACCATGTCATTACTGTATAACTCTATACTAATCCAGCCAACTGATTAACGCGTTGCAGACCAACCACATCACACTGCACTTGCCTGTGCGTCCTACACGTGACGAGAAAGAGTTGCACAAAGAGTTCAAGTACGATAAAGCTAGAATTGCCGTAGCAGCAACGATGCCGTCATAGCTATTGACTGACGTTCCATTGCAATGTCAGAGGAGGGGATAGCGAGGCGCGCCCGTGTGAGCTGAACACGTTGGCTGAGGTAGAGCATGAGGGAGATGTAAACGCGTTGCGTGTCGTGACCGCCCGAGGCGAACCGTTGCTGGCCAGCGCGTCGTCCGCAGGCGGAGTCTTCGTCTTCCACCTCACTGGGGCTGACGATGCTAACATGACTGATGGAGGCTCGGTCAGACCGTTGACCATGCTAGCTATGCCGCAGTGGGAACAAGTTTTTGCCGGTACATCAGCCACTTGCGTTGAAGTCAGCGAAAACCGCATGAGCCTTGTGACGGCGAGCGCGATCGGAACTCTAGCGTGGCTCAAGCTGGACGACCTTGCAAGTGTCGACAAAATTGGTGCGTATAGTGCAGAGGATTGATAATATCGTAGTGGTATTCATAATGCAGATACTACGCAGAAAACAAGAACGCGAGCAGACTGCCGATAAATGCAGTAAAGTTTCTTGGCCGTGACTCTGTTGTCGCTACCGTCGGGTATGGTCACGTAGTCGCAAATGGTATTGCTGATCTTGCAAAATAATGAACTACTTGTTTATTTGCAGCTCAGCTCCTGCAAGCCAGCTACGAGTATGGGACATTGCAGCAAATAACCAGTTTCCTGTCATGATATGTGCCGAGTACGTTTGCAAGCAGCGATTTGCAGATTGTTTATGTGTACTGATATGCTGGTGCTGCGTCATACAATTAACTTACAGTCCCAGCTCGAGGGGAATCTTGACCACGCTAGAGACGCACCCGACACAGCCTGAACTATTAATCACTGGAGCTGATGACGGTCGTGTAATGTTTTGGGATCGCCGCAAACTTAGTGCACCGTTCCGAACTGAGGCATACCACCAACGTGCGATTCGAGCACTGAAGCTCCACGCTGCGTCGCCTCGGTACCTCTATACGGGTGGTGACGACACTGTGGTCATGTCCTGGGACTTTCATCATGGTCGCAAGCTTTGCAATCCCATCGAGTACGAGCGGAGCAGTGAATCGACAGCCAGCCAGAATTCAACCCCGTTTGACTCGTGTGCTACTGCTTTCAACGGAGTTTCTAAGGGGCGTGGAAGTTTGTGCGTCCAGCAGCTCGCCTCGGGGTCGCTACCATGGAACGCAATGGCACTGCACGCTGATTCTGACACACTTGTTGTAGGCTCCGATGCACAGTCCATAGTGATCGTGCAGCAAGTTTCAAAGTGGAAGCAATAAATTGTATTGGTTTGACGAAATATAAACACTTAAAAATGTGTAGAACACATTTAAATTGAACGACAGCACGAGATGTGATAGCAAACTTAAAATCTATACATTGACATTCTGCACGTGTTCACAACGTTTGAGATAATGTTTTATACCGAGACAGCTAAGTGAAGACGCGCAACTTGTTGTAATATCAGTGAACGATAGTGACTGTCGCATTATACACATCGTGCACAATGTTTCTGAAACCAGAAGATTCAATAGGCGTAGAAAAAAGCACAATAAGTCACCCTCGATTGAGCAGAGAACGCTCGCTCTCTTGGACTTTGGTCTGCTTTATCACCGAATAAACAGTATCGACCGCAAGAGAAAACAATAGACATTAAAATTCTATCTCATCGCAGCTTACCAACTAGGTGGACACGTTCAAGATCAACTGTCGCCATCTCATGTTGGACGAAAATATCACTAGGAGACGAATAACAACAGTCAAATGACATTCTTATCGTCGGTCATGGTTATTGAAGATGTGATGATTGTGTCGTTTGGAGCGCAGCAAATAGACTTTTTACTAAACCTCGACTCACCAAACTTTGACAACGTCATGAGTACATTGTAAGAGAGAGCACGACATTCTACGCCGTCGGAACAATTGCCCAATGGTTCTTCCGAAGGCGCTGGAGTGCACGCTCTTGTTCGTCCTGACAGTCTGTGAGTAGTACTACTAGGAATAAAACGCTTTAGACTTGATAAAGTTAACTGAAGACATTGAATAGTTTATCTGTCAAAAGATGACTGCTACCTCTAATTACCTTCTTAAAACGATATTACTCTCAAGCCTCTGACGCGCGCAACGTGGTTTTTTGCGACTTTTCACCTGACCGCAAGAAACTCGGCTCACTACGGCAAAACTTTATCATCCCCATCTCAAGAGCTCATTCTTAATTTGACCCGGATAGTAGTCGATCCTACAAACTTTAGCCTTTCTTGTTCGATCATTGGCAATGTACTGCGCACGCAAGAGTACGAGCTTTCGAGCCGCAAAGCGCTGGCTTATGGACGAAGTGGAGACCATCGAGACACTGAATACTATGCGTCGGATGCGCCCCATCGACACAATTGCCAGTAAGAAAAAGCTACACGTATTAGGCGAATTCTTTCCATCGGTGGCCATGGATGTGCGGCGTGACGTGCTGGTAGCCGCTAACTACTGCGAGGACGTAGCTGCTGCTATGTTAGGTGACTTGACGAAGGAAGCGGTAACTGTTACCGCTCGCACACAGGACCCTATGGAGCTACTGTTTGACTACCAGCATGCGGATGAGGAAGGTGCGTCTGAACTAGCGGACGAGGAAGACTGGAGTGAGGTATCGGGCGTCAGTAGTTGCAACGACGCGTGGGTCTTGATCCAGGATGACTGGGAGGTCGTGGACAAGAATGGAGAGAAGGTACGCACCTTTGCGGACGTGCTGCAGGCGGCACCTTTGACGACGCCCGCGGCGGCGATGGCGACGAGCGTTGAAGTACAGGCGGTACTGCTATCTCGGCTTTCTGTCGTGGAGCAGCCAGTTGTATCCAGTTGCAACAAGATGCTGAAAAAGACAGAGACCAGTCTGGCGCTACCGGCTTACGAGCTGGAGCGTGGTGCAAAGTCTTTTAACTTACGAAAGCGCCACATGGCGAAGCATCATCGCTAAAGCAAACACGTCGATCGGCTGATTCTCGCTTGACACATTTTGGAGGATGAACGGCATATTACCCAGGCGTATTTTTATTATTCGGGACGATTGGCGAAGAATGGATTGCGGTTCTTGGCCGCAACTCAATGGTCTTCCAATAGGTGATTTCCTACGTCGTCATCTCCATCAAAGCAGCGGTATAATAAACAAAGAAAGTTACTTAAAATGTCAAGACTGGAACATACGCTAGTTTCTCAGGTCATGTATGTGGTCCGTTGAGCTACGTTCCTGTCATCAAAACAGTAGAATATATCTGAAACGGTGTGTATTGTACATACACACCTGTCACACCATTGTGGTGTGGCACACTCATACGTGGACTTGTGCGCTTTCTTACTTTGTACCATAGTGACTATACATGTTTGCATATTAATAGGCTACAAAGCCAGTAAAAAGTGACTAGCACTAAGTATAAAGTAGGTGTTCTATATTTAGTATTAGAAGATAAATACAAATATAAATCAATTTCAAACCTGCTCTGAATAGCAAAAGCGCTAGAGCGTTCTCTTTCTTTGTAAAAAGGAATTGTATCTTTGGTACTAGTCTCTTGGCGACGTGGTTTTTTTACAACCAAAAGGCGTAAGCTTGTGAAGCTATCATTGGGAGGGTTAAAAACACTAAGACGTAGAAGCTCTCTGAGCTTGTATTCCTCTGCGCATAGTGCATAAGTAGCTTTGCTACAGTAGCTTGGCTACTTCTTCTCCACATAGTGCATAAGTAGCGTGGCTACGGTAGCTCGGCTACACCTGGTAGCACTTGTAGTCAATCCCGTACCTGGGTTTGCGACTACTTCTCTGTGTGAGAATGGACATCAAAGACATGTCAGCGATTGGCCTGTCACAGGCACAACAGGAAGGTTTGCAAAAGTTGCTCCCTTTCCTTGGCCTAAAATTGTGGAATTTTTCGTCGCCCAAGGCAAAGAAGAGGTTAACAAGCGTATGCATATGCTTGATGAGTATAACAATGCTCTGGCCGAGCATGTAAAGGCACAGGCGCCTTCTTCTGCGCCGTCGCCCATGGCGACTATGGCGCAAGAGAGGTGTTGCCCACAAACCAAAACCCATAAAAATGGAAGTCGATAAGTATGACGGCATAGAAGGTGACAACCTTATGCTTTGGTTTCGACAGGTTGAACCGGATATGTTTATAGCCGACATCACCTATGAGCCGTACCGTGTTGGCTTTGCCACGGGTAAGGCGGGTGGATTAGCCACGCAATGGGCATTTACATGCGGTTAATCACTGTAAATTGTATTCCCAACATGGGCTGATCTTGTAACGGGGTGTACGGCACACATTCTGCTAGGAACGATCTAGCAGCCCCTATCATAATTCGACTTAGCTAAGTACATATATTATGTAATTAGGCATACGCTGTACCGATATATCAGGTACGCATGTCGTATTCCTGCTTATTGATAAGTGGGAATCAGACCCATTATCAGCCAATATGACGTGTCCTCCTTATTGAGTGTCTCCCACGACTTTTGGAGTCGCTAGTACTTAGGATAAAAATATAAATATAAAGTAGAGCTGAATTTAATATTAATTAAACACGCGTTCGATTAACGCGATTTTCCAAACGTTTTCTCGTAAGACCTTTAGTGTAAGTTACGTAACGGGCCCTAACCCCGTTACACCTGGTAGCACTTCGTAGTCCTTCTAACGAAGATGAGCTCTCTGTCCATACAGAGCGCTGACGGAGGGATGCTGAAGATGATGAATTATACCATCTGACCTCTTTTGAGTGGGAAGCTTTGCGTCGCCTAGCGGACGTGGTCGGTATAACTACCGTGGTCGTCATGCTCAAGGACACGCCCAAGCGGCTACGGCGTGTAGCCATCCAGGGCTTTGTCAACCGCGAACTCGCCGATTTGCGTCGGCGATCTTCAGCTCTCGCGATTGCCACAGGGTCCACGTCGTCAAACTCGACGTCTCGTGCTATAGCGGCTAAGGCCCGAAGCGCCTCTCGCTTAATCAATGGCTTTGTGAAGTAGACATTGCTGTCAAGCCCGTCAGCTTAAGTCAGAGCTCGCACGCACCCACTTTCACTTGTCCAAGTTGACAGGCAAGGCAAAGGAGTGGGCGCTGGGCAAGCTTGTGACCGATCCGATATATTTCCCGGATATGAAGGCCCTCAAGGATGACCTACGGCTGGCGTTTAAGCCTCCGCAGGATGAGCACCACCACCGCTCGGCTTTATTGGCGCTGAAGCAGGGTCACCTGTCTATGCTGTATATTATATCCTGCAAGCACGACATCTGGCGTTCTGCATCGTCACCAATCCGATCGATACGATGAAGCAAGTTCACGTGTTTGTAGCGGGAATGAACGCTTGGAAATCAGCGTTTTTATTTTACTAGAAGCCCCCTACGTCGCTTGAAGAGGCGTCTGCAATCGCATTGCGTGAGGACTTCAGTTTCATAGCTTCGCGCATGGAATATTCTTCGCCTCCTCCTGCTACTCAAGAGTCTAAGCCCATGGAGGTTGACGCGATCGAGCACGTCACATACTCTCGGCGTTCGTCGAGTGCCCGAACACAGAAGCCTGTTGCACCGAAACGGCTGTTTTGCTTCCGCTGTCGTAAGCCTGGTCACCACGCGGATGTATGCCGTGCACCTGCACCAGTTCTCGCTGTCGCTGCATCTGACGTCACCATCAAAGACGCTGACTAGTCAAAAGACGACGGCAACCAGTCGGCGCGGGGAGTCCTACTAGGTAAAAACGGAGACACGTGTCTGCAGTGGAAACACGTTATTCTAGCTCCGCTGTGCAATATGCACAGCTGAATGCCACCAAGTCCAGAAATGATCCGCATTTGATCGTGCTTAGTGTTCACGTTGACGGTGCGTCATAGCCGCTCCGCGCATTGCTGGACTCCCGCGAGGCGAACATATTTTTGTCCGCGCCGATAATTTACCCGTTCTCCCGTCGCGCCAACCCCCCCCCCCACCCCCTTTTTGTGGTCCTTCCTTAACCTACAACCTTTTTTAAAAAAAAAAAAAAACAAAAGTATCGAATTGAGCAATTCATTCGACTGCATTTTTGGGATGCCGTGGCTTGCACGACATTGGCCTGACATTGATTGGCTGAATTGCACGCTTTAATTACGTGACATTGATGTCATGCGGTTCTCGTTGTTCTTAACAGACAGACGAGTACTTGGCAACATGTTGCTGTCGTGGACCACGACTTCACGACTGGTCATCCCCCAAAGTGGGCGATGGTTCTTCGAGTGTGTTATGCAAATCCGCAACCTGCTCCCCCTCAGTCGAATGGTGGTTCCTGAGTCAAGCATAAAACCCGCAGCAGTGGCAACGGGTTTCTCATGGTCGAGCAGTGGCTCCCATGCGTGTGCGTTCTTACAAAACTGCACGAAGGCGTAGACCTTCCGTGCGTCACGAGCGAGCAGCGGCTCCCGTGCTAGTGCGTGCTGTGAATGTTGCACCGAAGCAGAGGCTTTGAGTGCGTGTAATTCAACCTCAATCGCATCGAAGTAGCGGATATCGATGCGTCACGAGCGAGCTGTCGCTCGCTTGTTAGTCCCTATGGAGGATACCACGTAGAAATAGCGGCTTTCGACGACTTACGCGGAGGCAGTAGATTCCGTAAGACCGGTTGTGCAACCGATTCATGTTCCTGTGTCACGTCATCGCCGCGGGCGGCGTGCTCTTGTTCGTCATCCCTTATCAACACCATCTCTTCCGCTAGAGTCTCCATTTGTGACCATCGATGTCGTTAACATGACTGGTGCTGGTCCGTGCAGCCATTCGTTACAGGTCGCGAGTCTACCTTGCGATGGCATCACGCAGCTTTAGGAATCACTTGGGATTAGTTACTGCATGATTTGAAGAGAGGGGAGATTGAACAACTCTGTCTAGTCGTTCAAAGACCCGCGCTCAACAATCACAAACCATCTGAGGGCATGGAACTTAAGTCTGCACGCAAAGAGCGCTTTGCGGCACAATCCTGGGAATAATTTGCTGCGTCAAAGAATCCTGTTTTCGCACTTGCGCGCAAGTTTTTGCCAATGTTTCTCCAGACATAATTCCTGCAGTTCTTTCTGCGTGTAGAGTAGGGCGGCACAAGATCGATCTCGAGCCCGTTTCAAAGTACTTCGTCACTCGACAGTGGCCACTCCATCGTGACCGAGTCGAAGCTACTGACGCATTATTTAAATGTTATCGCGCCGTAGGTCAAGTGTGTAAGAGCACGTTTCCCCATTCTTCTCCCACCTTCTGTACCGGGGTCGTATCGCTACACGTTATATCAAGTACAATATGGCAATAATAACGGTCCCATTATTATGCATAATTAGGTAGATAACATTGAAATTAATACATAAAGTAGGGTAAGGAAAAGATACGAAATAATAGTGTATCTTTTAGTGTCATTATTTGATTGGTTGAAAATGGGGTTTAGTCCCATTTCACCCAATCAATATTTGGCATGTATTTGGGTGGCTCACAGTGATGCCGCCCAAGAGTCCACGGTACGCGAGCTCGCCGACGCGAATCGGCGAGTACAAACTCCCTCGCGTTCTTCAAGAATTGAAGCAGTCAAAATGGAGACGTCCCTCTACTCGGGTGCGGGTACAGATCGTCTCCCACTCAATTGTTGGTTTAGAGAGATCGATATCGGTATCGACTCGAGACTTATCGAGGCGATGTCATCGAAGGTTAACTTCCTCCTCTCACGCCTGACTGCTAAGGCGAAAGAGTGGGCTTTGGGAAAGCTGGTAGTCGACCAGTACGCCTTCCCCACTATGTACGCGCTCCAGGGTAACCTGCGACTGGCTTTTGAGCCACCACAAGACGAGTCGCGCCTACGTACCAAACTCTTTGACAGTAAACAAGGCAAGCTTTCGATGCGCGACTACGTTCAACGAACACGGCATCTGGCTTTGTGCTTTGTCACTAAGCCGGTTGACATGGCCTCTCAAGTTCACGTCTTCGTCTCAGGCATGCGCGAATGCATAACGAGATACTGCCTTATGCGCGCCGACCCAATGCACCGCGTTAACACACGCAACTCCATGAGTGAGAGCATCATGCTTCATTGCTTTGGTGTTTCAGCAGAAACACTTTGAAGCAAATTAACAATAACGCGATTTACGCGTTCTGTCGAACCATCGGTATGCGGATGACTCGCCGTGAACATGTAGGTCTACCAATGATGGGCCAGGGTCAACCTCGAAAGGCCAAGGGTCTACCAGCGACGGACCAGGGACAACCTCGAAATAACCAAGGTCTACCAATGAGGGACCAGGGTCAACCTCGAAAGACCGAGGTCTACCCACTATAGACTCTGGCTAACCATCCAAAACCCTCGGCTTTGGCCTCTAATCAGCATGATTTGCATCGCTTCGAAACGAGTCCTTCTTGTCTCTTTGCGTTAGACATCCCGAATTAAGGCCCCGCAATATAAAACTAATTCATCCACCCATGTGGGGTCTGCATACCCTTTCCATCGGGCGAGGAGCTCTCGCTATTGTCTCTCGTAGCGTGTTTTCTTTCCAGCGCGGGCTTCCAAAATCTCCTCGACCTCGTACTCTCCTTCTTCCAGCTCTCTTGCCTAACTGTCCTCCGGCAAGAGGCATTCATCGAAGTCGACCCGATCTATTTTGTCCGTATTTAACGAGGCACTTGGTCGGTTGGGGAACTCTATAACCCTCTTGAATTTGACAGATGTACCACAGGGAATAACCCATACTCTGTACCTCGAATTTTCAAACATGCTGCGTGCTCTCCCATCAACTCTAGAACTCAAAATGGTCCATGCCAGAGGTGGGCCAATTTCTTGGCGTACCCATCTTTCACGCGGTCCAGGTAGAGCCACACTTGAGTTCCCGGCTCAGTCTTGTGGTCGACCACCCCATCGTTATGGGCTAGAATCCGAGCTTGACTGGCCGCTCGTAGATTCTTATCCACCTGGGCTCTCGCCCGCTGATAGTGTTGCTGAATGTCATATCTCCATCTGCGCGGTCCAGATCCTCGACGTCGCGTATTTACCACAGGTAAAGTAGCCTCGAGGGTCGTTTTAGCAAACCCAACCGTGGACAAGATAGAACGGTGTCTCCTTTCGGACTCAGTATTGCGCGGTGTTCATCGCAAACGTTAGTCGTTCTGCATACTCGTTTCAATCTTGCTGTCCAACATCAGAGGCATACATCTTGATGGACCTAGTCAAGGTCTGAACCGTCCTCTCCGCGGTACCGTTCGCCTGAGATTGATAGGCCACAATCGCCTGTTGACGCTGGCCCACCATGCGACTAAACGCCCAAAAGAAATCTGACATAAACCTGGTTCTCGATCGTGGCGGATTGCCTCTCTCGCACCAAAACGGTTAAGTACGCATTCTTCGTACCCCTCAGCTACCTCTGAGCCGTTCGCGACGCACTAGCCTTGGCTATAACATACCCCGTGAACAAGTCGACCCAAATTAGCAGCTCGGTATTTCCTCTGTGCAACCTGAGCCGGGAGGGAATATGATCCATTGCTATAATCTGGAAAGGGTATGTTGCTTTGACATTTTCTGGAGTCTTGCCCTGCAGAGTAAGCCCTCCTTTCCCAGTTTTGCAATACACACATGTTCCCACATACCTCTGTACGCTTCGGAGTAAACCTCTCCAATGGCAGTACCGTCGGATTCGGTGGTAGGTACGTCCAACCTCTTGGTGAACTCCTTCCAGACTGGTGTGGTAGTGATGCAGAACTTCAGCTTGGAGCCTTTCGGGTATCACTAGTCTGGCCATTACTTTTCGGTTGTCTCCCTCGACCCTCTGACCGAGACAATACAATAGTAAGCCCTCTTCACTTATCTCGTAGTCCCTGGCCATTTTATTGCACGAGTGAGCGGTCTCCATCAATAGGCCGACCACATCTCCCTTCAAGTAGCCTTCAAATCTCGCATCCAGTCCTCTTGCTCTTGGGCCTTCCTGATTCGGTCTGACCGGAGCCTTTGTATTGCACCCTCTTGCAGGAATTCCCGAGACATGTTGATGGGAGCTCGAGATCGAGTAACCGAAAGCACCTTGGCCGATGTACTTCGGTCCTTGGGAACTAGTAACTCTGGCAATCGATTAATCGCTTCCAGATTCGGCCATTACTTTCCGGTATCGACTTCATACCTTCCTTCTGACGCAGAGCTGTGCTGGCCAACTGGTCTGATTCCAATCACGTGTTACATGTACGATTCCTTGGGAAAGCCACGACAACATCTAATTCAAAGCTCTTGCTCGTAATCGAGATAATCTTGAAGCCTTACACTTGACCTCCTCCCGCATTTGTCGTACCACCAAG